ACTTAGCATAAACCAAAGTCACTGCAATCTATTGCTATAATTAATGTGTAATAGATGGTCGATTCAGCTGTGCTTCCTTTAATATGCATCAAAAAGAACAGCATGTTATGCACTAATTCCATGGATGGAAAAATATATATAAGGTTGAAAAATTTCAACCTTTCATCTCTCTATTAATTTTCGTATTACCTGTGGATTGTTTAGTGCAAAAAAAAAACCTAAGGTTGAAAAAAAATTTAAAATGAAAAGCACTAAAGTGCAAACCCTCGGCGAACTGGGGATGCGCCGTACCGCTAATTGATGGGCTGGGCTGCACTGCTATTAGTAGTATGCGTTTACTCGTGGTCTCCCGCTAGTAGCTCGCAGAGAGTCTGACACGGGCTAGCTACAGTAGGCGAGAGTCGATACACGCCCTTCGTTGTGACTTCTTGTGGCATTAGCCGTACAATGGTGGAAGCGCTCTAGCTCTGCAACGGAGCATTTTCAGAGAAAACCGCCTTTATTTTCTGACCTTCGTCGCCTGTTGGGTAGATGGTATCGTTTCTGGGACGAACAGACACCCGAGAAGTAAGATTGAGAGTAACAGACAAACAGACAGACAGACAGCGGGTGCGCGCCGAGGGTTAAAACGGCCAGCCCTTCATCTCTCCAGACAGACGTCTACACGGACGCAGTGCTATGCCGAACTGGTCCAATGCCAAAGTCGTATTGCACATGCGCATGGGTGCGGGGGCGTGTCTTTCCCGCCGCGCTGGATCGCGTAGAGTCAAGGAGTTGAGATGAGCGCCGTGGAGAGGGAGGATGAGGACACGGTGGTGTCCCTGCAGGACGTGTTGGAGGAGAACAGACAGCTGGAGGAGACGGCCAACGCCGTGCTGGGTCCCTCAGACGACTCCAGCTGTACCTACTCCAAGGTCTCTTCTCTGTCTCTCCCCGTCCCTTACTCTGACGTTTTCTGACGCTTTTTGACGCAGGGTTACGTAGACAGACAGGCTCTGTACTCCTGTGCCACCTGCTCCAGAGCCTCGGGAGACGAGAAACTGGCGGGAATTTGTCTCGCCTGCAGCCTTCACTGCCACGAGGGACACGATCTCTACGAACTATACACAAAGAGGTCAGCAGTGGCAACAAGAAAGCTGTTCTCAGCAAACCCCTCCCTCTCTCTCGTTCTCTCTCTTTCTCTCTGTCTGGCAGGAGGTTCAGATGTGACTGTGGCAACTCCATGTTTCCCTCAACCTCTCCATGTACCCTCTGTGCAGAGAAGACACCTCTCAATCCTCGCAACAAGTACAACCACAACTTCAGTGGACTCTACTGCACCTGCAACAGACCGTACCCCGACCCAGACGATGAGGTGAGAGGCAGATCTCTAGTGAGGACTGACACCCCGACCGGTGCGATGATTTACAGGTGGAGGATGAGATGATTCAGTGCTGTGTGTGCGAGGACTGGTTCCATTCCAGGGTGAGTCTCGGTTCCATTCTAGGTGCCCAACTGCAGCACACATTAAAGGGATAAATCTGCACAGAGACAAGTAGTTAGCGAAGTGCCTTCATCTCAACTACTTTTTTAACTGTACAAAAATTGTGCTCCGCAGCATCTGGGAGGTGAAGGTCCTCCTGAAGGATATGAGGAGATGGTGTGTGGTGGTTGCATGGCCGCTCATCGGTTCCTGGAGTCATACAGACTGGCTCCTGTGGTCACCGTGATGAGTGAGCAGGGGGAGGAGGGGGAGGTGGAGAAAGAGAGGAAGGGGGTAGAGGAGGAAAAGAGGGGGGCTGAAGAAAAGGGTGATGTGGGGGAGGATGGCCTAAATGTCTCTACAACTGGCGAAGGTAATGTGGTCATGTGCTTCATTGTCTATGGTCAGTGTTATATTAGTAGGGGCTGCAGGAGCAGTGGCTGGTGGATCATGTGATCGGTCACATGACCAGTCATGTGAGCTGGAGAGGAGAAGGAATAGGAGCAGAGCAGTCGGTGTGTCTGGCGCCAGAGGTGGTACTGGCTTCTTTGCTTCGTCCTGGAGGTCCCAACTTTGCCGCTGCACTCCCTGCATGGTGAGAGAGTGAAATAAACAAAGGTTTTTGATTGCTCTCTCAATTTCCCTGTGTGCAGTCTCTGTACAGAGAGGCCGACTGTCTCTATCTACTGGAGGAGGCTGACACCATTTCTTCCTACGAGGCCAGAGCAGGCTCCCTCCCATCTTCCCACGAGTCAGCCATGACTGCCTTCTCCTCCACTCTGGACAGAGTTCACCAGGTGGAGGCCATACATCGTGAGCCCACCCACCTTTTTATAGAACAGCATGTGATGTAATGGCTGTTCTATTTTTAGAGTACAACGATATGAAAACTGAGCTGGTCGACTTTCTAAAGGGTTTTGTCAGGGAGGGAAAGGTATAGAGCACTCACTCTGCATTTCTTTACTCTCCCTTGCCCTCCTCCTCCTCCTCCTCCTCCTTATCAAGGTGGTAGCCAGGAGAGATGTGGAGACATTTTTTGAAGGAATGCAGGCCAGAAAGAGGCAGAGGCTGGAGAGTGGGGAGGGGGTTCCCCCTGCCACCTGCCACTTCTGACCGTCATCATCAGTCCCCATTCATCATACTCAGCCCAACAGCCTGTATAGTCATTCGATCGTAATGCTTCCTCATTTTTCCCCACAGTGATTCTCAAATGAAGTTAATATAACAAAAAATGATAATAATTATAACTCTATTATTGTGGAAAACAGCGAGGATATAAAAAAAACTTTTTTTAATTGTTGTCAAAAGTTGGGTCGTTTTGTGTGAGAAGTTCCTCCACTTCAGTTTGGGCTGTGAAGTCCTACGGAGAACAGAGAGAGAAAATGGAGGACTCTAAGAATGTGCTACAGTTAACACATTCTCTTTGGGTGTGTGCATACCTCAGGTGTGCTGGTAGGCATGTTGTGGGCTTTGTGTAGCCACTCCACTGCAGTTGGGACATCTGACAGTTTCAGATGACACTGGAGAGGGAGGAGGAGGGGGTCAACTAACACTGTTTCTTAACAATGTCAGATTAGTGTCATTTGTATATTCCATGTCAGGAGCCAAAGTGTGTGTGCGTGTGCACGAAACCTTTGCAATGTAGAGAGCATTCGTTTTCCAATCCTCAGATGACCGTTCTTCTGCCTGTATATATAGTACAGAGATTATGGAAGAGAGAGGAGTAGAGAGAGGACCTTCATGAGGCTCTCCAGAGCCTCCTCGTAGCTGGACTCTGGAGGAGACCCAAACAGAGCAGCTGCAGCCTTCTTCTCCAGCCACGACACTCCAGCCACCTGCAGGCGAGGGGTGGCAAGGAAATCAATGATAGTCCCCCACACACACACACACCTCATAACAGAATCTTCCTCTGAGATGATGTAATGTCTTCTCCTCCGGACTCAAAGATATGGCCTTGTCAATGTGCTCCTGGGGAGTGATATAGAGAGGGTGGGAGAGGAGATAGGGACTGACCCCCTACTTTGTACTTGTAGCCCATTTCAATCTTTCTCTGGGTTCCTTCGTATTTGGTGAGAGAGCCAATGGCAATGGCGTACCACTGGTGTACCTCCCACACCCCGTCATCTACCTCCAAACCTCTCTCACACTGCTCCAGAGCTGAGGAAGAGAGAGGGGGCAGTAAAGATATTATCAAGAACTCCCAATCTCCCCTTATCTCACTCCAGCCTTTCATCTCTCCCCCTATCTCACTCCCACCTTCCTGGACAAGTTGTTTCTGGCCCTCTGTGTCTCTTTCTTGCTCCACATGGTTGCTCAGATGGAACAGGGCACGTGCCAGTCTCCATAGCAACCCCACATCGTCTTCAAACTGAAAGCAACAACGAAAATGAAATTCCAGGGAATACAAGTGTAACGGACTCATTCATTTCCCTACTGGCTGCCATATTGTGACCAATGGGTGGTTCACCTCAGACAAAGCTGTCCTGATCTGCCGTATGAGAGTTTCACACGTGTCCTGATTCGCCTGGCAGCTGTGTCCTAACTCGTCCAGCTGGCCATAGTCTGGCATTTTACTGCTTTCTCCCTCTCCCTCCCTTTCTCCCTCTCCCTCACTGCAGGCAAGAGAGCAAGACGAAAGAAGTAAAATTGGGTTCTGAAGGTTTACTTTGGGTCAAAGAACTCGTCATCACTCTCCGTGTTGTCTTCCTGAGCAGAGACGAAGTCAGCGGTGCTGGCTCCTCGCATGGAGCGGCGGGAAGGAGGTAGCTGACCGCCACACGGCAACACACCGCAACTCTCTACGGTTTGCCTCAGGCGAGCAATCTGAGAGAGGGAAAGACGATACGCAAGTGTTGAATAGGTCTCAAAACACCCCCGGACCTCTGCAGTCAGCTCAACTAGAGCGGCCACTAGGTTTCCAGACACATTTCCCTCGACAGCGGCGGCTCGGGACGGTCTTCGACTCCTCGATGACGTCAGCCAGCTACTGCTAGACATTCCCAGAGCGTACCCCGCTCCCAGGCCCGCCAGCACCCCCGCGGCCGTCACCGACCACGAGACGAGGCTTCCTGACCCAGAACTGGAGGAAGACATGGCACACAGTTGGAGTAGAAGAAAGATTACGACGGCTAAATAATCTCCAAATATTGCGCACCTGCGCGTGGGTGTGGCAAGTAGCCACGCCCACACTACTACTCGCCATCGGCAGCCCCCCCTTCTTTTTCAGCGCGCTCTCTCTCTAGCTCTGTCTCCTGCAGCTGAACAGAGGAACGATATGGCAATTCGGCTGACGCTAGTCTTCATCCTCCTGGTCTCCATCAGATGTCTCGCAGCAACTTGCCCGAACATAACGGCTACATACCTATGTAGAGTCTGCACAGAAGGCCCGCCGTTCAGGTACCGGCTGAGCTGCAACTACGGGTCAGCGGACGGGGCGACCATGGCCGACATCACCAGTCTCGTGCGAAGAGAGAGCTCTGCCGAGAACTTTACAGGACTGTGAGTTGCTCACGAGCGGCATCCAGACATCAGTTCTTCTTTACTTATTTTTTCAGATTATTCCATGGTTTCCAGGATCGGGCACTCACACCGGAGGTATTTGCTGGTTTCACGTCTTTGGACCGTCTGTGAGTAGCTTGCTACCTCTATTGTTAGAGCACCCGTTCATTTATGCCTGATTCGTTTCCACAGGGAGATAGCGTTTAGTGAGGTAGAGTACATGGAGGCAGATACGTTTGGCTCACTCCCAAATTTCCACAATCTGTGAGCCCTGAATTTTCATATCCGAGTGTGTTGAATGAGACTCTACACAACTGCAGGGTTATACACAACAATGACAAGTTGAAGTGGCTGTCTGGTGAGAGTTTCAATGGACTCAACTCCCTGGAATCACTGTGAGTAAATTCAACCTCTTTTTCATCCATACTGCTTACTGTTACTGTGCAGGGAACTTGAACGAAATGCCATAGAGCACTTGAGAGAAGACATGGAGCCTTTTTTCCGGAGGATATCTAACAGCATGTAGACAAGTCCCTTTATTTTTTGGTGCATGTAACCCAATAATAATTCTCTCTCATGTTTAGTCGTCTGAGAGAGCCACTTCAGTGTGACTGCCACCTTCTTTGGCTGGTGGACTTTATTGCAACTCAGTCTACAATATCCGTGACTCATGATGTTGATTGCATCTCCAACTCAGCCACGGATTTCAGCCAGTGCCTGGGTAAGTGAAATTAGCACATTGTAGCATGCTCAAGACACAGTTCTTCTCTCTCTCTCTCTCTCTCTCTGGACAAAGATCCGTGTGAACTGGGTTACCATCCCTGCAATGTGGACGCCGCCTGTACCATAGTCAACAGAACTCAACCAGTCTGCACATGCAAACCTTGCTACACTGGAGACGGCACTGCCTGCAGCAAAACACTGTGCCCCTCAGGGAACATGGAGTGCAGGCCTCTGACTGGAAGGTGTGAGTGCGGAGAAGACTTTTCTGCGTCAGCTGGAGACGACCCCTGCACGAGAATAGGTACGGAATTCAAACTCTCCCACTGTGTGTGTAGCATTCTCTCACGGGCAAATATCAACTTAGTTTCAGGGGTGTTCACAAACCTGACCAGAGACGTGAGTAAACACTCTGCCAGCAGCTACGCCTGTGTAGTTGCGTGTGTATGTGCCTGCAGTGTTCTGGGGTGGAGCCGGAGGACGTGGAGAGACTCTCAGACTGTGCAGAGATGCTCTCTCAAGTGGCCACACATCACCTCACCATGCCGGCTGAGATCCCTAGAGTTATTGACCTCCTCCAGGACATGGTGGCCAGTCTGAGTCAAGAAGAGGCCCACCCGCCTTCCTTCAACATCTCCCAGGTTGACGAAAACTCTTCCCTCTCTCTCTATGTGTTGTGATAATAATGCCGTGAAACAGAATCTGGTGGAGGCTGCCAGCGAGCTACTGAAAGAAGGAAACCTAGTGCTCTGGCAGAATGCAACGGTACACAAGACTCTCACACTAACAAAATTTTGCCGAATCTCTGATTTCATTCCTTTTCTCTCTCTCTCTCTCTCTCTCAGACTGATTCTACTAGAGATGCAGTGGCTATTTTCTCTGCAATGAATGACTTGGGAGCCTTGTTACTGACTCGTACCAACATCACTAACATCACCACTGATAACATAGGTAAAGAGATCCCAACTATAGCTGGGTGGCGGCTAGCTAGAGTCTTTCTCGCACGTGCAGCAATGGTTCTGGTGAGACCAAACTGCCAGAGTGAACAGAGTATACCTGAATTTGATGGTTATGACATCAGCTCTGGTTAGTTCACCCTTTTCTCCCATCTACTTTTACCCTATATGTACTGAAACCTCTGTTCTTTCTTTCTCCTCAGATCTGCTGGGTGAGGCTCCAGCAGCAGGCTCAGAGAGCACCCTCTCTCTCCCCAGCTCCCTCTTCTCCGACGTCTTTGCCAACGGGAGTGTGGCCGACTGCTCGGAGGTGGGTGTGGTCTCACTGGTGTACGGGGGGATTGGACCACTTCTGTCTCTTAATGAGGAGGAGCTCCTGACCAGCATTGGGTGTGGTCCAAACACCACTAGAGACACTGATGAGATCTGGTGAGCTATTATTATGTGAACTATAATAGCCACCCCATAATCAAAGAACCGACAAGCAATCATGATTACCATAATCACAATCATTTTTCATGATTTTAACCTGGAACACAGTAATTCATTTCACATTGCTAAGAGTGCACAATCTCTCTCATCTCCCCCTCAGTCCGTGGTATGGGGAACCCCCAGTAATCTGCCCCACTGAGTGGCAATTGAACAGTGTCGTCATATCAGCCACAGTGATAAACAGCAGCAAGGCAATCTCCACTCAGCTGTCTTCCCCTGTCACAATCTCTCTCTCCCACCAAGACCCCTCCCTCTCCTCCCCCATCTGTGCCTTCATTGATGAGTCTCTGCCTCTGCAGAGGTATACTAAAGAGAACCCGTACAGTCATGTAGCTACACCTAGTGGAGTAAGTAAAGAGCACCTCTTCTGAGGAACTGGAGGCAGTAGATGGTTCATTAAGTAGAGCCTACTATATATATGTACTACAACACATCGAAAAAGGCTCACATCTACCATACTATCACTGTGTGTCTTGCTGTGTACAGTACTGACAGTTGGTTGACTGAGAACTGTGAGAGAGATGTTGGAGCCAGCACAGACACCACCACCGTCTGTAACTGCTACCACCTCACCTCCTTTGCTCTGGTCATGAGTCGCTCCAGCTCCCCGCCAGAGAACAGACCACTCAGCATCGCCACTAAAGTCGGGCTCTCTCTCTCCATCCTCTGCCTCTGTGCTACTGTCATCCTCCTCTTTGGCCTCAAGTAAGTCACTTTCAACCCTTCTTGAGTTTTACTGAGTCTTAACTTCACCTTTGTTTTTTAACCCTCTCAATTGTCAGCCTCTTACCCCTCATGTGTTCATTTTGACCTTCTCTACGTTGACTGAGGCAATGTTTCTACTTTTGCCCACAGACTCAAGAACAAGACACTGCACCAGGTCCACAGACAGTTGGCTCTGGCACTGGGTTTATCCCAGCTAGTGTTCCTGGTGGGCGTCGACCGGTCCGCAGTCCCCAGTCCAGACCAGCTGTGCACGGCATGGGCAGCCCTCCTCCATTACCTCCTCCTGGCCACCTTCCTCTGGCAGCTCTGCGAGGGTGTCCACCTCTACCTGCTCATTGGGAGGGTGTTTGGAAACTTTGAGAGGGTTCAGTACATCTACGCTGTCATTGCCTGGGGGCTTCCCCTGCTGATTGTGGGGCCTACTCTGGGTCTGAAGTTCTGTGACTATGGCTCCACAAACTAGTGAGTCTGTTCTTCTCACATACACCAGCAGTGGCTGATTTCCATTTCCTCTCAGTTGCTGGATAACTCCCGATGGAGATGCCATATGGGCTTTCCACGGCCCAGTCATTGGAGTGCTTCTAGTAAGTATATACATAGCATTAGGAAGTGTATGTCTTGTAAGCGAATGTGTTTCAGATCAATGTGGTGGTGTTGGTGTATGTCGTGACTGTCATTGTGAGGCTGAGTATGAGAAAAGAGGAAAATGCTTGTCTCTTCATGTAAGTCAAGAATCTCTCGAACTAACACCACTCACTGCATGTTCACACAGTACTCTGATTCATGCATCGGTGGTGCTGGTCCCAATCCTGGGAGTTACGTGGGCCCTGGGGTTCCTGGTGGTAGGGGGCGGAGTCTACGCCACCGTGGTAGAGTGGCTGTTCTTTGTCTTTACCACGCTCCAGGGAGTCGCCATCTTCTTTGCTCACTGCGTCATCAACAGAGAGGTGAGAGTTCCTCTGTCTACTGAGCTTTAGGACTGCGGGATTATTTTCAGGTTCGATCCGCCTTCCTGCGCACCATGGGCTGTAGAAAACTAGCTGAAAATCAAGATACGATGGTGAACGTCGGTCGAAAATTATCAAAAGCTGGGATTGCTCAATCGTACATGCTGCGGAGGACCTCGGGCACAACTTCAGGGTCACTAACAGTAAGCCCTCTCTCTCTAGGTCTCCAGAGCTTGTCACCCCTTGATCCCCTCTTCAGGTGGGTGGGTTCGTGACCCCATCAGCCACACCCTCCAGAAGAGAGTCAGAGACTGAGACCCCATTCCAGTTAAGTCTCATTCCCATCAAAGGTACGTACATATTAGTGAGTGTGTGGTTGGCCAGTGAGTCCAGCACACGAGTTTGGTACCACAACTTTGAATCTCGTTGCAGAAGAAAGCAGTGGTCACGACAATTTCGATATTATAACCACCATTGAAGAGGAGACCAGTTGCCAAGACAACGCAACACCCTCCGTACTAACAGACGTTAGATAGACGCCTCACAGTTCAGCATCTCATGATTATTGTCACAAAGTTCGTAGTTTTTCTTTAAATAAACAGCAGTCAATAAATTATACTAATGAGTGCAAAGGTCAGTCATCCTTGGCAGTTCTGACATCGCCAGTGTTCCAGCCCCAGGACCCTCCCCACCCTCCGTCCGATTCCTGGGTTTTGGTTCCAGATCCTGACTTTGACTTTGATTTGGTTGTTGGTTCTTCTCCTTTGCTGGAGTTGTTGGAATGTGTGTCCTCCCCCCACCCCCCACTGGGCCCCCAAGAGGGGTCGTCCCAACTGGGGGAACTGGTTTCAGCTGGTTCTGTACAACCACAGAGTAGGAGGAGAGCAGAACCAACACATAAACCAATGCACAGTGCACCTCTCTTAAGGACACACGTGAAACGAGGACACCTCGCCATTGGTGTCCAGATTAGAGGATTTTCGCAACACTCACCTCTGCTGACAGGTCCTCTCTCAGTACTGCCATAGCTGGTACTGCCGTAAGATCTTGAACCAGTCCTGCTGCCTAGTGGAGGTGCCTGCTCAGCCGACCCAGAGCTGGGTGAATCCTCTGAGAATGAACCTAATAGATCTCCCACCCTTTCCTCCCTGCCTCTCTCCCCCTCCTCCCCTCCCCTCTCCCCCACCTCCATTTCCGTGGCCACACCCCCTTCTTCCTGTGGATCTGACCAGAGTGACTGGAACTCACCCCAGCCTTTCCCCCCAGCCTTCTTCACCTGCCAATGGCCAGTCAGTCACAGAGCTTTGCATCACACAATAAGGTTTCGACTTACCTTTGACCCCAGATTGGTTGCAGAAGATTTCACATCGTCCCACACGTGACCTTCCTGCACCTGTCAACAGACACACAAATACAGCACCATTAGCTACCCATCAAGATCCACTGTCATTTTCCACTCTCTAAACAGTGTACATATAGCACAAAGGTTGTAAATACCTTCTGTTTAGTTGGTTTGATGACAGCATCATTGACATAAGTCCCAAACTTTGACATCTGAGGAAAGTGGATGATCACCTCAATAACTTCATGATCAACACACACACACACACACACACACACACACACAAACACAAACACCTGAAAGTTCACCTGCTCTCCAGAAGGTTTAATGACAGACTGGTTGATGGAGGAGCCGACCCCGCTTGCCTTCTCGCCGACCTTGCTGGCCCAGGTGCTGGCAGCAGAGGTGAAGCTGGTCCAGCCAGATGCCAGCGAGGCCCACGTGTCCCCAGAGTCCTCCTCCTGATCCCTCGGAGGAGGCGCCGGAGTGTTCCCGAATCCCGTGTACTTGCCTCCCTCACTGGGTGGCAGGTCGCTGAGAGGAGAACGAGGATATGATTGGAAAAAGCAGAGAAAGTTTACTAGAGACTTACTCTGGTTTATCGGCATTTTCTAGCAACTTTCTCTTAAAGAAATCCTCTTTATGTGCTGCTATGTCCTCCCTGTGGATGCAGTGAGTGACTGGCATTAGTAGAGAATTATTCTCCTCACTCACTTGGTGTAAGACATGTTGGCAGAGCTGTTCCCCTGCTGGCCCTGGTAGTCAGACTGCTGCTGAGGCACTCTCTTGGAGGGTGGTCTGTAGTTCTTGGCAGAAGATGACGCCATGCTCCAAGCCCTTCCCTCTGCCTCTGTGGAGATCTGAATACAACATCAGCAAACTAATCTTTTCCTAGCACACACATATCTCGACGTAGACCCCTCATCAGTAATGATGAGAGGATCTGAAATATCTTCGATATGAAGACTAATAAGTGCCGATGTTCAAAAACAACCTTAACCGTGTCAGTTGGCACACATGAGCACTATTTAAGCTAACTTTATGCCTAAGTGAGGCTTGACATTTTAAAGATTTTACAATATCGCGTGAAGCTTGAAGCATTCTGTACGTAAGAGTACATGTGAGAGGGTAAGTGGGCAGACCTTGTCACGGTAGAGGGCTGCAGTCTTGGTGTCGTATTTGTCGGCCAGACCCATGCCAGGCGTGATGTCAGACTGGGAGGAAAAGAACTCCTTCGCCCGTGAGTTGCCCCCCACCTGAGTGATGGAGATGTTGATGAGCAGTGAGGTGAGGTGTACTGGACTAAGACCTTCATTTTCTCCAGCTCTTTGTCTTTCCACTTGTCCATTGTGGTGGAGCGAACAAAACTGGAGGAAGGGAAATGAGAGTCAGTCAGTCGGGAGGAAATGGTCCCTGTCCTAGATAATCATACCTCCTGTGGACTCCTAGACCTCTGTGTTTGCCTGAGCACTCGAGGCAGATGAACACGCCGTACGAGACTGACACCCACTGCGGGTTCAGCGTACCACATTCGAAACAAGCCTGTGGAGTGGGAGAAGAAACGAGCTCTCTCAGAGCTTCGTTGAGGCCGCTTTTCTACTCACGTTATTGTCGTATTTCCTCCTCAAATCTCTTAGAACTTCTTTCGTCCGTGGGCTCGCCATTACCTACAGAACAGCAACGTTCCTTTCAGTAGATGTGCGCTGACGTGTTTCTTCCTTCGTCACGCTTTACAAGCCACACCCACCCAGACTACTTACAGGAAGTCGTTTCTTCCTGCCCGCACCAGCGCAACTTTTTGTCTGTCTCCCACGAGCCCAGCTGAGCTGCTCTCATTGTTCAAACCCCGCGAGCGAGCAGAAAATGTTCCGCAAAAAGAAGACTAGCGACAAACTGCCGGCGGCTAAGCCCGAGTCCTCGGCTCAACCTCCTGCCAAGACGACATCTCAGCAGCAATCGGGGACGCCGCCTGCTCAGCCTAAGGCAGCTCCTACGGCAACAACCAATGCAACAAACGCCCAACCCCAGGCTAAAGTGGTGGTAAGCGTGAACACAGCCAGCTCCACTTCGGCTCCCGTGCAGCCACCAGCGAAACCTCCAGCTACAACCAAGCAGCCCGCGGCTCCACCTCCTGCCAAGACGACATCTCAGCAGCAGTCGGGGACGCCGCCTGCTCAGCCTAAGGCAGCTCCTACGGCAACAACCGATGCAACAAACGCCCAACCCCAGGCTAAAGTGGTGGTAAGCGTGAACACAGCCAGCTCCACTTCGGCTCCCGTGCAGCCACCAGCGAAACCTCCAGCTACAACCAAGCAGCCCGCGGCTCCGGCGGTCACCGCTACCTCCACCACCAGTCCTAAGATGGTGGATAAAGCTGCGAGGAAAGCCAAAGGGGCCAGGGGCTTTTTCAAGCGCGCCCAGACCATCGTGGGGATCCGGGCGTCCGCAACAGAGGCTGAGAGACTGCGGGGGGACATGAAGCGGGAAAAGAACTGGAAGCGTTGGGGACCGTACCTCAGCGAGCGGCAGTGGGCCACCGTTCGCGAGGACTACTCCGCCGACGGCTCCTGGTGAGACGAGAAAAGGAGCCCTTGATTGCCATAGATTTGCGTGGGTGGGCTCGTTTTTTGAGTTTCCGGTTTTGGTTTTTCATGTGTACAACTTTTTACTCTCTCCATACTTTCTGTTTCTCTGGTCTCTCTCTCTCTCTCTCTCTCTTTCTCTCCCCCTCTTACAGCTGGGACTACTTCCCTCACGACCATGCTCGCCTGCGGGCCTACCGCTGGGGAGAAGACGGACTCCTGGGGATCTGTGACCGCCAGTGTCGGCTCTGCTTTGCCGTCTCCCTCTGGAACGAGAGGGACCCCATCCTCAAGGAGAGGATATTCGGTCTCACGGGGCCCGAGGGGAACCACGGCGAGGACCCCAAGGAGTGCTACTACTATCTGGACTCCACCCCCACCCACTCCTACATGAAGGCCCTCTACAAGTATCCGCAGGCACCGTTTCCCTATGCCCAGCTCGTGGACGAAAACAAACGACGCGGAGTCTCAGAGCCAGAGTACGAATTGGAGGACACCGGGGTTTTCGACGAGGGAAGGTACTGGGATGTGTTTGCCGAGTACGCCAAGGCCGGTCCCAACGACATCTTGGTGAAGATAACCGTGGCAAACCGAGGACCCGAGGCCGCGAAGCTCCACCTACTCCCGACACTGTGGTACCGAAACACGTGGATCTGGGGCTGCAAGCACGAGGGGTGTACGAGGAAGCCTCTCCTGAAGGAGGTGGGGGAGGGGCATGTGAGGGGGAGCCACGAGACGCTGGGAGTCAGTCATTTCTTCGTGGGGCCAGGTCCCGACGGCCAGCAGCCCTCTCTCCTCTGGACTGAGAATGAGACCAACTCACTGGCCCTGCATGGAGTGGAGCAGTACACTCCGTACACCAAGGATGCCTTCCACCGGTGAGCCAATCCCAAACGTTCTTCCACTTACTAGTCCACCCTGTATATTTCTGTCTGTCCAGCTACCTCATTCAGAAGGAAGAGGAGGCAATTAATCCTAATCGCAGGGGCACAAAGGTGTCTCCCCACTATCTCCTGGAGGTGCCTGCAGGGGAAGAGAGGAGCGTTTATCTGAGGATCACAGATGACGAGAGCCAGCCAAAGGGGAACCCATTCGGGGAGGAGTTCAGGGAGGTGTTCCAGGCACGACGAGAGGAGGCCGATGATTTCTATACCAGCATCAGCTCCTATGACTTTGGACCTCAGCAACAACTCATCTCCAGACAGGCATACGCTGGTCAGCCCTGAACTCTCTACACCACCCTGTTCACATAAACACTCTCACATTACTGTAACTTGAGACACATTATATGTAGCTACTCCACCAAATACCTGCAAGACATACCAATGTCTACACATTGTTTACTCCCTCCTTCACTTCCGTCCCCTCGTCCCCTCCCTGGTGTGTGTAGGGCTTCTTTGGTCGAAGCAATTCTACCACTACGTCGTTGAGTCCTGGGTCGATGGAGATCCGGACCAGCCAAAACCACCTGAGTCTCGCAAATGGGGTCGCAACGCTCAGGAGTGGCGCCACCTCTTCAACAGAGACGTCATCTCCATGCCTGACAAGTGGGAGTACCCCTGGGTAAGAAGAGGGTTAAACAACAAAAGGTTACTCGTCGGAAACGAAATCTATTGTAGGCATTAGTACTTTGTTCCACGATACCTTAAAACAGACCTTCAAAGAAACGATGGAATGTCTCTCCCTCTTTCTCTTGACTCCCAGTATGCGTCTTGGGACCTTGCCTTTCACATGTTGCCGTTTGCCAAAGTGGACCCTGAGTTTGCCAAGGAGCAGCTGGTCCTCTTCCTGAGAGAGTGGTACATGGCACCCAACGGACAGATCCCTGGTAGGTATATGTGCCTTGCTTCCTCAGTTTCTTTAGACCTATATACGACTCCCTTTTTACTGTCACTCCGAGTGGTTTTTAGCACTGCATTATCCAGATACATGTAGTCAAGGTATTCAGGGTGGTTGGTTGGCTTGGTAGAGAAATAGCTCTCTATAAAGTCACATCATAGAGTCTTTTTCCTCCAGCCTATGAGTTCCAGTTCAGTGACGTGAACCCCCCGGTGCATGCCTGGGCAGTGTTCCGGGTGTACAAGATGACAGCTCCACGGGGAGAGAGAGACGTACCATTCCTCAAGAGCTGCTTCATGAAACTCATCCTCAACTTCAACTGGTACGTGGTAGAGAGTCAGCTATATATACCTGGGATAAATGTTGGAGCCTCCTTTAGTCAGAGAACAAGGTGTTTCTACATCATCTACGCAACTTGCGAAATTGACTCAAAAAGTCTAACTGTCTCTGATCTCTGATCTCTGTGCAGGTGGGTGAACCGAAAGGATCCAAGTGGAAAGAACATATTCACTGGAGGCTTTCTTGGTCTCGATAACATCGGTCAGTTACTGGTTCGAAAATACTCGACCCTCCATTTTCCCACTATTTTAACCTCTCTCTCTCTCTCTCTCCGTATTTGTTCAGGTATATTTGACCGCTCCAGGCCCCTCCCCACGGGCGGAGTTCTGGAGCAGGCAGACGGGACGGCGTGGATGGCCTTCTACTGTGCTGTGATGTTAGACATAGCTCTGGAGCTGTCTCTCCACGACCCAGTCTTTGAGGACATGGCCTCCAAGTTCTTTGAACATTTCGTGATGATTGTGGACGCCATGAATCAGCTGGGGGAGGGACAGGGGCTGTGGAATGAGGAGGACGGCTTCTACTACGACCACCTGCGGTGAATCCTTACCTTCCCTCACTCTCTCTCCTCCTCTCCACCTCCTGTGCACCTCACATTTGCATTTTGTAAGGCGCTGAAGGCCACAAGCAGCTTCCATTTAGTTGGCTAATTTCCCCCCTAAATAGTGTCTTACTTAACTTCTCTCTCTCCCTCCACCTGCTATACACACCCAGGCTGCCAGATGGGAGGAGTTTTCCGATGAAGATCAAGTCGATGGTAGGTCTCATCCCTCTCTATGCCTGCCTGGTACTGGAGGACGAGGTCATCAAGAAACTGCCAGGGTTCCGGAAGAGGCTGCAGTGGTTCCTCGACAACAGACAGGACATTGCTAAACAAGTGGGCCCCCGTCTCTCTCTCTGTCTCTCTCTCCAGACTTCTGTGACTAGCTATGTATGTTCTGTCTAGATCTCCTACCTGGACACCCTGAAAGATGGGGAGTTCTGCCACCTGTTGGCCATCCCCAGCCAGGAGAGACTGCTGAAGGTCCTCCGCTACATGCTGGACGAGGACGAGTTCCTCTCCGAATTCGGCATACGCTCTCTCTCCAAGGTCTGACGACACACATACACACACGGGAGGGAGCTCTGGACTGCTGCTCGACCAGTTCTTTAGCTTGATTCCTGACTGGGTCCTGACATTAGAAAAAGCTGGGACTTTCTCCCTTCTACAGTAACTTTAAGCATCATTGACCTAGGCCTAGCAGTAACATCAGAAAGTGGGAAGGAAAGTGATGATGATGAAAGGGGTAGGGAGTGGGGGAGAGGTAAAGAGACGAATCAGTCGGTGTTTCCTCCCACTCCAGATCCACGAGAAGCAGCCATTCACAATGGACGTGGGAGGCGAGCACCACGAGGTGTCCTATGTTCCTGGAGAGAGCAACACTTACGTCTTTGGAGGCAACAGCAACTGGCGAGGCCCCATCTGGCTCTGCGGTGAGCTGAATGACAAACTGAGCTCAGTGTTTCTAGCTATCTGGCTTTGCTTCTATACTGATACCTGGGCATTAGTGGCGGCGCTCTTTGCTACCTAGCACGGGTGTTAGGAAGAACGGTGTTGTGACTATAAAGCAGTGTCAGTGGTTCGAATCCAACTATGTTGCTCTGAGTGTCGTAGACATTTTAGTGTTGTGTCTGCCTGCTCACCCACAGTCAACTTCCTGATCATTGAGACTCTGGAGCGCTACTACTATTTCTACGGCGATGATCTGAAGGTGGAGTGTCCGACGGGGTCGGGGGTTCAGATGAACCTCCTCCAGGTCAGCCACGAGCTCTGCCGCAGAGTCAACTCTCTCTTCGTCCCCTCGTCCGAGAGTGGTCGACGGCCGTGCCACGGAGCCGACCCTCGCTACGCCTCTGACCCTCACTGGAAGGATCTGGTGCTGTTCTACGAGTATTTCAATGGGGACTCTGGGAAAGGATGTGGAGCCAGGTGAGTCCCTTGTGACTTCTCTCTCCTGGTAGTTAATGTCTTCTCTCTCTCTCCCCTCAGTCATCAGACTGGCTGGACTGCTCTCATTGCTCGCTGCATTGACAAAGTTGGAGAGGTTAGTGAGTTCCTACCTGTCTCTACTAGGTCCAGTTTGCATACTCTACGACTATTTCAAGTCTGCAATTGTTCTGTTGTTGTTCAGGTTGAAAGCTGCAAATGCTGAACAGAAGAACTTTTTATTCATGTATGAACAGAGATGTAATATACAGAATGATGTTAATGTATTGAAATGCAAGATGAACAAGTGATGGAGTGTTAAGTGTCGGCCGAGTTGGCCAGCTCTTCACACAATCTCTTTCTCTCCTCTGCCTGTCGCAGTTTCATCAGCACTATACTCTCATAGTCTCTGTCTTCCCCTCCTCCTACTTCTTCCATGGTTACTGCTCCCTCCCTCCCATCCACACTTCCTTCCCTCTCCTCCCTCCTCTCCCTCTCCTCCCTCTTAGTAATTTGTGTCTTGGGCTGGCCACACACCCAGGATACAGTTAGAGGGCATGCTGGCATACCCCTCTCTTTCTCCACTGCTGATCCCTGCACAATCACAAAGGGAAAGAGAGGGTAGAAGAAAAGGAGTTGTCAGAAGCACAACTATATTGACTCTGCTTAGAGAATAGAGAGAATGAGTGTGTAATGGAGGGTGGGAAGACAGAGGTTAGCTCACAGCATCGTGGCCAGAGTGGAAGGACACAAGAGCCTTTCCTTTCTTCTTCCCGGAGATCAGGATGTGGTCGAGAGGACCGTAGCAAGAGAAGAGCCCCTGCAGCAGAGCCTGATCGTAGCCTCCGTTACTAATATCTGACTTCTTTGCTTTCCACGTCACCTTCAGAGTGGGCATTTCATCACCTTCCTCATCCTCCTCTGCTGGCGATACTGCAGTGTGTGAATATCAGTATTACTCTATTGGAGAGTGAGGTTGAGAAAGACATGCTGTAGAGAGACGTACCTCCTCTAGCCATCTGCTGCCTCAGTAGCTCTGTCTGTTCCTGGATCCTTCGCTGGCTCTCCTCCCTCAACCTCTCTATCTATACACACAGCCATTGAGAGGTACATACTGCAAGATAGGAGAAGGCAACATACCTCTCTCTGCATGCTGGCCGCTGCCTCTCTCTCACTGGCAACCTCTGAGACACTGCTCTGCTGGCTCTCCCTCTGCTCCAGCTGCTCTTTCAGCTTACGTCTCTTTGCGTTGAGCTCCTGGTGTCTCCGCTGCGCCACCTGCTTGGCCTTCAGCCACCGGTCGTAGCTAGCTCTGGCCATGGGGTCCGTTAGAACCGTCAGCACTTTGGACAGCTTCTGGAACATCTCAGCTGTCGAGGGTGCTCTGTGTCAGGTTGTGAAAGTATGAAAGTAGGTGAACACATACCAGCATTAGGGTCGTCGGGGTTCTTGTCGGGATGGTACTTCAGAGCCTTTTTTCTGTAGGCTCTAGTGATCTGAGGACAGAATGAAATATTGAACTGTGCGCCTTTCACAAGAGTGCTGTCGTTTACTTACTTCTTTCTCTGTGCTGTCTGGTTTGAGTCCGAGAAAGCCGTAGAGATCCTCCACGCCCAGCTCCGACAGGAGACTCGCTGTTTTCTCTTTACTCGCCATTCGGCAGTTGGGTGGTGGGCAATTTGTTGGTGCGCTTTGATTAGAAATAGGTGTGCTTCAATTAGGGGTAATTACACATGGAGGAAAGGGAGTCTTCGACAAGCCACACGTATCTACCAGGCACGGCGAGCCTAGTGCAAGAGATTGACAGTGAGCTCGGAGCCAGAGTAACTGTACAGTATGTTTATATAGAGCTGACGTCGCCCTGTTTCGGCAGACCGTGCTAGATCTACTCACTTCTTCTCTCCAGAGCGGCTCCTCGTCGTCCTGAGAGATGGGAGGACTCTCATCGGATACCTCCGTAGTGTGGACCAATTTGGTTAGCTCTGAGGTTCTTCGCAGTATAGAGTAACACTTACTCTTTCCTTATCTTTTTCCAAAGCCAATCTTCTCATGCAGCACACTGTGGAACGGATCCACGTGGGAAAACAGTTTGGAGACATTCCTCGTGGAATATACCTCATCCGTGGAGAGAACGTCGCTCTCTGTGGGGAGATAGTGAGTCGTCCCTCCCCAAATCAATCATCGGTGACCCACCTCTCCCACACACAGGACCCGGAATTGGAGGGAAGACAGGAACTGGAGAGAGTCTCCATTGACGAGATCCTGGAGGCCCAGCGTGTGGTCACGGAGAAGAGGGAGGAGAAGAGGAAGAGACGAGAGCAGCTCTTGAGGTCACGAGGCATGCGACCTTTGGACCACACCGATTACGACATCTGACTTTCAATCCTATGGCTGTATCACTAAGTACGGTAGTACTTAGTATGGGGGCTTTGTATATATTTACCCACACATCAATGTCTATCTTATCCATTCTATATATATATTCTTCTTTCGCTTTCAATTTTTCATAATAATCTGAATTTACATGTGGCAAAATTAACGACAATAAATACCGTTGGAACATGAAATAATGAGACAGGATTCAAAATGTGCGAAAAAAGAGAATAGTGCATCATTCAATGAAAAATATGAGGATTACAGTTTTGACTGTCAACCAGTGGGTGTGGCCTAGCTGCTGGGTGAGGGTGTGAGGGAGGGAGTGGAGGCAGTAGTGTTGAAGCCATGTTGGATGTGGCGGAAGTTGATCGGGAGGCTAATGTCATTGCCAGTCATCTTGCTGCTGGTGGTGGCCAGATCTGGGACACTGGGAGAGGGAGGGAGAGACGTAATGTAGCTACAATCTATGCTAAGATCTCGTTACAAATCTATGGCAAGGAGCCAGTTGGACTAACAATTATTAGTCTAAATTGCACATTTTTGCCAAAGACCTCTCTCTTTGTTTTCTTGGTAAAGTTGCACCCAACGCAGTCACTAAATCGAAAAATAAACTATGTTCTACAATCCTTGTAACTGCGAAATACTCTGACACCCTCTAAGATGTGCTCCATGCTCGCTCCACCAACATACCTAGCTTTCTTTTTGATGATGCGAGGCATGACAAAGTTCCCAGCCCACGATATTCTTTTCCTCCACTTCCTCTGAGCTGACGACGGATCCCTCGGCCCAGTTCTGCGGGGTACGATGATTGGTCGATGGGGCATCGTAGCTGCCGAGGCAGCTTGTGGCTGGGTTGGCATGGCGACAGTGGTGTGTGTGGGAGTTGGGGGATTGGTGGGTGTGCTCTCGAGGGAGAGTGGGGAGTCGTGATCCTCTGGGGAGGGAGAGGGTTGGGGAGTGAAGGGAGAGGAGGGTCGGGACGGTGTGAGGGTCAGTGTCGAATCCAGTTCCACTTGAGAATTTGAAGACCCTATTCCTGAAACGAAGAGAACAGATTCATAAACTTTGACAACAAAAGTGACGTCCTTTATTCAGGTCTCTTATTCGAAGGTGTATCAGTATGGGGCGGTTCTTTGTAGAGAGGTGTCTTGTTTCACTGCATAATTATATGCGAGTGGTACTGGGGTGTCCTGAAAGCCTGTCCTGAAAGCCTGTCCTGAGGCTCACCTGAGTTCTCACCTGAGGTGGAGGAGGCAACAGAGCAGATGGAGGCACGGGATGCGGACGGAACAGCACCGTCCTCGGTCTCAGACCTTGGCAGAATGGAACAGGGACTGCTGGGTTCTGGGCTGTTGGGCAGGCTCTCAATCTTCTCCATGAGCCAGACAGGCTGGGACTGTGGGAAGGATCAATCGCTGGTAAACACAGAAAGCCCTTTACCGAGGAATTTTTGTAATGATGCTAGTTACGGTAGCAATAGATTATATTTTCCACTAACTGAGGCTTCCATGCATTTCTCTCCATTGCCCCTAAACAACATTACTCTCCATTGCCCCTAAACAACATTACTCTCCATTGCCCCTAAACAACATTACTCTCCATTGCCCCTAAACAACATTACTCTCCATTGCCCCTAAACAACATTACTCTCCATTGCCCCTAAACAACATTACTCTCCATTGCCCCAAACAACATTACTCTCTTGCCCCTAAACAACATTACTCTCCATGCCCTAAACAACATTACTCTCCATTGCATGTAAACAACATTACTCTCCATTGCCCCTAAACAACATTACTCTCCATTGCCCCTAAACAACATTACTCTCCATTGCCCCTAAACAACATTACTCTCCATTGCCCCTAAACAACATTTCTCTCCATTGCCCCTAAACAACATTACTCTCCATTGCCCCTAAACAACATTACTCTCCATTGCCCCTAAACAACATTACTCTCCATTGCCCCTAAACAACATTACTCTCCATTGCCCCTAAACAACATTACTCTCCATTGCACCTAAACACATTACTCTCCATTGCCCCTAAACAGCATTACTCTCCATTGCCCCTAAACAACATTACTCTCCATTGCCCCTAAACAACATTACTCTCCATTGCCCCTAAACAACATTACTCTCCATTGCCCCTAAACAACATTACTCTCCATTGCCCCTAAACAACATTACTCTCCATTGCCCCTAAACAACATTACTCTCCATTGCCCCTAAACAACATTTCTCTCCATTGCCCCTAAACAACATTTCTCTCCATTGCCCCTAAACAACATTACTCTCCATTGCCCCTAAACAACATTACTCTCCATTGCCCCTAAACAACATTACTCTCCATTGCCCCTAAACAGCATTACTCTCCATTGCACGTAAACAGCATTACTCTCCATTGCCCCTAAACAGCATTACTCTCCATTGCACGTAAACAACATTACTCTCCATTGCACGTAAACAACATTTCTCTCCATTGCCCCTAAACAACATTACTCTCCATTGCACGTAAACAGCATTACTCTCCATTGCCCCTAAACAGCATTACTCTCCATTGCACGTAAACAACATTACTTCCGTTCTTTGGGAGTCTTCATGGTAACTGAGACATGCAGCTTTCAGTTCAAAGGGAGTGTTAGTTTACATACATTCTGGGAATGGTGGGTAATAATAGGGTCTACTCACGAATCTCTTCTTCTCCGGGAACTTGTCGTAATCTGTCACCAGGTCGATGCAGCTGGACGTCCGCTCCATGGAGCTCATTGGCCGCCGGAGCCCGCCGGAGCCCTCCCCCACCCGCTGGCCCGCACCGGGGAGGTTCTCTGCCGACGTGTACAGCCCTCTCCTCTTCCTCACTCGAATCTCGCTCACCGACATTGTCTTCTTGGTGGCTGAGATGGGTCGCTGCATCTCAGAGTTGACGGGCCTTGGTTCACCTCCACTGAGGTCTTCCACACTCACAGCCGACAGGTGCCTGCAGAGAAAGGGATAATGTTTCAGTTTAAGGACTAGAAGTATGACTTCACGGGTGATTGTCATACTAAAGAATGTGGTGGGTTTGAATACCACACAGGGAGGCTCTTTTTTCCTGGGAGAAATGGGTGTTGTTGTGTTGTTTGCTCTGCTTTGCTTGTGGCGTACATGTGATTGTCATGTGACTTACTTCATGAGCTGCTTGGCCAGCTGCTTCCCGGCCAGCCTCCCGCGAGTGCTGAGTCTGCGAATGGACCCTGACCTCCGACCGTTGTTGCGGATCCTTGCCACTGAGCAGGCCAGCTCGCACGACTTGATCGACGAGTTCAATCTGATGAGCTCCTCGTGAAGAAGGTCAATTGCCTCCTTCAGGTAAGGACTGTCTCTGTTGTCCAGAGCCTGCTTCAGTAGATCCTGAGAGAAGAAAGGAGAGGCAGAGATTTTAATTTTAAAATTCCAAGAAAAAATTCCAGGCATGTAATTTTCCTAGAAACATCCCAGAGCTAATCAGCTATGCACAGCAAAAAGAACGGACTTCATTTTGTCAGACTTCTTTTTTTGAGGGGCTTCACCCAGAGGAGCTCTGACAGACTGACCTTGAGGAGGAGCTCGTATCGCGGGAGTCTCTGGACAGGAGTGAGGAGGAATGCGGAGAGAGACAGACCGTCACACTCGGCCTGCTGGCTGCGCAGCTCCTGACGAAAGGCCTGGGAGGAATGCTCGTACTTGGCCAGGGTCTTCATGGCGACCTTGAACTCCTTCATGTAGGCGCTGTACATCTCAAAGAACTCGCACTGTGCAACGGGAGAAAGAGAAGAGAACATCCATGAGCTCAATCATTACATCGATACATAATAACATATAGGGAGACAATACTTGTATAGAGAGAGTGAGAGTGTGTGAAACAATTAGAGAAATACTGAAAGAAATTATATTATAACAGAGTGAGATACACACTCATACGAAGGCAGCGGGTGTGAAACAATTTGAAGATTGAAATGGCTTGTAATTAAGTAAGCTATTAGTGTATACAGAGAGAGGAGAGTGTGATGAAACTTGCCAGCTGCACAACAGTGAATCACTAGGTTATGTACAACAACACTCCCTCGGACCATATGTACATAAAGACATAATATTGCTTATGGCACGGGGAAGGGCTTCACTCACATACAGTACCTCGTTGTGCAATATGCTATATATAATCAAAAGGTATGTACGTTCCTGCCGGTAAATGGTGAAGGAGTGCATGGCATTTTGTAATAAAGATACCAGTTGACACTAGTTGGCATATTGTATACCCAATACCCACGCAGTACGGAAGTGGTGTCAGGAAGGTGTGTCTCTGTGATGAGATTTGTTTATTCCCCAGAGACCGCCGGCGGCCATCAATTGCCTGCGATCGCGAGGCATGTTCCTGTACTTAGTCCTACTCGATGAACCGCGGACAGTGGTGTAGAGTGACGGAGTGAACTTAGTGACCCAATGTCACACATTCACGGCAAGAGGAAGTCCTTGTGTAACAGAGGAAGTGGAGAGGAAATGACAAACTCGTTACGTCTCAATGGGAAGGTCGAGGGGAAATCACAATGTCAGTTGAACGGAAGCAAGCAGCTCCTACAATTTTCTCACGTACAGCGGAGCTATAGCCATAACAAGAAACTCCCAATTTCGGTAGGGAAGCATGAATAGAGGAAGTCAACGATGTATTGATGTGTAAGGGGTAAAGGTGGGAGGATATTCACCTCATGAATATATCACCACTGCCAGCCAAACTAATTTGCAATTGCCTCCACCTCATTCTTTCACCTGAATCTAATAATCCACAGAGACATGTGCCTTGTGTGTGTGTGTGTGCCTTGTGTGTTTCATGTAAGGTACCATTCCTTCTATTTACTTCTTCTTCCCTTCAATTCAGTTGGTATGAACAAAATTCATATTTCATTGCTTGTGCATGGGGTGACAAGGTTTGGTGGGGAATTGTGGTACCAGTTGTGCGGTTAGTGTCAGTGATCTCCAGGGAGCAAATCTCATTCGGCAGAGCTACTGTTGTGTGCCTCCTCCACAGCCTATTAGCCCACTCACTCAACCAGAACAGGTGCCATATGCAGGGAGATTGCTAACTGAAAGCCAGCAGGTATACAGCCCAGACACATCAGACTTCTCCTGTCACTGGGTGCCAGCCATTGTGTACCACATTGGAGTGTTGTCACACATTGAGACCCTCCCACACTGCCTGCTGCTACTCCCTCCATTCACAACTGCCTTGGGACTGGGAGCCACACACCATGCAGCTACCTGTTAATCAACACACTAATAGCCACTGGACCCTCTCCCCTGACAACCACAGAGGTGCTAACTAACCAAATTAGGCAGTCACATTCCCCACTTGGAAAGTTTAAACCCAGCACAACAGGCAAAACACTTGAATCTTCCTCCAATCAACACTCTGACAAAGCCACACACTAACTGCATTAATCAGACTCACATTCCCTGCTTCTCTGGAGCACAGCTGCTGGAATATGTCTCCAACCATGCCATGGCTCTCTGAATCCGAGACAATCCGATCCTTGAATTGTCCGAGGAGTCCCTTGTGGCACTCTAGGAGGGGTTCCAGCTGGCAGGGGAAGAGGAGGCGGAGGTCGCGTGGGGACACAAAGTCTTCCATGGCCGGCAGGAGAGTGTTGAGTAGTGTGTCGAGGTTTGAGAGGTAGCGCCGCTCTGTGTTGATCAGCTCCTGGAGAATCTGCTCGCTCCTGTCGGTGGCTTGGGGAGGGAGGGAGAGGGAGGGAGAGGGAAGAGAGAGAGAGGTGTTGCACTGAAGGTTAATGGTGCAGAAGGTGTGCAATACACAAGATGATCTGTTCAGTTACAGCATATCATTCGGCTGAGGGAACTAGGTATCACAAACCACACTACCACACACAAATAGAACAACTCCAACATGTTTTCCCTATCACCAGATCTCTATTATGTCTGATACATTAACAGTGTGAGGTCTAACAAATTCACACACACAGGTTCCATATGTTCCCCTCTTAAACATGGATTTTCATCCTAATAACCAGCTGCGGGCAGGAACCCGAGCTGTAACGTCACCCGTTCTCTTCTTACGCGCCATCTTCTGCCAATATATCCAGTGTCGGTGGCCATGAATAGCCCACCGACGCAGGAGTAAAACATAGAGTAAACGGAGGGCAGTTGGTGTAGTTATAAGCTAGCAGACGCCTGGCTCCAACTGTGGCTATTCACTGCTCCCATTAGTTGCAGCTTGGACAGGCAAGGGCCCGTGGGGACCGTGAATATCGTTAGCGGAATTTGAATCGCATCATCAGCGAAGAGCAGTGGCTGTTCCCACAGGACATGGGGAGGAGGAGGATTCATGTGTTTGGAGGTGACAATGAATAGCAGCCGGAACAAAGCTGAACCAAACACATTAGCAACCCAGCGTGTAGTCTGTCTAGCCATGTGATGACAGGGATGAACGCCAGAGGCCCCGTGAAATTGAAAGCCCAGCTCTATAGCTACCAAAACCCCGCCCACCCTCCACTACAACAAAACACCATGTCTCTTTCACCACCACTGAACAGAGACTGGAGTTGTGAACTATAAAACCAGATGTTGTAACGATTTAAGTTCTCCCTTGTCCACATTGACTGCATGAAACATAACAACTAAGACTCACTGAATGGGGGGCGCTCTGTGATCAAGTGTGAACAAATGTACATGGTCCATTATGTGGTATGATGCATGCACTGTACATATATTAACCTTGGGAGGTGTTACAGTAGAGAGCTGAGGTGGAGTGACAGATGCGTTTGTTACGCAACAGTTGGAGCCTCAGATTCGGGCTGCTGTCAGGGGGTGTGGCCACCAACACGGAGATGTCGGGTATGAGGGGAGTGAAGGGAATGTCAGGGGTCGGTCGGCCGGAGAGGGAGGAGGGGTACGCTGAAAAATGAGAGAGACGATTGTGACATAGTTGCATTGCTAACAAGTTTACAATGGGTCACTAACCACATCAACAGGACTACCAGACCATAAATCTAACAAATTTAACAAAGTTTTGGTCACAAACTCAGCAACTGAGACATCAACAGACAACAACGGAACATCGGACCAAAATCCTACTGGCAACTAAACCAATTTCAGTCTAACTTCAGTGTACACTAGAGGCCAAATTTGGAGTTTTTCCAGAGTCTCTCAGTAGCAGTGAGCCAACTAGCTCTAGGTAATTATACTGCAGAGGCTCAGAACTCTAGTCAGAGCTATACGTAGATTGGTGTCACTTCAGTGCGAGCCTGCCAGTGACTTATGTACCTATACACCTGTATAGGTACATATGCATGCAAGCCACTGTATCAGCAAAGCAGAGACGTTCTTGAGGCAGCAAAGTAGCAAACGAGGCTGTAGGTACGTGTATCGGTAGCCTGGGGGAGGATGTACATTGGCCTAGAGTGCAGGGGATCGAGTTTCGACCAATCTTGAAAATTAGATTTCCAAATATCCTCTGAAGTTGTCAGACACTCAGGAGACTCCTACACACACAAGAAGTGCTGATTGATTGGGGTGCTGTGCAAAGGGACAGCTGTTGAGGGAGGGGACTAAAAACCCCCACACAAATTGGACTATGATAATATTAGAGAGGAAGGAGAGAATCTGTCCTTGAAGCTTTTCATGACTTCACGCTCCATTGCTGCTCAATGCACAGTAAGAAGATAAGGTTTTCAGACCAGGAGCATGCATTACTGGTACGACACAAAGAGAGGCCCAGTGGATACACTGGCACAATATACCTGGGCTTTGAGATCTGCTGGTGGTGGTAGAAGAGTCCGTGTTGTAGGAGGGAGAGAGATGAGATGTGTAGCGATCCAGGGTCCACACTTTTCCTCGCCGAGTGGAGGTTGGTGAGCTGTTGAGCTGAGCAATCTGTGACCACAGGGAAAGAGAAGAGAGGTGTTTGTGTCCAAGTTAAATGAATTAACTCATGAGAATGTTTCCACCCACTACCTCTGTTACTGAGGGAGTGAAGAGGTGCTGAGTGAGTGACAGACATCGAGACAAACAAAGGTCACAGATGAGAGGAAGGGAGGAGGGGAGGGTAGGAGTCTGGGCACCATAGTAACCCAAAATACGATACTCAATAGAGCCATAGAGAGAAGGTGCAACTCAGCAGCCCTCCCTCCTGGGACCTCAGGTACACAGAGCTATATAGACATGTCTCCCACACAACTATATACTAGTAATAAACACAACCTCTCTCCTTATGCCAACTGTCACTTGATAGGGACGTTACCACAGTCAATTGAGACGGTGTTAGCGGCTCACTTCTCACTCCATTACTAGCAAATTCTACACTGTTTTTCTCTCCATCTTGGCAACCATTCCTAACATCTTACTCATGCTCTATCACTCAGTGGTGTTAGCTACAGCACAGGTACACTACATGGTCAGCTAGCCCATTATGAGCCAGAATAAACACACTCCAGCCGAAACAAAGAACATGGTTTGATCTATTGTGGTCTGTCAAAACTGACCTGACAAGAAGACGGGGTCTCGTGCCCGAGCTCCACTGCGGCCACGTTCCACGACTCGTCGGAGCTGTTGCTCTGTGCGTCGGGCTCCGTCTGCACGCTGTTGAGACGGAGCCTCAGCGGAGTCATGTCACACGACTTGGCGTGCACCATTCGGCCACGCCGGGTCTGCAGGGGGCTGTCGAACCCGAGCAGCGGGCTGGACGGGCGCTCGTAGGTCGAGTCTTCCACTGGCTTTCCGCGCTTCTTCGTGCGTCTCTGACCTCCGCGGAACATGTCGATCGGCGATCGCTGCAGGGGAAAGACAGAGAGGGGGCGGGGTGGTCTAGTAGCTGCAGCCTGTCAGTTTATAGTACTACTAGTTTCAACCACAAAGTAAACTTGGCGGAACCTCCACCCAAAATTCAAATCTTGGAGACAGTTTGAATCTCACCAGCTCATGCAAACACTGCCCAATGCAGGATCTGGTCCAGTAGAACCAGATCTTGTTGCCTACCTCTGTACAGACTACAAGATAGTTATAAAACAGCTCACCAGATGCAAAGTGTAGTGATCTCGAGGTCCCTTCAGCGACTGTTCTCGTTTCAACGACGACGCGCGCTCTTTTCCAACGGGCGGCGGTTTGCTGTGCATCAACAGCGAGTGAGAGCGCTTCACATGACGAGCTTTATTACTCGGATTGCTGCTGCTGGTAGGGGGCGCCCGAACGAGGCTGCTGGTTGCCATCCTGCTGGGTTCCTGGAAGCCAAGTAAAGTGCGGATTTGGTGACGTCGGCAGTGCAGCGGCCAGGAGGGAAATGCAGGCTGCGAGGCGTGTCTCGATCTGCAGACAATATATCGTTTCACCGTACACTGGTCCGTAGAGTGTTGCAAGTCTTCCCTTTCGGGTCAAAATTCGAGCTGGCCAACTTTGTAGTTTGGCGCACGGTCGTAATGACGTCACGCAATTAATTATTGCACACGTAAGTAAATTGTCTACTGCGCATGCGCAATCACAACAGCGTTTTGTCAGCAAAATGAGCACAAGTCGGCAGTAGAAGCTGGAAAAGGTGCATCTCTAGGGAATCTGGTAGAGAAGATCACTTCAAGGCGGCGATGGCGGGGGAGGGGAACTATCACAAGGTAACCCAGCCCTCCCGGCCGAGCAATCGCGGTCTAAATCACGTCTGATCTGGCTTATCCCCTCTCCGTCAAGGCTCTCGCCCACAACAAGCGGCGTCTCAAGGACTACCAGGAGGTCCACTTCAGACGGAGCACTGTGTGAGCCCCAGTCGCATTTAGTTTACCGCTGCAGCGAGTCTAAGGCCCTATCTTGAAGTATTATGAGCTCCAAAGCTGGTTAATCCCATGCCAATGTGTCCAATGCCACACCCGATAGCCTTAGCCGGTGCTTCCAATGGCCGTGTTGTGTCTGGTAAGATGGGAGAAGGGTGAGGGGTCAGCACTCCCAACTCCACAGACCAACCACGGTTTCCTCTCTCTCTTTTGTTGTTCTTGCTGTCTGCAATTTGCTGGTAATTCCGTTTCAACATACGCACAGGTGTGAAGGAGGCGGCTCTGGCAAATATGCATCGTCGACCACCCGCAACAGCATCAGTGAGCCCTCTTCTCAGTAGCTACTGCACCCCAAATAACCTACATACAACCACTAGTCAGTCGGCTCATGTGTTTTAATTTTCCTCACATTGACTTTAGCTCATTTCGAGCCGATTATTTTCATCTTCGTTTGATAAAACTCCCAATGTAGAGTTTTTTGTGGGACAGTAGAAAAACCCTTATTATCAAACTGCATTCTCAACCCTGTAGTTCTGTTATTGCCGTGGTTGTGGGTGTGTTTTGGAGCTAACCCTTCTTGTTTTTGAGTTAACCCTTCTTGTTTTGGAGTTAACCCTTCTTGTTTTGACCTTATTCATACATGTTTATTTCTCCGGCAACCCAAATGTTTACCGAGTGTATTATGGAGACATACGTTGTCAACGCTGCAGCGGCTTTGTCCCCCTCTTTTGTGACCCGCCGTTTCTTTTGTCTGCAGTCAGTGCAGGTAGCTCGGGGTCAGGGTCCAGGACAGGTATCACGCTGGCTCCTCGCCGGACCTCCCGAGCCCAGGCCCAGCTGGAGGGAGTCTTTAACCCCAGCACCGCCTCCCTTTACCTCCGTCAGAACGAGGGGGTGTGGCTCTGTCCCCACCTCACTCGTCAGGAGGGTAAGCCCCTGCTAATAATACCGTGATTGTCTTTATTATTATTTTATATCTCTGTCTGATCTTAGCTATAGCTTCACTCTTCGACAGACCTATTGGAGTGAGTTTAGGATATTATATAATATTGTGTCGTGATTTTTAAGGTGTCAGTTGCTACGTATGTTATTATTTCTTTCTCTGTTATTAGACGTTCATAGTCCGCAACTCGCAGAAGGCTCGCTATGCCCTCAGTGTCAGAGTCCCAAAAGACGACCCAGCTGTCTCCCACTTCCTAATTGAGGCCAATCAACAGGGTGAGCCCCCTCTCTCATCACAAGTTACCATAGCAGCATCGAGACCTCAGTAATGGTAGAAGCCTTCGCTGGTCTCCTTTCATCTTCTCTGTATGTCTTTACGCTCTGTCGACACAGCAGCATTTGCTGCTGGTCTATCCCCTATTTTGCCTTGGCCTAATGAACGAGATTAGGACATGTACATTTATGATGATTGTCTGGCTGTGTTGGTAGTGTTTGGAGGTCGTGGATACCAAAGACTAGCGGAGAGCATTCCTTGTGGTCTTAACAAACTGAGTGAGAGCCAAGTGGGTGGTTGAGAGGGAGCTGATCTGGGCTGGTGTGCAGCAATTCATGGCAGTCTGTTGGTACAACAGATGGTGGGGTATAGAGAGAGTGTCAAATGATTAAAGGGGCTTGGGGTCCTGTGGGTGAGACATGTCTTGTAGTGGGAGAAGCTGCAGTTGTATCTACAGATGCAGTCCATTCATTTGATGCGATACACGTGTTTATTCTCCAATGCTAACAGACTCGTGTTTGCATTTCTACCAAAATATGTACACATAGTCCATGACTGCATGTGATCTTTCTCCTCTCCGCAGGGTTTCTGACCATCCAGGGATCGAATCTTCCTTTCCTCTCCATCTACGACCTTCTGGCCTACTTCTGCTTCTACAAAAGGTGGGGAGTCACGCTCACACACACACTATTGTATTCCACACCTGATACTTCGAGGCCTCTGCACAGCTCAGCAACGTCACAAACATGTAGTGTCTGTACTTTTTGTCGTAATGCTGACACACTATATTATTTCGGAGTCTTAGACCAGTTTCTAAGAGCTAGAGTGAGGTAGTATTCCTTGGGTTCCCTGACCCCTACACGTCACATGAGACGCTTGCTGGCTTCAGTCTAGTCCTCCCCCTCATCTTACTGCACTCTCTCATCCCCACACTTCCCCTGCATGGCTGCAGTTCAGGAAGTTTATCTTCCGTTCACATATCTCACTCACGGTTTTGCAAGCTATCATACTAAGTAACTCACCCTAATGCAAGCCACTCTTGTCAGTCTTCTTTTCATTTTCTCTTCCCCACACCTTCTCCTCACTGACAGTGGAGGGATGCCTTGCTACCTGGCCAAGCCAGTCACAGAGACTGACCAGAAACCAGATATTCCTGATCAGGAATCGTCAGGTGTACATTACTTCTCTCTCTCATGTCCCTAGCAGTAGATATGTTGTACAACATGTAATCCCATCAGATGTGAATGAATAACGTAAGAGACCTCAGACGCACTGAATTACAAGAACGTTGCTAATATGTAGTGAGTAATTCATTCTTCTTCCCTACACAGATTCCTCTGATGAAGATGAAGATTTGAATGAGTTCCGCCAGCAAGGGTTCGATCTGAGTGTCTCTCCCCCCGCTTCCTCCCCTCCTCCCCTCGTACCGCCCCATCGCACCCCTGGCCCCGCCTCCAACCACACCCCTCAACCACACCTACACTCGGTCCGAGAGGAAATATTCATCGACTCCCTGAAACAGTCTCACTACATTCAGGACATGAAGGAGAGAATTTCACGCTCAACGTCACGTTCCCCCACCCCTCCTCCTCCCTCCCCGCCCCCCGGAGAGAGTTTTAAAAAGCAACCGCCCCCCAAGCCCCCTCGGGGCTCCACTCTGTTAGAAGACGATGTGTTCCCTCCTCCAGTGGAAGCACAGAAAGTCATCCGTAAGGTCGACGGTATGGTCGACATGGACTCCAGAAAATTGTACCATAACTACCGTAGGATTGGACTGAAAAGGGAGGGGAAAGGGGAGGAGCCTGAGTTAATTGAGGGGAAGTCCCGGCTCCAACGGCAGATGTCGTGGAGTTCGGAGGACCTGAGGAAGAAGAGGAGAAAGGTCACGTCTATTGTAAAGATGTTTGAGGATGGAGATCCCTCTTCGTTGGCCCTATCGACAGGGTCTCCTCCTCCTCCCTTCAGAAATAGGATACCGGGGGGTTCAGCGAGGGAACACTCCGCCCCTGCTCTTCCGCCCCGCCCACCCCGCCCGACCCGCCCACCGAAACCCTCGGCTTCAACCTTTAATCCTCCCACCGTTCCTCCGCACACCCCAGTACCCCTCCTTCCTCCTCGACCCACCGGCAGAATGGTCCGGGTTTCTTATGTGTCTCTGACCTCATAATTCTTCATCTTCCTCTGTTTTGTCTTTCTCTCAGGCTCCATTTGTCCCAGCTCGAGAACGCTCGTCCTCTGATTCAACTTTCTCAAACAAGTCCCGACCCCCGCCCCCTCCTCCAGGGGACACAATTTTACACCCTCTCATACCCCCAAAGTAAGTGTTACGTCACATGACATCATGTGAGATCACATGACTGTCACCTGCAGACCTGGTAGTGAGGGTCACTATGAGTTTGACCAGGAGCTGAGGTTGAAGTTGGCGGCTACAAGACGGAAAGCGGCTGAGGAGGGAGAGGAGGAGGGAGCGAGAAACCTGATGAACAGGTTACTGGACCCGGGACCCGAGGCCAGGGTCAACGGGGTCGCGGTTGGCAGTGTGTCGGTGGGCGGAGTCAGCGAACCGGAGAGGGGACTTCTGATCAGCACCAGTAGCGAGGGGGGAGGGAAGGAGAGGTCAAAGTCCAAGAAGATTGGTTGGGCAAAGAAACGTGAGTTCGGGGGAAAAGGATCTTCCGAGTAAGGGACATCTCTCTATTTACAGTTCTGCTCCATACTAAAACATTAGTGTATAAGATTACTTCTGAATGCGGGACACCTCTCAGTTGTCCCGCATTCAGAGGTTTTTACTATAGTGTTATGGATCCTCTTAACTCTCTCCCTTCTCTCTTCTCTGGCCATCTCTGTTTTCTGATCAGTGCCAAAGTTTTACAGAAAACCTCGCAAGAAAGTCAGGAAATTCATTGTCGAGTAAGCCGTCTGCCAACACCTCTACATATCATGATCAGATATCTCTCCCAACTGCTGCAGTCTGGCTGCTGATCCCAGTCAGGAGTTCAGTCAGAAAGTGGCAGAGTTTGTGTCTGACATCAAGGCCCGCAGCAAGGAGCCCTACCAGAAGCTGCTCTCAGAGGCACGTACTATAATACCGTGTACTCTAAATAGGAGGCCCAAGTGTTCTAGTTGATTCCCCCCAGTCTCTATGACTTGTGTACATAAACGTTGCTCACTTCACTTCTTGTTCATCATTTTGTAATCACATGTCATCGGCATCAACACCGAGGTTACGAAATTGTACTCAACAATGTTTGCTTGCATTCACTTTACTTTACCCTCTCTCTATCGTTTCCACCCGCAGATCAGGAACTTCATGACCCAGATGCACGACTACCTCCTACAGAACCACCACGGGGACATGGTCAACAGTGGCATGGATTCGTGCAGCAACTTTGAACATGTGGTTGAGACCTCGCTGCAGCAGTGTGTCCTGGGCCCTCTCTCTCTCTACGTGTACCTGGGGATAGAGGAGCACCTCATGGAGGGCGGGTCTCTGTTTCAGGTCCAGCGCTCCGTTCACCAGGGGAAGAACAGGACGCCGCAGGAGATGGGGATAAGAGTGAGTGGGGAGGAGGAGGAGGGGGGGATTAATTTCTATTTCTATGCATGTACGTAGTGGTGGTGAATATGTGTTGTTTGGTGCAGCTGTCAGTTGAGTATTGATTCCCCACAGGAGAACCTGACTGTGCCAAGTGACAAGGCCATCTCCGAGATTGGGTCTATCTTCAGCCGGATGACAAAGACTTACTGTGCCATCTCCAAACTGGAATTCTTACTGGAGGCCGTGAGACTCACCTACGAGAACGTTAGTGAACAAGTCTTCTCTCTCTCTCTCTATCTCTTGTTGGACAGCCCTGACAACTGCCCGACAACCTAGTGACAAGTAAACTCTCAATGACCCCAAATTGCAGGGTCGCCCCTGACAACCCCACAGAAGTGACCGGGGACACATGTCGTGGTCTCTAGTGTGTACTTGTCAGGGGCAGAGGAACAGCTGTAGCACTCATGTCTCCCACACTACAGAATAACCATGTCTCACACTAACATTATTCATTTATAATCCTTTGTGATTCTGCTTCAAAAAGTAGCCGAATACTTCTGTAGCTGTGAAAATTTTAAAAGTCAAAGAAATGCTATGTTTCGAAAAAACAAATATCTATCTCTCGTCTCCCTGTGTCTGTGCAGGTGAAAGACTCAAAGAATCCCAAGAAATCAATGAACGATTTGGGAGCTGATGGTATACCACTATCACATTATTCCATATCAATACTCATTGATAGCATAGTTCACTACACTAATACACCCACATCACATGTGCTTATGTGTACCATAATCTGTTTTGGGAGGAGCTCGTGGCCATGTGTGTTTCTATACACTACTATACCTGTAACTACAAAGCAAGCCAAGCGTTGTTTTCTCTCTCCTCTCTGATCTACCTCTCCTCTCTGATTTACCTCTCCTCTCTGATCTACCTCTCCTCTCTGATTTACCTCTCCTCTCTGATCTACCTCTCCTCTCTGATCTACCTCTCCTCCCTCTCCTCTCTGATCTACCTCTCCTCTCTGATCTACCTCTCCTCTCTGATTTACCTCTCCTCTCTGATCTACCTCTCCTCTCTGATCTACCTCTCCTCCCTCTCCTCTCTGATCTACCTCTCCTCTCTGATCTACCTCTCCTCTCTGATTTACCTATCCTCCCTCTCCTCTCTGATCTACCTCTCCTCTCTGATTTACCTATCCTCCCTCTCCTCTCTGATCTACCTCTCCCCTGTCCTTCGCTCACTGCAGACTTTCTGCCACTGTTTGTGTGGGTGTTGGTTCAGTCTGGCTTCACCCGGGCGGAGATCGAGGCGGAGTACATGTGGGGCCTCGCCCACCCCTCCCTCTTCAACGGAGAGGCTGGTTACTACCTCACTACCCTCACCAGTGCCATCAACGTTCTGAAGGAGACGCAGCCAGCAGTGCCTGCCTTCCCCAGAGAGTCTGAGGAGGGAGGCAGTATAGAGGAACAGATACAGGTCTGTCTGTGTGTGTGTGTGTGTAGATGGTGAATAATGTTCGGTACTCACACTGAGGCAACAAACACAAACTATCTCTCTGTGCTGAACTATGTTTCACTTACACCAGCTAGAAACTATTTCACGGCATGTACAGTGGAACCTCTGTATAAAACCATGAATTGTAAGAGAAATGCAACGTTTTTGGTGGCACGAGTTTTCTCTCTCTCCCCCCGCAGAACCTCCCCTGCATGAACAATCTCCAGACAGAGCTGAAGATATTCTTTGAGGACGCCTCCACGGGTCAGTACTCCTCGGCATACCGACTCGCCGTGGTCCCAGACATGACTGTGGCCGAGGTCTGCGACGTCATCGCCCAGAAACACTGCAAGACTAACCCGGAGAGATACGGCCTCTTCACCGTGGTGGAAGGACAAGGTACGGGGCTAAATATCTGTTTCATCTGAGTCTTAGAGTTGCTGTCTGTTAGATTTTCATACAAGTGGTCCACTAAACTGCATAGATGCATGGCAAATGCCATACATATGGTGAAATTTCAGACATTTTCTCAATGCATGCAAAATGTGTGAATGAAAAACTTAATGCCACACAGTGTTTTTTTCCAAGTATGAAATGCTCAGTATGTTCGCTCCACCACAGTATCAGAGATGGGAAGTGAGGAGAAACCACAGGAGGTCAAGAAACAGTGGGCTCTGGAGCTGTCCGCATCTGCAGGTCACGTCATCAACAGGCAACCTTCTGCTCGCTTCATGGCTTACAGACTCAAACATTCCAACTGATGTCATCATTACATCACTGAAAATTGGACACATCACTATTTTCACACAATTTACAGGCACCGAATGACTTCATCATTACATCAAAATCCCACACAAAGATGCATCAATTTTTTGTGGATCTGTAAAAATTTTCCACCACCAATTTTTTGTGGGTCTGTTGAACGTTTCTATTGTGAGAGTCGGTCAAGTTCAGAAATGAAATGGGTGCACTTGTCCATGAGGACTTTGACTGCCTCCACTACCAGTAGATCTGGGGCCAGTGCTCCTGTGGACTCCACTGAGACTGAATGGGGGAGAGGGAGGAGGGGAGAAGGGGAGGTAACAGAGAGAGAAAGAAAGTGGAGGAGGAACATGGAGAAGTGGGAGAGGAGTCTGATGCGAGGGTGGTGGTGTGTGGTGTGTGTCCTCACATATGAAATGTTCTCTGACACGAGACAGTCTCACACAGTCCTTCAGCTCCTCGTGACGCAGCACCTCTCTACTGCAGGAGTCCAGACGTGGGTTTGCCACTCTCGCCCTCTTCTTACCTGCCACACAATACACTCCTGAGGATTATTCACTGCACACTCCAGCTATAGTAACACTATTCAGGACTGTTGGTCTCCCCACAACTACTTGCTAAAAAGTACGAAAAGCATGGTTGCACAGTACAGTGAAGGAATTCAGGAGGACCTCTCCTCTTACCATCCTCGTCCTCCACCAACTCAATGACGCCACTAGAGAAACACTTTGCCAGTTTAACCGCCTTCTTCCCTCGGACTGGCTTAGTGAGAGTTATCTCAGGGAGGAGACGATAACTGGCCGTCGCTGGAGGGAGATGTGATTGCCTCTTGATTACAGGGACATCCCCACCGCCTCCACCTACCAACTGGGGAGAACTTGGCGTGGTCCTTCCCAATTCCCTTCACACACACCAACCGTGCATCGATCTCCTGCAGAATAGGCCACTTATATACAGTCAGTGTGTGTGTGTGCGTGTGTCTCACGTGGCCAGGTCTCAGCTTGGCAATCAGAATATCATTGTGAACAGGTCTCACATCTGACAGCTACCAAAAGGTAGAGAACAATAGAAGATTAAGACTATACCGTTTAGTATACCTCCTCTGCCTGGTCTCCGAATGGTAGCCACTTTATATCAGCAGTAGTCACTGTATGTGATCACATGAAATTCAAGGGGATCACATGATTGTCACATGACTTGCCTCTTGAGTGCAGATAGTTGGCCTGCCCAGTGGTTCCACCCCCTCCCTTGGGGGTCTTGGGGTTACGAGTACACTTCACCTTGAGGTGGAACTCCAGTAGCTCTCTGGAGTACTCCGGAGCTGGGAGAGGGAAAGTCCCTCCTTCCTCCACTGTGCCGGAGTAAGGCAACAACAGTGTCTCTATACACGACGACTGGTGTGGCAGAAGCTGGATTGAAGTACGTACCTTTTGGAGGCATGTCGAATTTGCGAGGATCAACTTTCAGAGGAATCAGTCCCAGCCTGTGAGCCAGCACCTATGAGAAAAGAGGTGGGGAAGGGAGGAAGGTCAAAGGAGTAATGGTGGACACACCTCGTCCTGAATGATGGAGGTGTTGTTGTACATATAGACCTTCTCTATTGCCATGGTAGGAACCTGCGCCAGAGGAATCATGAGTCACTGGGGACAACTTCAGTGAGTCGTCCACTGACCTCTGCCAGGAGGATCCTCCTGAAGGCGTTGGCAATGGCTGCGTCCACTCCAATCATGTCAAACTCCATCTCCTCCTCGTTCCAGCCCACCACCTGCACCTTGAACCCAGCCTTGAACCGCTCCAGGTCCCAGCTGTCGTCGTAGCCCGGGTAATTCCCGGGAAAACTGGTGCTGCTGGCCTGAGGACGTGTGCAGTGGAAGTATCCATTGTCGCATACACCAAGAAGACCTCACATTTATGACTCCATGCTCCTCCAGCCGCACTCTAGTGCGTATGTCTTCCACCACGCTGTCCTCCATAATTATAATATCGTCAACGCGCACGAGGTTGCGCGCATGCGCACAAAGAGGTGGATCAAATTTTAATGCAGGTAGAAAAGCTACAGTGTCGGAAAAGAGTAAGTTCGAATCCTCATCGCCAGCACTTGAATTTGAAGAAAGCCTGCAAGTCAGGGTCGTCAATGGGTTTCCCATGAACGCCAGAGTAGACCTTCTTCAGGAGGTCAGTCTTGAACTTGTTCTCCAAGACCGAGACCTGTTTCTCCAGGACTCCGATACCTAGAGCTCTCCCCATGGCCACCAGACTGGTGAGGAGACGTGGGTCATCGTAGTTCTCACTGGACATCAGGAGGCGAACTATCTCCCCGTGGAGGTAGGCATCGTTGAAAGATGGAGGATCAGAGAAAGGGAAACGGGCGTAGGCGTCGACAGCAGCGACCGGGTCTGTCTTGGAGAGCATCTCTCCGAGCTCTATGTATGCGTCGTGGAGGTCGGGGGTCATGGATATGACCTCCTGGTAGAGAGAGCGAGACTCCTCTAATTTGGCCTTATCAGACGAGGCACTCTTGGAGAGGATCCTAGCCAGACCCAGCCGCGGGTGGTGAGTCTTTGTGTTGATCTCGGCTCTCCCTGCTGGTTGTTGGGGAGTGGGACTAGCTGCATTTGGGGTGGAGGGTGGCTTCTCATCTGTCTTCACGCTCTCTGTGGACTTGCTTGCAACTGCCGCTATAGGTTTCTTTGGAGGCCCGGCTCCTGTCTTCAGTTCACCTAATGTGGCAACCGTCTTCCCTAGTGGCTTGGTGGGTGTCTTTGCTGTTTGACCTGGTCTGCCTGGAGCAGTGGTTGTTCCTCTTCCCACTGGTTTGGTAGGCTGTCTGGAGGCTCCACCTGTTGGTTTCCTGCCTCCTGCCGGCTGAGCCACACCCCCTCTCCCTGTCTGAGGTCCACCTCTGGCCCCTGTCACCGCCTGTTTAGCAGTAGCTCCACTTTTCTGGGCTGTTTTCTGAGCACCACTGGCAGTGACTGGAGGAGTTGCCTTCTTTTCTTCCTTCTTCTCCCCTCCCCCTGTCTTTCCCTGTGTCATCTTCTTCCACCATTGCTCCTCGGCTAGCTGAGTTGGGATGTTGTCTGCAGTGATCGGTTTGCCTTCCATGGCGATGCTGGCTCTGAACGACAGCTCGGCCTCACAGAGACTGTTCTTGTCCCCTGCCACCTCATGCTCAGCCAGCTGCCCAGTTCCCAGGTGACAGAGAGCCTTGCTACTGCTGGGCTGCAGCTCCACTCCCAACTGAAACACCTACGGAACCACACAGTCCAGTTATCAAAGTGTTGGCTTCACCAGAGATCAGATTGCTAAGATATTATACAAACCTGCATCTGTAGGGCCCTGAGTTTTGGGGAAGACTCCAGTCCACTGTGAGAAATGAGTCCCGAGAGCTCCTGACAGTGTCTCAAAGCTGCCTGTGTCTGCTGGGTCTTCTGCAGCAGGGAGAGGAGGAGGGAGCGGGCCTGGAGACTCAGCCACTGCAGCTGGCGGTAGGTGCAGTTTCGACGGAGGATGCAAGCCTCTGGGAGAAAGGCAGTTGCTGCCAGCAGACATGACGCGACTGAGAGAGATTTGTGGCCTCCTATACCAGCCAACTGCAGGAATCCCTCAGCCTGTATGAGAATTATTAGTTGGCGAGTTCAAATATAGAATGTGTTAAGATGGACTCACAATGAGTGTGTTTGTACTGCGGTAGAAAGCCTGTGAGTGAAGATCTTTCTGCTTCACGTCTCTCCGTGATTCGTGGAGTTCCTGGAGCTGTACAAGAGACACATGTGTAATCCCCCACACACCCATTAGCTCTGCACAAAGAGAGATCCAACCTGTGTAAGGTACTGAGTTAGTCCATTCCACAGTAGAGGCTTGGCGTGTTTCTCTCCCAGAGCCATCCCCAGACAGAGTCTAGTGGGAGAGTGTGTTGGTCTCTGGGCCAGAGAGTTCCTGAGGAACTTGAGGGCCTCTTCTTTGTCTCCCAGCAGGAGGCAGAGTCGACCGAGGTGGAAACAGGCAGTGGGGTCTGAACTCTTCACACTGAGACCTGAAGTGCTTTCTTTGATTTCCAGGCATGGAGTGACTGGACGTGCTCTGCCTTGTGTGTCTGGCCAGCCTCCTTCAGACTGTGGTACTCTGCCTCCACTGCCTTCAGCTGGAGAGCCAGTGGAGCCGAGGCAGCCACTCCGTGCAGCTGACAGATAGCCAGAAACTCCTCCTCCTTCGAAGATATCTCTGCCTCTCCTTCCTCTGCTGTATCAGGGACCTGTAGAAGAAAATGTTAAGGGGACCTATAGTGAAAAAAAGCGCACATGTAAACTCACAGCTCTCTTGAGTCCAAAGAAATCCTCGGCGTAGAAGAACTCTTCCATGACAAGTCCCAGAGATATGTGGGCCTCCAGAGACTGTGGAGAGTACTTGAGAGCTGTACCGTAGCAGCGAGCAGCCGTCTGCAGGCACTCCAGGGGATCAGGACCTCTGCCTCGGTGTCCTGTCTCTCCTGCAATGATACCCACTGAACTAGAACAGCACAGTTTATTTATTCTACACACCTGGTTTGGGAAGACTCTCCAGATACTTAGTCTCCCATTCTCGGCCTTTTTTCAGGAGATCTTGTGGGTCGCTGCCACACGATTCGTCCACTAGTCTGTTCTCCCAAGGCCTGGGCTTGACCTGCGTCTTTGGCAGAGAGACTGTGTGCTTTGCTGGGCAGAGAAGCTCTTTGTGTAGGCCCACATCTTGTGAAGGTACCTTCTTGCTGCAGTCCCCACAGGACTCAGTTGGCTATGGTGGAGGAAAAAACAACATCGTGATGTGGTATACATGGTAATTCGCATAGCTACCTCTTCAGTCTTACTGGCTTCGATTCTGTTAGCCTGCAACTTTGCTCCAATCTGCTGCATGGATGTTTCTACCATGCCAGTGGCAGTGTGACAAACTGCAGTCTCGTTTGCAAGCTCAGAGTCGCACGCAAGGTCTTCTTCCAGCCAGTTTTCCCCCTCCAGCTTCTCTCCAGTGATCGGATTGGTCTTATTGGTTCGAGTCAGCTCCTCCAGACAGGCCCTGCAGTAGACGCCAGCACTGCCGCGAATCCTGGTCGGGAGGTGAACCAGGTTACAGCAGACTGCACATTCAAACTGAGCCTTCTTCTCCTTCAGTTGCAGCGTCGGCGGAAGACGGCTCTTGACGGCGGTGATGGTGTACACCGAGGTCGTCTTCCCACTGACCGACGTAACGGCTAGCTCGACCAGCGTTCGTCCTGGGTTGAGTGGTACAGTTCCCACTGGTTCCCCAGTCTTCATGATCACCGTCATTTTACTGTCCTCCGTCTTGGCGCGAAGGGTGAGGGAGTCGACGCCGCTAGGGAGGCTGCACTCGTACCTGGTGACCAGCGGACTGAAGGGAGGCTGTAAAACTCCGGCGGACACGTCCAACTGAGCGAGTGTTGCATCGTCCGCGGAGAGACGTCGCGTCAGAACCGTGTAGCTCTTTGTCGTCGACCCGTCTTCTGCCGTCACGATCACCTCCACTTCCACCGGTTTCCCGTCCGTCAACTTGACAACTTTGCTGCCGTCTGCACCCTTGACGACGTGAGAGGCTCCGCCGTCGGCTGTGAGCGGGGAAAACTTCACCTCCTCAACGTTGCTGGCCACAGTAAGGGAGTAGCTCGTGACCGAGGACTTGAACTTCGGCACCAGCTTCCCCTGACTGACCTTCAACTTCTCCAAGTCTGCATTGTCCATCTTCGATCTCTTGCGCGTTGCTAAGTGAGCAGCCCCGCCCACCTTTTTGCATCTGCGCGCATGCGCCTGTTGTTCCTAGTGGGTTTTGATAAAAAAACTGTCATCATTGCTGAGATTTTGCCAGCTCCTGTGACAAGGAAAGTCAATTAATTTTATTATCACTTAGATGGACAAACATATTACCTGCTGTATTTCCTTTGGAAATTCATCAAGATTTTTCTTCACACACTCAATGCAGAAACGCTTGGTATAGAAAACACTGCAGGACTATGAAATGTCATGAGCATTAATAAAATAACACCCTTTTATTTTATCCACAGACTCACAGAAGAGACACAGACGACTCTGCGACATGAAGTACACTGGGATCCCAGAATTAGGGGCTGAGGATCAGGGTTGAACGGGTCACGTGCCACGAATGCTTCTTCAAGAAGCCTGTGCCACACAGAAGTATACGTACGACCTACACAGTGCTAGATCTTACACTAGAGACTTGGCAAACGGACAGGTCTGTCCAAACGAATGGAAGGGCGTGGAGAGACCGCAGATCTCACAAACAAACGTCCCTTTCTTCTCTATTCTGCCTCGTCTCGGCCTTCCTCTCTCTGCCATCTGTCATCTGTGTTAATCTCTCTCCGCCACCGGCCCAGAGCAGAGCAGCACAGGCTAGGCAGCGCGCACGTGTGACGTGTGGTGGGTGGGGCTAGCACGAGCGCGCGGCGGGAAGTGCAAACAGCCTGCATGCATGCACCTCAGGACAGTGGGAAGAAGACATGGGAAAGAACGCAAGAAGAAGGCGCCGCGGAGGATTGGATGGAGCCCCAGGTGAGCTGATGAACCGCTGCCGATCCCCGTCTGCCTTTCTGAATCTATTTAACGCGCACCGTGCTCCCATTTGCCAGCTTCCAAGAGAAGAAAGCGGACGGAATGGACCGACTCGCCGCTCGGACGGGCCGTGGAGCCGGCTGGACTTGTACTCAGTGATGGCACTGAACCCAATAAACTCAGTAAGCCTTCAACACACTAGAAATGATCTCCTCTAAATCCTCAACCTCAGCTGTGGAGCCTGCAATATTCCAGAAGAAGCTGTCTGCTCTATTCAGACGTCATCCCAACACTCAAGAGGTGAGACTGTCTCCCTACCAGTATCCTGGGGTGTTGACAGAGGCTCATCTCAGGCCGTGGACGAGTTTACAGAGAGCCTGAAGAAATACACTGACAACTCGGTCAGGTACGTGGAGCTCTAGCTCTTACAAGTTTGGAGCCAGTCTGTGATACAGTATATCTATGGCAATAATGTCATATGTTCAGATTCAGACAGGCGCTGCTGCCTACCAGTGTGGCAGATGGAGCCGACGTCATGTGAGCTCTACCCCCTGCTCCCATCGTCCCAGTCATCTCTCCTCTCTCTCCCCGGGCAGGTCTCGGTCAGGAGGTCTGGACAGTCTCATGAGGCAGCTGCTCTCAGTGGACTACCTGCAGCCTTCAGTTGCTCACCTCCTCCTTCTTAGACTCAGCAGTTATATGGACACTGAGCCTTCCTCTCAGTTCGTTACTATTTTGCAATTTTTCTTCATCTTTACTTCTCTCTCTCCCTCTCTCTCTCTCTCATTTTGTAGTTCTCTAAATACAAGGGAGTTATGTCAGATGCCAGCTCTCATTATTAACCAACTGCGATGGTTGGATCATATTGTTAATGGAAAGGTATATACTTCTTCCTGCTCGTGGTTTGAGAGTATTCTGTGTGTAGGACTTGTGTCGAGAGCTGCTGGAGGTGGTGGGTGTTGCTCCAGTTGAGATACAGAGAGAGATCGTCACGGCGATTCCAGAGATCCTTGATGACGCTCAGCACAATAATGCGGCACTGGAACTCAAGTTAGTGGGGAAATCTGCTGAAAAAAATCGCTATGTGGAAAATTTAACGAGTGAAAAAGCTGTGTTGTGGAAAATGAGCTGAAGGTTATAAAAAGGCAAAAAAACCAAGGTTTATTGGAAGAAAAAGAGCGCCCGATGTGGGGCTCGAACCCACGACCCTGGGATTAAGAGTCCCATGCTCTACCGACTGAGCTAACCGGGCTTGTTGAAGGTTTCCTCCCAAATACGGGTTATAACTTCCTGCTTGCAGGTCCCTTCTGCAGTCGAATTCAGGTCTGATGGCTGCAACTATTGATGCCATGTCAAGCCTCAACCTCTCCTTTGACATCGAGGCAGAGGTGAGCAGAACAATTCCCATTTACTGTTGTTTGCACTTACAAAATACTCAGGTTCTTGATGTAGCTATGGGGTGTCTTGGAACTGCATCGGTTGCCGACCTTCCACTTGTTCTGAGGTTTATTATGCAGCAAGTCAACTCCAAGAGCGCTGTGGAGGTAGAATGCACAGTCTTACGTTCCAGCTAGCTCATACCGTTTTCATTGTTTGCAATCTAGATTATCGGGGAAGTGAGAGAGAAGCTGGATTTCGAGTCGTCATTTCTCTCTCACCCGGCTGCTTGCTCCACCCCTCGCTCTTCTTCCCAGAGACCGTTTGTCAGGTCAGTGGAACAGAAGAAAATATCTTTCATTCTTTGTCCGTCTTCTTCGCTCAGGCTGTCAGCCGAGGTCTCCGACCGGTTCATGGTGTTTGATGCCATCAGCTCCTCCATTCGGTTCAAGAAGCCAGTCGCCGATGGCTGGATGAAGGTGAGTGGATCGTGTCCTAGTTTTCCAACCTCTTTCTCTCCCTTTGCACCTCTCAAATTCTGCAGTCTATTGAGGCAGTGGCGGAGCAGTCGGAGCACAAGGTCATCGATCTCTTTGTTCTGTTCATCCTCCATTCTCTCCCTGCAAGGAAGAAAGCTGTGGAAACTCTGTTTGCCACTAAAGTGCGGACACAGCTCTTCACAGACGAGCTACTAGCAGCTGCCTTTGGCCCCCATGCTAAGGTATAATACAAAGAGAAAGAAAACTCCAACCCATCATGCTCTTCTTTAGCTAAACTGGTGTCTGCTCTGAATTCTGCTCAAAATGCTGTGAAAGGTGAATTAAAAAAAATTTTATTTGCAGGCTCTGTCAGAGTTTTTCCCGAGTGTGTTGTCACTGTGTGAGTCTCTGCTGGCCTCCTCCTCCCCCACCATCACATCCTTCACCACATCACTGTATCAACATCTCTTCTCCACCTTTGACATCTACTGCAGACAGGTCGGCCAGCACAAAACCAGCTCTTTGCTAGCTTAACTGAAGAATAGTGTTTGTGTGAGATCTCGATTTTTGCTCATAGTCAAATAGTCTAGTGGGAAATTGTAGAATTTTCAAAAGCTGGACATTTTCATGTGGCATTGAAAATAAGTGTGCATACTGATTTCCACTAGTGAAAAAGAGTTATGTGGTATTGTATAGGAGGTGATAGGGACCCTGGTGACCCATATTGGCAGTGGTATGCCGACCGAGGTGAACCACGCTCTAGATATACTGGCCACTCTGGTGGAGACAAGGCGATCGGAGATGGACAGATTTGCGGTGCTCATCAAGGGAGTGTTGGATTATCTGGAGCACCTCAGCGTGGGCCAGATCCGCCGACTCTATTCCGTTCTGAGCGTGCTCGCGTTCCACGACGTGGAGACCGGGGGCTCGGGAGTGCAGGACGAGATGCATACTCTCATCAGGAAACAGCTGTCCCACGTGGAGTCAAAGTAAGAGAGGAGATGAGTGTCACATTAGGTTGGCTCATATTATTGCCATTTGCTTTCACGTTGCGCATTACAGGTGCAAAACTAAATGTGTATGTTCATGTTCAGTCATCGATGAATCTAGCGTAGTTAATGGCGTACAAATCACACCGTGTCTCTGCCAGGTATAGACGTATGGGTGTAGTGGGTGCAGTGATGATAATCCAGCAGCTGGGTCGGAGGAGGGAGACGACGGACCTCTCTCTCAGACTGACGTCTGGCTGCTCCCAGAGCTCCAGCCAGTCCGACTCCACCCTCCCTCCTGCCAGGAGAAGACAGGTGTATATCTCCATCGTGCACAGTTAGCGATATACTAGAGCAGATTCATGCACTTTGCCTGAAAACTGGGATCAATACAAATACTCCATAGGAACACATGGATCGGTTTAAACCTTGACCAAAATATGCTGCCTCTTGCCTCTCTGAAATAAGAAAAGTCCTGTTACCACCCATTGCCATTGAAGAGTAAGAAAATCAACATTCACTCTCCGCATGTCCATGTGCTCTTCCTCTAAAGGCAATCTCCATGTTGGACGACGTGATGCGGAACTGCAGCAAATCCCCCGATTCTGCCGTCCTCTTCTGCGACGAAATGACGGCAGCTGTCCAGTCCCTCCCGCTGGACCACGCCCTCCTCCGGCACCTCTGCGACGAGACCACCTCCGTCTTCCAGGACACGTTCCTCGTTGAGGTGTCGGACTCTCTCCCCAGTGACCTCGGTCTCCCCGTGGAGCTGGCTCACGGCCTCGACAGCTCCGAGGAGGATTCCATTGCAGTCAACATGTTCCCTCTGGCCACGAGGCAGGACGAGAGGTCGAGGGAGAGAGGGAGCTGTCTGAGAGGAATGGCGGCACAGTTCCGTCTGCTGCGGGTCTGCGAGCAAATTCTGAATGGTTCTCTGGAAGGAGTTGACGCTTTACTTGGTTCGTCCTCTCTCTCCTTACTCTTATTTTGTTAGTTGTGTGGAATACACTGGAAGTTGTTCTCTGCTGTGTGCAGGAGCTCCAGTTGTGATGTCTGTCAGAGATCGTCTGGAGAGCGAGAGATTTGAGGATCTCCCTCTCGTCAAGAGACAGAGTGTCTGCCTCTCCCTCTGCCACTGCCTCAACTGGTTCAGGGAACTGGTAGGACTGGTTAAACCAGTTTTGAATCCGATGAAAGCTCTGTGTGTGCATGTCGTATATACAGGTTTGTGCCTTCTCTGGGGAGAAGGATGTGGACATGAGGGGGAAGGTGATGGTCAGAATGAAGGACATCACAGACATGCAGACACTGCTAGAGTCTTGTATGGCAGGTCAGAGTAACCAACTACCATTTTTGTAGCTCAACAAGCCCGGTTAGCTCAGTCGGTAGAGCATGGGACTCTTAATCCCAGGGTCGTGGGTTCGAGCCCCACATCGGGCGAATTGTTTTTCTTTTTTCTCTTTATCTGCAGCTACTCCAGGTTTCCTGCCTCCTCTGGTGACGGCTGAAGAGGTGAAGGCTCCGGTACGTCCTCGCAGGGGGAAGAGACTTGGGTGAGACGTTTCAACTTTTTTGTCGCCTTAAACTTCATCCACTTGTTTCAGGAGTAAGGGAGATACGACAGTGGCCAACACTACAAATATCACTCAGAATGTGGACAAGGTCTCTAGCTATATATAGTATACTCAGAGTCATGTTGTGGTGTTTTGCCTTCTTCTGCACAGGATTCGACCACCACTGAAAAGACGACTGGAATGCCAACTGTCTCACTTGATCTCTATAGACAGTACTTCCGGTGAGCCAAACACCAGTTTCATACCTTACGTTCTCCTCCTTCTCTCTCTCGCCCTCCTCCCTCCCCAGCGAGCTGGACCTGGGGGTATTTGCAATACTGGAGTACGGCCCCATCTCCCGTACTCTACTGGACACTGAGGAACACACGCGAGAGAGAGAGGAACTGAGACTACTGCCGCAGCAACTCTCTTTCCTTCTCCACGACCTCTGCCATAAACTGACCACCACCCTGTCTCAATTTGGCTCCCGACGCCTCTCTGGAGGAAGAGGAAAGGTTAGTAGATAGTTTCTTACCATAGATCTGTTGCACTATGCAACGTATGACGTGTTCTTACTTCGTACCCTGAACTCTTGGGGTGTGTTGGTTTGCGTGTCAGTCGAGGGGTAGACCGAGTTCAGGAGGAGGGAAGGACGGTGGAGGGAAGATTCAGCTGTTTAGTGTGGATGAGTTGGTCTCCATGACAGCCAACATAGTGGGGTCTCTCTGTGAGCATCTGGAGAGCACCAGCGGGTTCTTCCAGGTCTGCGGCACTCACTGTTGGACAGAAAACAATTTCTTTTTCTCTCTTTCTCCCTCTCTCTCTCCCAGGCTCAGTTGGAAGAGAACGATGGTATAGTTGACATGCAGTGCACCCATGATGATCACGCAATTCACTGCACCAACCTCGACCTCCTTCTTAGATCTATGGCCACATTCTTCGCATGGTGAACACTATATTTCTTCGTTCTGAGTGGAATTCATTCCGTTCTATGATGCTGCACAGGCCTCCACTGAGTGATCCTCACTATTCTGAACAACTCTTCACTGGACTGAAGTCTCTGGCATCGAGAATTGGTCACGCAACTGGCCAGCAATCTGCCTCCATTCCTGAACTTGCTCCGTAAGTTACACCCCTTCTCTGTCACTTCTACTGACTCATCTCTATCTCCCCTCCCTCTCCAGGAGTGTCCACAGGTACCTCCAGCAGTTCTCAGACTCCCTCCCCTCCCTCTCCTCTGCCCACTTACTGGCTAAACTGATGGTAGCCATTGGGAAGACCTCCCCCAGTCTCCACCCCCTCATTTGTGAGTCTCAACATACACCAACACTGAGATTTAGTAGCTGAGAACAACACGCTTTCCTAGCATCAGTGTTTTAATAAACTTCCACCCCCATTCCACAATTACTACATTCCACACTTATTTTCCAGCCAACTCCTGTCAGGGTCTCCTCCAGAGGAAGTGGGGGGCGATGGGTACCAACCAGCAGCGCAGCGACGCTCTCGAGTACCTGATCCGGTACCATGTGGAGTGGTCCGAGGACCCTCTGGAGGCCCTGGAGACCATCACTGGGGACGGGATCACTGACCTGCTCGGGGAGGAGGCGTCCGAGGAGTCCTCTTCCTACCCCACACTCTCCAGGTGAAGTCCCTTCTCTTTCAGAGGGGATGTGCCATCTCTATCAGCTTCTTTGTGTGTGTGCAGTGCTACGCTGCCATGCTACTATCGAGCGCTCATGAGTGGGCTGGTAGGTCAGATGAAGGCAATCCCTCCACCCAGCAAGAAGACCACACCCACCACAGAGGTAGATAGGTCACCTGAGTCAATTTGGGAATACATTCACCTCTGATGCCTCGTGTCGTCTCCAGGAGTGTCTGGAGAGGTTCCATCTACTGGAGGTTTCTGCAAAGGTCCTCTACATCCTAGTCAACGTTGTCAAAGTGAGAACTAGATCCACAACCAAGAACTACAAATTCAGCCTGTTTTTTCCCCTTTTTCGTCAGTCTTTTGACAGACGCACGATGCTCTCTTCAGCTCTGAAGGTATGGTGCATGCGTCCCTAAAACATTGGCAGAAATGTTCCCAATGGACCTCTTAGTATGGGAGACTGTATATTGAGCACTTTATCAAGTCCGGGATGCCAATACTGCACCTTCTGTTCCGCTCCAGAAAGGTACGTTTACCCCGCCATGTGTCCTGTTGAGGGTGTGGCTCATTGTTACACAGGATGATGTACAGGCAGTCCTGAAGACTCTCCAACAGAGCACCAGACTACTGCAACACTTCTGTAGCCACTCAAAGGTTGGTGAATCACATGACTATCATGTGATTCTCCCGATATATATCACACGGTTCATCAGGTTGCCAAGGATATTGCTCTGACCAATCACGTTCCTCCGTGCAAGCGTTCTCTGGAGACCCTGGTCTTCACTGTGAAGGTAGAGTGTTTCCGGGGTAGTAAAGGGGTGTGGCTAATGTGGGGGTGTGGTTTGTAGGAACTGCTGACTGCCTACAACTGTGCCGAGGCTTTTTGGGTTGGCAACCTCAAGAACAGGGACATTCGAGTGAGGACACCTTGTTCCCCCCCATACCCCATCTGTACTACATATACTGTATGCTGGTTCCTATAGGGTCAGGAGATACTGTCCCAGTCATCACAGGCCAACACCACCAGTAGAGAGGAAGATGAGGAAGAGGAAGGAGAGGTAGGTGTTAACTCCGACAATCTCGAATCTAGAACACTAAGTTTGCTACAGACATGTGAGGATGGAAGCAGTACCACCACCACAACAGTCACCAGAAGAGATGACATACTCGACTCTGACTCTGAGGAACGTGAAGACTAACCGTGATTTATTCCTCAACATTCATGTGTACTCATCGTCTTTGTGTGTCAACATGACAAACAACATGTATATATACTGTACACACTTCTCCAATAAAGATACTCTTTTACACGCACAAAATTGTCTGAGTTGTTCTATAATATAGTGACTGTGTCAATGTAGGCATCAGCGTGGTAGTAAAAAGAATTTGACGCACTTGAATAGCTTGGAAGACTGCAGTATTATGTGATAGTATGATAGTGAAGACTGCAGTATTATGTGATAGTATGATAGTGAAGGTGTGCTGCTAGAAGCCCACTGTTCTGAGCCAAGCCACAGTTCTGGTCTTGTAGTCTCCATTGACGGTGACAGCTCCAATCAGACTGTCGGCCCTGCTCAGCAGTCCCTTTACTCCCAGGTGGGCCCTCAGCATCTTCTCTAGCGCCTGTGGAGAGACAAAGAACTTGAAACCATCTCTCACACTTGGATCTCTTCCGACGTCCTCACCTCTGCGTCTCCCTCAACCTTGCGGACGATTGTGAGGACTCGACTACCTCCGCTCTTGTAGTCCAGGTACACAGGCAGGTTCCCATACCTACTGCGGACGACTCGGAATGGGATATCGGGCTGGACACCTGGCGGAGCCGGTTTTCCTGCACACACGTAGGCACAATCCGGGATGAAAACGGGTCGTCCAGAAAATGGATTCTGTACCCAAAGGAGGTACCCATCCACTGGGAGTCTGTTTGAAGTCTGGAGTAGCTTCTGCACTAGACGATGCTTCTGCTTCGGCAGCCACGTGGCTGTAACTTCTAATTAGTGCCCACCTGCAGTACGTCTATAGAACGCACCAGACAATTTCCGAGGAGAACGTACTTCAGCCAGCGCTGTGTTCAACATACCTGTAGTGGCTTTCTCTGGCTCAAGCGATACATGGTCTCCACAAAATCGTCCGCGCAAAACGACTTGCGCTCGTCCCCAATCCAGTCTGAATGGGGCTGCCCGATTCCATGCGGGGACCATGCGCAAAATTTTTGACTATAATTAACGCGCACCTCCCTTAGAGTTCTTGTCTTCGCTTGTGTCGTTGCAGCTCAAGCCATGGCGACTGGTGGTGCGGTGCAGATCCTGCGCAAGTCTCTGCAGGATGCCCACAACTCCCTCGAGTTCTCCAGCGATGCCCTCAAGAGGCTTACTGGCCGCGACCCCGCCGTTCCGCCGTGAGTTTTTACCTGTCTCTTCCTAGATCCTCGACCCGAGGAATTATGACTTCTCTTTCTCCTTCTCTTTACCTGCAGCAACCGCTCAGGCCCCACTCCCGAGAGGAGGAGGAGCGGCGGAGGAAGAATGAGAGCCTGGTACGTATAAACTCATCTATGGAGGTGTGAAATCACTTTGATCTTCACACACTCTGTGCAGGTCAGGCGAATACGACGCCCCTGTCAGCAAGAGGAGAGACTCGTTTGGAGCAAAATCTCGGTACGTGTGGGCTAGCTAGCTGTGGCTTTATGATGTGTACCAAGTTTAATGTAGCAAGTTTGAGGATTGTTTTTTTTTCTTTTTTCAGGCTGGCAGGTAGACTGGGGCCTCCGGTGTGGCGAGAAGGAGACGAGCAAGGGGAGCAGCAACAGCCCGAGAGGGAGGAGAGAGGGAGGGGGAGGGAAGAAAGGATGAGAGCAGAGAGGGAGGGGAGGGTGGTGGAGAGGGAGGAGAGGATGAGAGAGAGGGAGGGGAGGGGGAAAAGGGCAGTGTGGAGGGGGCGGGGGGAAGCAGAAGAGAGGAAGAGGGACAGTGAGGGGGAGGACCAAGAGATGGGGGAGGACCAGGAGATGGAAGAGCAGTCCAAAGTAAGCAGAGAACTGCAGTAAATACTTTTATGCCATTTTCTCCCTGCAGCCCTCACTGCAGTCGTCAGTAGTGGCCACTATAGCACCTCCGAGACCAAAAGATGATCCAGCACAGGATGGCAAGAATAAAATGAGGTGAGAAAAACACTTACTGTATACCTGTTTATGGTTGTGGTAGCGAACTAGCGATGGCAACGGACATCATAACATCAATATCTTGAAGCTTGCTAAGTAACTATTTAGCAAAGATAAAACCTATTTTGTAGGAACCGGAGGATGTTTGGTTTTCTGATGGGAACACTCCAGAAGTTCAAAGATACTGAAGAGGCTTCTAAACAGACCGAGAAGGTAGCCAGTCTGGCATTACATTGAAATGACTTACCTGTGTGATGTGACTGTGTGTGTGTGGCTGCAGGAGAAGACCCGAAAGGCCATAGAGATGAAACTGGAGCAGACTGAGGCAGAGGAGAGGGCAGCAATCACACAGGAGAAGAGGGAGCTGTTCCAGAAGATCAAGAACGAGAAGATAAGGGTCAGTCGCATCAAGAGCCACCTCGAGACTGCTGAAGAGGTCAGTCTCCCCACACACACACACACACATCTCAACACTGACCTGAACACATCTCTCATTGGGTTTGCACAGTTTGAAGAGTGGAATGAGCATTCTCGCAAACTGCTGGGCTACATACAGACACGCAACAAGCCGCCGATATTCTACGTGCCAGCTCAGCACAATTCCGAGACCACAGAGGCCCTCAACAAAACCACGACCAAGATAGAGGGTGAGCCAAACCTCACTTACCTCTCTTGCTCCCTCTATTATACCGTTCTCTACTTGCTCTGTGTGTATATATAGGTGTTATAAAGGAGCGTCAGGCAGAGATTGACGCCATGTTGGCCGACGCCGCTGCCCCAGTGGAGGTGGGAGGAAAGGATGAGGGGGAAAAGGAGGAGGGAGAAATGGACATTTCAGGGGAGGCCCCTGTTGTAGCAGGCAGTAATGTAAGGGAGGGAGGGGCCCAGGGGGAAGGGGAGGGTAAGAGGTCTGAAGGGGAAGCCTCAGATTCTGACTAGGCTGTAGGTAAGCCCTTCTTCTATAGGCCTGCTGTAATGGGTGGCTGTTATCTTCACACACATGCTCCTTGGTGAATTGTACCCGCATTTTGAATTTTTTTCTCGACAAAACTACCTCAAATTTGAAGTAAACTAGCGCAACTGCACACGTTTAGTGTCTTCATTGCAAAGAGGTATACTTTTAATAACATTTGCACACAAATTAATGTGAAATAAATAGCAAATTGCATGTATTGCGCCTTCAGAAGCAGCACTGCAAGGAACATGTATATATAATATGTACAATAGCAGCGGTAGTTGTGGCAAGGCAGCAGAATTGAGTGCAGATGTTCCGTGAGCAGAGGATGGTACTGTCAGATGTAGACTCTCGTCTGGTGTGGGGTGTCAGAAAAGACGAGCTCCGTAGCCAAACACAGACTTTATTCTCTCAAAGATGTGGGTCTTCCAGCCGAGTTTGGTTCTCTCTGCCACGCCCTCTGGTACGTTGGTGTGGAGGAGGACTAGCTTGGCACAGTCTTGTTCCTGGTTTAGTTCTATGGTCACCGTGGAATAGTGGGCTAGAGAGGGAGGAAGACGTTAGTGAGTGTACTTGTCATCTCCACCGGCTGAAGATGTACGCTTACCATCAGGCCAGGATTTCTCTCTCCATGTCTTCACTATCTTGTGTGGCTTTTCCTGTAAAGAAAGGGCAGGAGTAACACTGACGTGTAGGGTATAAAGGAGTAGTAGAATCTTCTCACTAGTTCCATGTACTGTCCGCTGATGAGACCGTCCAGCAGCGAATACAGGCCACCTTTCTTTGCCTCCAGCTTTGTACTGCTGTTGGTGAATGTAGCCACCAGCTATATCAGTACAACAGAGTCAGTTGTAGCAAATTAGTATATTGGTGGGTGGTAGTGTGGATGGAAGGGGTCACCTGTTGAGTGGTGAGGGTATTGTAGAGTTCCTCTATGGAGGTCATGAATGATTCTGTCATCTTGATCTGAGTGGTGTTCACATTAACTGTGCCTGCAACAGACATGAAGTCAATACAATGAGAGTGGCATAAAGGCTGGTTGATGTACCGGACTTCTTGTTGCTGGTGGCTGCAGGACTCGGCGATCGCTGGGTTGAGATCCGAGTACCGAGAGTGGGAGGAGTGGCAGGCGAAGACTCTGTGGGGCTCTGTCTCTTGGGGAGGATGAGACCTTTGTTGGAGTACTCTGAGAGGGAGAGATTGTTGGAGTACTCAGAGAGGGAGAGAGGGGAGACAGTGGGTCTACTGTGCAACATCTGGGACACCTCACGGACATATTCTATTCAGAGGCATACATCATTCGGAGGTAAAGTAATAAGCCAACACATTAGTATGGAGCCGACAGAACCAAATGTTCCAGTATATACCTGGAGGTGTGTACATACCTTCCTTGAGACAGCGGAGGTACTCGCTCAGTTTACTGCGGACCACGATAGGTGCCTCTCTGTGTACCATCTCCTTCATCGTCTGAGACACCACCTTGCCACTGCTCTCCACTGTCACTATCACCTTCAGGAAGAGGAAGGGGTTAAATAAGAAACTCTTGTAGTGTGATTCACTCACATCGACTTCCTCCACGGCATTCTCGTCACTGAGATTTGGGATCTCAATCTCTCCCTTCACCTCCCCCTCCTTACCCTCTGCCATACCTGAGGGGGTCACAGAGTGTATTACATGCATGGCCCACCCAACACACAGACAGCTATAGCTACAGAGAGGACTCACCTGACCACTTGAGTTTTATACTCCAGTCATAGAAGAATATGAGCTTCCCTTTTCTGTTGCTGCAGTGGAAATGCCACAGGAAGTACAGACATATTATTGCGTGTGTGGAAGTGTAGTACATAGGAAGAAGATGACAAGGTGAACTCACTGTGCGGTCGCCTCTCCATCGACTTTGAGTGCCTCCGTTATCTCACACTCTCCTGCGAAGACAGTAAAACTCAGACAGTTTCTTGAACTTCTTGCTGTCTCTGGTGCCAATACGATGGTACAGGTCGCTTACCTTCTTCTCCACTGAACTTCAGTCCCACCAAAAGACTCTTTAACTTGCTTCTGGACCACGAGCCAGCGTCTTTCTCTGCCCTACAGCGGTAACAGCTCTCACCCACTGCCCAATACACAGCCACCCGTCTCACCAGTGCCAGTTGTTGACGTTGGTAGCGTCCGGCCGCTCCTCCACGATCCAGCGAGGATCTCCCTGGCCCCACTTCGCCATATCCTAACAGTGTTCTAGGATAGCTAAACTTCTAGACGTGGGTTTTTAGCGACCGCACACAGCACGTTGTGACTCCGCCCACATCACGAAGATTCTTTTCAGTCCCATTCCTGGAACCAGAAGAACCGCGTTGGAATTTGGACCGTCACGTTTTGCGCACCTAGGGATCCGGGAGTACATAATTAAAAGAGCTGGGTGGGGGGGGGGGGGTATAATGTGAAAACTCAACAGAATTCGTGTTTTAGTTCATCTGCTAGTCTAGTTTCATTCACAGAAGGGGACTGAAGGGCAGAGACGAGTGTAGGCCATGTGAATGGTTTACTGAGAGACTGCTTCCAATGGTCCATAACAGCCATGAATCGGTCGAAACTGTCATCTTCATCTTTCTGAATGGCTTTTATCTCTCCTCGATTCAGCTCCAACTGGACGGCCACTTTCTTCCACTTGTCGGGAACGACTGCTGCCACCCGGTTGGCAAGGACACTCATTGCAGGGGCTGACTCTCCTGATACAGTGGAACCTGCAGATATCAGAGCAGGACACCGTAAAGTGGGACTAAAATTAATCTAGGGAAAAGGAGCCACAGTATAGTAAACATGTGGGCAAAGTAAGCCTATAGTAGTTTGACACAGACTCACCTGAGGCACCGAGCCAAAGGGTCTGGTCAGGGGCGAGGGTGTCAAATACTCCACTGTTTTCAGAGCATATCCACTGGTCCCCATCACTTGAGAAGCGGGCCACGTGCAGTTCTGTGCTGCATGACTCGTCCTGTTGGGGGCAGAGGAAAGCTATTGTCGCGTGAGTGTCTTCGTGATGTGTGTTCTTCAGAGCTGCTTCAACTGCTGCTAGGACCTCACACCTGATGGCCTGGCAGTGCTCGCTCAACTTGTCGCACTTCATCTTACTGGTATTAACACTTACGCACACCACAAAGGACGAAAAGTTATCGATGAAAGTGACTGAACCTGGGCGGCCGATTTTGATAAACTCGATGCAGTTGCGTGACAGGGAGGAATGTTTTGGGTGGCATGTACTGGAACCTTTGCTTTGCGGAGGGAGAGGTAGCTTATCCTTCTTTCTGGTCCAAGTGGGTTTGGGGCGCAGTGGAAGCTTTGCTTTGTGGTTTGATGCGTCTGTTTTTCACCACCTCCCAGCCAGAGTGGGACTGAAGGTGGCACACACTGCAGCAGTAGACACCGGGAGGAGCCCAGCCAGTGGGGAACTCCACCACCAGAGCTGCTATCTTGGTCCTCCTGCATGTTTCAAGGCATTCACTGATCTTTGCTTCAGTTGTCATGTTGAGAATGGCAGGAAAGAAGTATTCAGTTCTAGACAGTCGGGAAACCACGAGGCTCTTTTCAAGCAAGACAAGAAAATCTCTGGCTGTGAATATTCCCTCCACATAGTGGTTCTTGAAGTCCTCAAGGAAATCAAGAGTGAGGATTCCGTTGTCGCGAAACTTCTGCCAGTCCCCTGTGATCGCATGATCAGCTGCTTTAGTTGGATCAGCCATGGCAGCCCTCAGATGGTACTGCTTCTCCACCAGTTTTGACAGTTTGTCCAGAGGTACTTGAGCATTGGTAAAGATGACTTCGGGAAGAATGGTCTTCTTGTAGAGGAAGATGTTCAACTTGTCAAAGAAAGTGAGGGCAGCATCGAGTTCCCCTTCAGGGAAACCGAGTGAGTCTGACACGTGAATGGCTTCTTCCTTACTCAGGACCTCTCTCCCCAGTTTGAGGGCCAGAGCCTCTAGGATGAGCTGGAGAATGAACCACCAGATTGGAATCTCGTGTGTCTTGGCACCCTTCTCGATGCAGGCTCTGATTTTGCTGCTTCCTTTTTGTCATCGCTATCAGGATTCTGGTGTTGACTTGGAACACGATATCCTCCATTCCCTCGTTGCAGAAAACGACGTCGTCTTTGAAATGGGGCGATGCAATGGCTGCCAATTTTAGGTTCTTCTCCTCAGGAGTTTCCTCGCAATCTCCAGCCAGGTCTCTGTGAGTGCCGACTGTGATGATCTTTGAGTGTTCCCCTCCTTTATGGAGACCTTGAAGCATTGTCTTGAAGGCCTCGGCAGTGGTGAGTGTGGCTCTCTGGCTGGGACCAACCTGCTCCCCTCTCTGGTAGAGATCGTTGCGAGGGTGTTCATCAAGTTTCTCACACAGCCGGTGGACGAACAGGGTGGCAGAGGTGTCGAAGGTGAAGATAGGGATGAGGTCCCAGTAGGCTTGCTGGCCACCACTGTCGGTCAGGTAGATCAGATCCATGTCCAGGAGACGACGTGACTTTCTCCCACCACTCACGAGCTCAGTGAGCTTTTGAATTACTTTGCTGATGGTGACTGTACTTTCTTCAGCACTGATAGTGCTGGGGTTGCTTTCTGATTCTGTTTCTTTTGACTCTGTTTTCTCTTTCTCTTGACTTTCACCAACTGGGTCGTCTTTTCTTACCCCGACCTCTGCAGCTACTCCTCCATCATTCCTCTCTTCTCCTCTTCAACCACACTCTGTTCTCCCCCACCCTCCCCCACCACTTCAGACAGAACCTCGGCCAGCTTGTCAATTCCCTTTCCTTTGGCCTTCAGCTCCTCATACAGAACTGGGACTGCTTCTGCTATCATTTCCTCAAATTCCTTTGTGGGAATTTCACTCCATTTCCCTGATTCTTTGCCGATGCGAATGACTCGGATTGATCTCTCAGCACAGCCAGTGCTAGTTCTTTGCTCTGGTGGGTCCTTGCTGAGCAGGAGGTAGAGGAGGCTGGTTTTACCAACACCGGCAGGCCCCACAACCACCACCTTTATCAGCTTGACATAGACATAGCCTTGTTTCATTGCTTCCTTTAGATATTCACTGGACTCATCTGTGATATAAAAATTTCACATTAGTAAAAATTAATGTGCTGACACGATTAGTGAAAATCGGTTTGGGTATTAGATGTCACAAATGCTGGGCATCACTGTAAAATGAAAACTCTTGTTTAAGAAAGGCTTTAGGGGCACAAACCTTGTGCATGTATAATAATAAGCATGATGTGTGTTAACATCAATATTATAGGGCTAACGGCTAGGATGATTTACCTTCTCCAAGTATAATACTCAGATGGAGAGTCGACTCCTTCTGAACATTGTAGTCACTAAGGGTTCGTCCATCATCCAACACTGTATTCATGAACTGCAGTTGTTGTTGGTCTGGTGGTATTCCCTCCTTGTCCTGGATTTTAGCCTTCACATTCTCAATGGTATCACTGGCCTCCACCTCCAGAGTGATGGTCTTGCCTGTGGGAGTCTTCACAAATATCTGCATACCTCCTCTTAGCCGCAGGACAAGATGAAGAGTACAATCATTCTGAATGTTATAGTCACTCAGTGTCTGTCCATCTTCCAGTTGCCTACCAGCAAATATGAGTCGTTGTTGGTCTGGTCGTATTCCCTCCTTGTATTGAATTTTAGCCTTCACATTCTCAATGGTATCACTGGCCTCCATCTCAAGAGTGATGGTCTTGCCGGTCAGTGTCTTCACAAATATCTTCATACCTCCCTTTTCCAGTAATCTGAGTTGAATAGCATCCTCATGCTGAATATCACAGGCATTAACAGTCTGTCCATCTTCCAGCTCTCTGCCATTGAACAGGAGCTGTTGTTGGTCTTCGGGTATTCTAATTTTTGAGAGAATTTTATCTTTCACCGTCTTAATGCTATCACTGGGGTCTACTTCTATTACTGCTCTTATGCCAAAACCTTTTCCTTTTACCATTATCCCCATACCCCTCTCTACTAGCCAGACTAGCTGCAGAGTATCATCATTTTGAACATTGTAGTCACCTAACGTCTTTCCATCTTCCAGCTGTTGACCTCTAAAGACAATTTGTTGTTGGTCTTCAGGTATCCCCACATTGAATTCAACCTTATCTTTCACACTAGAAATGGTAGTACTGCTGCGCACTTGCAGTCCGATGATATTCACACCTTTCCGAGTTCTAACAAATAGATTCAGGCGAAAAGTCAGATGAAGAGTATCCTCCTTATGAATGTTATAGTCACTCAGAGTCCTACCATCTTCCAGTTGTTGACCATGGAATGAGAGTCGTTGTTGGTCTGGTGGTATTCCCTCCTTGTCCTGGATTTTACCCTTCACATTCTCAATAGTATCATTGGCCTCTACCTCCAGAGTGATGGTCTTGCCTGTGGAAGTCTTCACAAATATCTGCATGCCTCCTCTTAGCCGCAGGACAAGATGAAGAGTAGACTCATTCTGAATGTTATAGTCACTCAGTGTCCACTTATCTTCCAGTTGCCTACCAGCAAATATGAGTCGTTGTTGGACTGCTGGTATTCCCTCCTTGTCTTGAATTTTAGCCTTCACATTCTCAATGGTATCACTGGCCTCCATCTCATGAGTAAAAATCTTGCCTGTCAGAGTCTTCACAAACAGTAATATCCTCATACTTCCGTCCACCAGCCAGTTGAGTTGAAGAGTATCCTCCGGCTGGACACTACAGTCGCTTATGGTCTGTCCATCTTCCAGGTCCCTCCCATTGAACAAAAGTTGTTGTTGGTCTTGAGGTATTCCGATTTTTGTGTGAATTTTAGCTTTTACGATCCCAATAGTATCAATTGGTTCCACTTCTATAGGTCTGTAGTGCTATTCTCGCTTGTTTTGGGAGTCTTTCTATGAATATCCCCATACCTCCTTTTACCAGCCAGACTAACTGCAGAGTATCATTAGGATAAACATTACAATCACCAAGAGTCTGTTCATCTTTCAGATGCGTACCATTGAAGACAATTTGTTGTTGGTCTTCGGGTATTCCCACATAATTTGAAATATGAAACTTAATTGTTGCTATGGATGTAACAGAATGCACATCAAGAGTGATGGTCTTACCTCTTTGGGTCTTCACACATATCTGGAACACGCCTCCCAAGAGCCCCAGAGAGAGGCCGACAGTACTCCCACTATGAAGACCACAATCCCTCAGCCTCTTCTCATCTCTCAGCACCCTCCCACCTGACAGCAACTTCTGCTGCTCTGGTCGGATCCCTTCTCTCTCATGGATGACTGACTTCAAGTGTCTCACTGTGTCCCCACCCCTCACCCCTAGTGCTAGGGTCTTCCCCGATAGAGTTCTGAGGAACACCTGGTACTGTGGCTGGCTCCTGAGGACCAGTCTGCACTTGCTGGAGATGAGTGTGTGATAGTACCCCATTCTTCTCCTGTCCTCCAGGCTAACCCCATCTAGACTAAGTTGTTGTAGGCGACGTGGGGTACCTTCTAAAGCCTCAATCATCTTCTTTACTCTCCTGACAGAAGTGGAGGACTCTACCTTCAACTTGATGTACTGGCGGCTCTTACCCTTTCTCACTTTCAAGTTATAGAAGTGGAGTCGTCGAACGACATATATCTCGGCCCCACTTTTGATTTCATAGTTCTCTAAGGAACTGTTGTCATTGATTGGCTTACCAGCAAAGATCAGTCGCTGACGTTCTGGCGAAATCTTTGCCACTTTCGCAATTTTACTTTTCACCACAGTGACTGATTCACTAGTGGCTACCTCAAGAGGGAAGGCCTGGCCTGTCAGTGTCTTGACAGTGATAGGGACCACTACTAGCAGCCCCAGCTCCGACCCACCCTGGATGCCACACTCCCTCAACGACACCTGGTTCTCTAGTGGCTGGCCTTGGAAAGACAGTCGCTGCTGTCCTAGTGGAATGCCTAGTTCAGCCTCCAGTGCTGCCTTAACATTCTCCACCCTTTCTCCTCCCCCTGCCATGACTGAGACCAGCTCACCTGAAGGTTGCCTTACACGCAGCCTTATCTCCTCTGGTGAACTAAGGTGGAGTGTACTGCCCTCTACTATGTGGTACTCTCGAAGCAAGTGTTCGTTCCTTATTTCCCTCTCATTGTAGACCAGGCTCTGGCGGTAGACTGGGAGACCGTCTTTGGCCGCTATTTTGCGCTTGGTGCTCTCCACCGTGTCAGAACCCTCTACTGCGAGTGTAATGGTTTTACCTGACAGGGTCCGCACGAAGATCTGCATCATTTCTGCTTCTCACCTGTATACACACGGTAAGCAATCTTTTAAAACGGTCGCACCACGAAGGTTAGTATCTGCTTCTTACCTTTTCTTTTCAGACTGAGAACGAAGTGTCCAGTCGCTTTTGTGTATGTGTGGAGGGTGTGGCTCCTGGGCGGGGCTGTTATACATTAACCCTTTTCTCGCGAGAAGACAGTTGCTGGACAGGTGTGTACGCGAGGATGTCAGTGACTACAGTCCAGGCAGAGACCAGTCAGTGTCTCTTCGAGTTCCTGCACATGGAGATTGTCTCCCAGCTGCAGCAGGAGGCTGGACCGGACAAGAAGGTCAGTATTAGACCATGACAGTCTCCCCCAGTGACCTCCACTGACCTCCACTGCAGGGAGAGGTACAGCAGCGACTGGAGAGTCTGGGCCACAGAGTGGGAGAGAGTCTGGTGGAGAGAACGTCACGTGACCACCCGAGGTTCAAGAACGAGCTGGACGCCGTCGTCTTCATGTGCAAACAGTTCTGGGTGACTGCCTTCAACAAGAACATTGACAACCTCAAAACCAATCATCAGGTCTCTCTCTCTCTCTTATTCCTCCCTTCTTTTCTTTTGCTTGGTTTCATGTCAACACAACTAATAAAACCTTTCTATTATGCTGCAAAACACTTGATACAGTGTGCTACTTGCATAGCTTCCAACTAAACTTTACGGTCGTCCGTATATACACATATAACAAATTTTCCGTATTTTGCGTAACTTTTCCGTAGCGCGCTTGAACCCCCCGCTTGTCGTAATACTTGCCACGCCTTCTCGAGCGCGCTTCTCCTCCGTATTCTTCGATTTTTGCCCGTAAATGGTGTTTGAATTACGTAAAATTACGGATAAATCCGTGGAGTTGGAGGCACTGTACTTGATGTGTTCACATACTTAGCTATTGGTGTACTTCATTGCTTGTTGCTGGTGTTGGTTTGTGTGTGTGTGCAGGATACGTATGTTCTCCATGACAATGCGTTTAGACTGTTACAGCATCTCTCTGAGGGGAACCAGTACAGAGAGGAGGCACAGACTGTGAGTGGAGTACACTCTCCCTCCCTCTACTACCCCTCGTACCACCATAATACCTCACTCTCCTCTCTTCGTTCTGTATAGTACCTGTCATTTGCGTGTGGTCTGTTGACTGGGGCTCTGAGTAACGTAGGGATCAAGTGTCAAGTCACTGCAGAAGTCACCAAAATGCCAGCCTGTAAGACACACTCATCTTCACTTTCATTCACATGTGACCGTTTTACTTTCAATTTTCAGGCACTTTTCAGGTGAAAGTGCTGCTATAACCTCACACCCCACTTCTTTAGCTTTTTAATAAAAAGAGAAGTCATAATTATGATTGGTACAAAAAAACACAAAAAGACATACAAACTGTCATACATCAAATTCCAAGAGTGTTTCGTTGTAAATGTCACTACTACCATTAATGTCTGCAACTGTATATCTGTTTGTGTATGTGGGGTTGGGAGAATGAGGCCGCGAGTGAGAGATGCCTCCCTGCGCCGCTATCAGGTGTTCGTTCCGGACACGCCCCCAGTACCGATCTCTGCCCGTGACGTACAGCCATCTGCACCACACCAGGCATGGAATGGAGACAGCCACTGAGACTACCATGAATACTATGACTGAGACCCAGCCCAGGTTCCGTTTCGCTCCGTCCGAGGACGACGAGGGAGAGATGACCATGTCGGGGTAGAGGGACAGGAACTTTAGAGCAACTCCATTAGTCCAGCCAAACCCAGTCTAGAGGGTGTGTGTGGGGGGGGGGGGATTTGCATAGTAATGCCATAGCAGTTTAGCCAGAAGGCACATGTACAGAGATTTTCATTCAGACATTAAGCAGAAACTCATGATACAAATTTTGCAATGAAACGTCTGAAAAACTCCCCTGGTTATGTATATATAATACCTGGGTGTTGTACTGGCCTCCTCCCCCTGGCTCCCCTGCCTCTGTACAGTTATACTAGAGAGAGGGAGAGAACAGAGTAAACGTTTGGAGGTGATAGAAGCACAGTCAACTCTAACCTTCTCAAACATGGTGTGGTTGAACCTCTCCCAGGCAAGGTAGGTGGTGGTCAGCCATGTTCTTGCCACCTTCTCTGCCACTGCTCTCAGCTGCTTGCTGGGTGAGTCGTGCCACGCCTCCACCAACATCCACTGGATTGGGGCCCAGGCGTTGGGGTAATCCCACTGCTGGGTGGAGTTACTCCAGACGGAGGCCGGGATTCCTCCGGGGTACTCCAACACTCCGAGGGACTCCAGAGTAGAGAGGAATTTTTCATCTCGTTCCACGCCTCCCTGACCACACCTCCAGACAAGTGCTGATATTGATGATCCATAGAACGAACCGTTCAGTGAAAGATTCAGCCTCAGATCTCTCCATAGACTGAGAGTTTCGTTCCAGAACATTCCGTCAAATGAAGAGCTCCTCTCTATTGTTCTGTTTATGAAGTAACTTGCTCCTGACCTGTTGCCTGTTGGATCAGCACGTAAGAAGTTGGGTGAATGAAATGACAGTAGAGTTGGGACAAGAGAGTTTTACCCACTGCAGTGAAGAGCCTGGCCAGAGCAGCCTCATTGCTGCAGAGAATGGCACTCAAGTCCACTGCTACGATTGTAGATGTTGAGATTGAGGATAGCTGGCCTGTGTCAGGTCCACTGTGAGCCAGCCACCGGGTGGAGAAGTCCCACCCACTCTCTGCCCCAGAGGCAAGATTTTTGTACAGCGCAGGACGATTATCTGCAGTGAAAGAAGATATTCAGTTGCATTGGGAGACGAGGGAGTGATTGGCTAGAGCTGTGCCGCAGGATTACAGAGCTGGCTTGTACTCCATTCATAATCAGCTAGAAATTAGCAAAAGTGTGGGTGATATCGCAGCATAAAACGTACCTGATGTTACCCTCTCAGCTACTGCGAGATCTTCTCTGTAGGCTTCTGGTCTGCAAAAAAAACATGCAGCTGTTAGACCACCCCAACACCAACGAAGAGATGTCCACCTCGGAGTGTCAGTTGGTGCTGTGTATGCCGGGCCAAAGAAAGGTATGGATCTGTTGTTGACCCAGAAATTGTACTCTGTCACCAGAGCTGGGAGAAGGTTGTGGAGAAAAGTGGTGTTCTCAGTTCTGTTGTAGAATAGCTCCACCATCTGTGTCAAGAGTGGGGGCTGGCTGCGTCGAGTGTAATACTGCCGACCTCCATTTGGAACCAGGCCATACCTGTAATAATAGGGGAGAGAGGGGAAGCCTCTCATTCTGCACTTAAATAAAGGTATGTAGCTAAGTGAGCACATTTTATGAATAGTTGGGTTAAAACCTTCTATGCCAGCAGAAGAAGCCTCATAGTGGAGGGAGGCTGAATTCTCCCCAAGGGGCACTACAGTATTATGGCAGAGGTGGCTGTGCATAGTCATCAACGCAAGAGAATGCTGGCTATACATACAGTAATATCTGGAGTCTAGAGAACATCAAAGGAAAGCTGATATGCTCAATACCATTACCAACACATTTTCCCACCTACACTTGACTCATATTGCAGGTATATAGGACGATAAAATCCAATAGCACTTGGCTATTGCAATAGCTGGAGCCCATGTCACGGCAATACATAGTGATACAATTCACTTACTTGTGCACCAGGTAGGCCAGGTTTTCAATCATCCCCCTTGCTGTGTCATTCATTCCACACAGAAGGAGACCCTCCACCATCCAGTAGGTATCCCTGACAATAGTTTGAGTAGGAAGATAGAGTGGGCAGCTATAATTAAAGGTGGAAGGTGTTCACATATATACCAGTAGTATGTCTCCCTGAATCTACCTCCTGGTACAATGAAAGGGTTGGGGAGGAAGATGAGAGAGTGGCGATCAGCGTTTTCAGGGACAGCAGGTGAGACCTGGAGAAGAGGGAGAGAGGGTTGGGTCCAGAGGATGTCATGTATTGGGTCTACTTGTCTTCCCAGTTGTCTCCATATGGAGTTTATGTCAAGAGCCCACTCCTTCAGCTTTTCGTCTTTTATCCTCTCTATGAAGTTTGGTCTGGACACAGAGAGTTGTCGCAACATATTCCTAGAGATCGGTGACTGGTCCTGACCTTGGTACCCAGTCAGGAGGGTCCCAGGTCTCCAGATCAGAGCCAGCCTCCAGCGTCCACTGATCCACAAACTCCCTCAGAGCTGTCACGTTGTGATGGTCTGGGAGCTCCTCGAAAGCCGCCAGGACTTCGTCTGGTGAGGCAGTGAGAGGTCGGTCGACAAACTCTTTGCTGTCGTTGAAGACCGAGGCATTTTGGACTGAGGCTAGCAGTTCACCATAGCAGAAGATTGGGCTGAGGGTATATCGAGAAAGAGACGGGTTGATTGTTTACGAAAGAAAACAAACACAGACAAGTAGGTGGTTGTACTAATTTGGAAGCAAATTGGCCTCTCTGCATACCTGTCGCAGACATGTAGACTATCGGTTGGCGCTAGCGGTAGAACCACGGAGGAGAGAAACAGAGGAACAAGAGAATGGAGAGCCATCGATCGCGGAATTACAGGGAGACACACACCCACCAACACTTTATGTGGGTGGGGCTAGCTCCTGCGCGATCGCGATTTTAACCCTTTTGAACCGGCAGCTCAGAAAACGCTCCACGATCGATCGACTGAGATTGCCTCAAGAAACAATGGCTAAAAGCGGTTCAAGTGCCGTATCTTCGGAGCTGCCGGGGAACCAGTACGTTCGTTTGGATTTCCAGAGCTGGAACGTGACGTACGCGCTGAGGTCGCACGCACCGGAGAAGAATCGGCATGCTCGCGAGCTCAGCGCTGCTGATTCGAAGGAAGAAGTCTTCTGCTCCACGCGTCTGCAGAGGATCGTGCGAGAGGTGACGATGTAGCGTTTTGCATATAATTATAGCTAGCTGTCTCACAATCAACATGCCCCGCCCCCTCACCCCTTTTTCACTTCCTTTGCGTGCGTAAAATTTGCATAATACACATGCAATTTGCAGCATACAGGCCTTGCTAAAGTGTTTTGCCTACTTGTGTCTTGTTCATATATTTCTAGGTCAGCAAAGATGGAAAGGGTTCGGAGAAGGAAGTGGAGAAAGAAGTGAGGGAAATGCTGGACGAAATGGGTCACTCAATGTTTCTGCCTGCCGTCAGATGCCTTGCTCTTCTTCTCCGACCTTTTATTTGCTCTGCACTGCGCGGAATATTCGTCAGCAGAGAAGGACTCCAGCAAGTGAGTGGGCGTCGCAGATAACGGCGGGTGAAAACTACAATTTTCAGCGCTACATTCCCGCCGGGTGTTGTGGCGTGCACCTGTAACCAGAGCTACTACTGGGGCAGAGTTCGGTGGATGGCTTGAGGTCGGGGTTCCTGAAGGTTGGCGCGCTATGCTGAGCGGACGCCCGCACTAAGTCCTGCGTCAACATGGGCGTATCTACGGAAGCAGTTGCGTCCAGGTTGTATAGTGAGAGCCGTACCGGCCAAGGGCGGAAACGCAGCAGGCAAAAGGCTCCGCGCTCGACGGTAGTGGGACTACGTCTGTGAATAGGCGTCATCCGTCAGCCCGGCCAACATAGTTAGACCCGAACTTTTTTTTTGCGTTTTTGTCACTTCACCCAAAATAGGAGCTTTAGTAGTTTGGAGTATAAGAAGCTAGTTTTGTCAATCAGATTTTTTTGCCGACTTTTAGTTGCGAGGGGTTGTATCGCAGTGGCCTGTGGTTCTTCTCCCCTCTCACCGCTCCTACCTCGACTTCCTCCTCATCTCATATATCATGTTTGAACACAACATCAAGCTCCCATACATCGCAGCAGGCCAGGGTGCGTTGCTTCTCTTCAGTAGGTAGCTTCCAGGGTATGAATGGCCACCTTAGATTTCATGAAGATGAAGCTAGTGAGTGGCCTACTGCGGCAGAGTGGAGCGTTCTTCATGCGCAGGACATTTGGAGCCGACAGACTCTATAAGGCGGCGTTCTCAGAATACGTGAAAACGGTTCTGTGTAGCAACGATGCTCCACTGGAATTCTTTATCGAAGGGACTCGGAGCCGAACGGCGAAGACCCTTCATCCAAAACTCGGTACATCAAGACACACTTACCCATGTGGTAGTGTTAGTGATGGTAGTTTATCCCTGCAGGACTACTCTCGATGGTGGTAGAGCCTTACCTGGCTGGTCTTGTACCAGACATCATGTTGGTTCCAGTCAGCATCAGCTACCAGAGGACCCTGGAGGAGCACCTCTTCTCTCGCGAGCTCCTCGGAGTTCCAAAACCTTCAGAGTCCACTCGGGTACATGTCTACGCCAGAAAATTAAAAGTTTACCCTTACCCTATTCACCCCCTCTGAATGTTCAAAGACAAACTAACCGTCCTGACTTTTAGTAGTTTTGAACTTCCCTGCAGGGACTGATGAAGGCGCTGTCAATGATACGTGAAGACTATGGCTCCATATTTGTGGAGTTTTGTCAGCCAGTATCACTGCACGATTTCTGCACCAGCAGAGGAGTCAGTAGAGTACCTCACACTGTATTTCCAAAGTCAGTTCTACCAGCCATAGTGAGACTAAACCGAGATGTTCTGGTTCGTCTCTCTCCAGAGACAAGTCACTGATTCTGCCTCAAGAGCGTCAGGTGATCCTGGAGCTGAGTCATGTGATCTTAGACCACACCCACCACGGGATGCACGTATACCCCACGGCAATGACGGCAGCTCTCCTACTGCAGCACGGGTCTGGTCTGGAGAGGGGTGAGCCCCGCACAATCTTCTCCTCTCACCCTCTCTTTCTCCGTGTTTCTGCCTCTGTATATAGAGGAGCTGATGCAGAGATTAGAGAGGTTAAAGGAACAGGTGGAATTGAGAGGATCCAAGACGCACTGGGAGGGAGGTACATGATTGACGCCGTGTGTATCTGTCCAAAAGCAGGAAGAAAGGCAGCTTTTTCAAATATCATCTATTGTTTCAGACGCAGGGCAGAATCTCGACTTTGCTCTGAAGACATTATCCAGTTCACTGGAAGATTCTGACTCCTCGGATGTGATCAGACCCCTCCAATTTGCCATGCCCCCCGCCCCTCGGGGTCTCACGATAAAGGAGTCGGTGCGGATGGAGATATCGGCAGACGAGATTCAGTCAGCTCTGGATGTGGCCTTCTCGAGAATTCTCCTCTCGCACTATCGCAACCAACTCATCCACCTCTTTGTGGCTGAGGCCATGATGGCTCTTAGTGTCTCTAGCTGTCTTCCCTGCACACAGAGTATGCCACACACCACCCTCTGTCTGTAGGTATATATAGCTCTCCCCCTTTCTCTATAGATGCTGCTCTAAAGAGGTTTGAAACGCTGCACTGTGCACTGACCAGGGAGTTTGTACTACCACTGTCATCCCCTAGAGAAGTGAGCGGACCTTTATCAAAGTTCCACGCAATTCAACTGTTTCTCTTGTCCAGTTGTTCACGTCAACTCTAATGAGTTTGGTGGACAGGGGCTACCTCATTCTGTCGTCTCGTGAAGAGGACTCCATTAGTCTCAACGATCGGAGAGAAGGAGAGTTTGACTTTCTACAGAGCCTCTTGCAACCATTTGTAGAGGGAGTGTGGGTGAGTATTTGCAAAAAGTGCATGCAACTACAAGTAGCACCACTGACTGGGTCACCAGCTTCACTGTGTATGAAGGACTGCATACTGATGTAGGTGGTGTGTCAGCATCTGCTGAGTTTCAGTGGAGGAGTTCAGTCACTGTCTACCACTATTAGGAATGCACAGAGACTGGGTATAAAGTGCATTACCTCAGGTAAAATCATGTTGATCTGGGTAATAACAGTATAGTGAGGTGTGTGTTGGGGGATCATGTGCAGGGGTGGTGAGGTCACATGACCTCCTCTCGTTGGACCTCATCAGGAACACCCTCTCCTCCCTGACTCAACTGGGCCTCATCCGACAGCCTGAGAGGTGGGGAGATTCCATTGTGCCCCTGTAATTATCACCCTTCCTTTGTGTGTGTGATTAGCGAGGTGGAGGGGAGAGACCGACTGGTAAAAGTGGACCGACAAGAAAAACTGGTTCTGCTGACCTCCCAACTAGGTCAGTGGGTAGCTATAGCGTCACTTCAACCTTTTCAAAATGCCCGCCCGCAGGTGCCATATTGGGTCAACTTGATGAAAATCCAACATCAAAACTTTAACAACTCAATAATTTATGTGAATCAAAATCTCAATGACTGTGTGAATGAATCTCGTTGTGAATAATGATCTCTAGATTCCGTGTCTTGTAGGCATGGTGATATACCAGCAAAACAATACTACAAGACAGGCATGGGGGATCAGGACAAATGTAAATAAAACCCTGTCCTACAGGACACGCAGACTGCGAGGTCTAGCAGGATGGCCATCAACTGTTGTTGGTAGTGGTGGGACTGGAAGGTGATGTGGTGGTTGCTGAGCCCGTGCTAGCTCGCGTCCTGCACAGAACATGACTCAACTCACATCTGATTTTTTTCATCATCGAGATTTCTGACCTCTTGGATATGGGGGGACTTCTGTCACTCCTGGAGATGAGGGGAGTGTCGGGCGGATTTTCAGAGGTCGGGGAGGGCGTCTCCACGGAAACACGTTTGGCCAGTGGGCACGGTGACCCATCCGCCGATGGGTCGTCCTCACTAGATGGGGCACCCCTCTTTCGACTCTGAAAATAAGAAAATTTAGTGTGAAAATGTATCACGAGATCAGCTACCACTCCCACCAAATGTGAATCGTAGAATTCAAAATCACATGCACAAATCTTGGTAAAATAAGCTAACTAGTTTTGGAGGAGGAGGAGGGGGAGGCATTGTGGGTGTGGTTGGGGAACTCTCCATCAGCTGTCTCGCTCGACTGATTACATCATCGTCCTTCAACCAGGGATGCCTGAGTGCATCGGCCATCGAAATACGCTCTTTTGGATTCAGTGTCAGCAGCTTGCGAATCAGGTCTATGGCTGAACAAATCCCGAGTTCAAAGGAGAGAAAGTTATTCTAATGAAATGAAAACTGCTTGTGTGTATACACACATAGCACGCAATTTGGCCTATTTGCTACTAAATGTTCAAGAGTCGTCTCTGCTATCAATAAAATTGCTCACCATCTGAGGAGACATCCTTCCAGTATTCGGGGGAGAAGGAGTACTTGGCCTGGCAGATCTGCTCCTGTAGAGTGTATTCTTTGATCTCGTCTGAGAACGGGGGGTACCCTCCCAACCTGCGTCAGGGGAGAGCACAGCTGACACAATCCGACACAGCCTAACACAGAACACATGATCTGAACACAACATAACAACAAGAGGTCGATCGATAATAAAGTAGACAATAATGCTAAACCTACAGCAATATCGAGCATGAAATAACCGAAGTTAACCCCGAGCTCACATGATATAGAGAATAACCCCTAGACTCCAGCAGTCGACAGCCTTGCTGTACCCCCCGAGTCCGGCAGACTCCAGGATCTCCGGAGCCAGGTAGCTGGGAGTTCCACACAGGGTCCTCATCAGGGACGCCTCCCCGACAAACTTGGATAGACCAAAGTCAGTCACTTTAATCAGCGTCTCCTGCTCGTCAGTCGCTAATAGAATGTTCTCTGGCTGCAGGGAGAGATGGGGGAGTGATAGCGTTTTTTTACAGACATGGCAGTGTGTATATAGTTCACCTTCAGGTCTCTGTGAGTGATGTTCCTCTCATGTAGGTACTGTGAAATTGAGGGAAGAGAGAGAAGTAGGGATTGTTTTGTGTGACGTGTGCATGCGTACATTGACGGCGCCCAGGATTTGGTAGAAGAGAAACTTTCCCACAGACTCAGAGAATTTCCCGACGGACACGACTCTGTCAAACAGCTCGCCTCCTTCCACACTGCCGGTCGACGAGAAAAGAGAAAGGAAAGAGAGAGGGAGAATGCTGAAAAGTGGGATGAATGGAAGGCATGGCTCACAGTTCCAGTACAATGTAGAGGGCGTCTGGTCCATCAAAAACGTCTTCAATCTGGATAATACATGGCTGTGGGGAACATCGAGTCCATAGACCTCTGACAAAAGTGACACCTAGCTTCTTACGTGGTGCAGTTCTTTTAGGATTTTCACCTCTTCGATTGCAGCTCGATTCAGTTTCGGCTGTGCAGGTGGTAGGATCACAGTAATGCAATGCAAACAGTCTTCAAGGTGAGCATCATATTATGGGCTTTGTGTGCGAGTCTCAGTAAATAAACCACAGTACACTGTAGCCCACGTTCCATTCCCGAGACTCGGTTCTGATGTGGCACACTTGTCCCCCAGACCATACCACTGACAGGCATGGTCTGGTCTATACGTGTACTAACTAGCACACACACACACAACCCCACGCACCCCACCTACCCCGACAGAGAAGGCCTTTTTGCTGATGATCTTGACTGCATATTTCTTGCACGTCTCCTTCTCAAAAACCAGTTTCACCTCTCCACATGCCCCTCTGGTGACAGAGAAAGATGTAGAAAGAGAGGGAGAGATGGAAAAGAGGGGCAGAGATAAGAGTGAAGAGAGAGAGAGAACAACATGTGTTAGAAGTCCGAACATACCTTCCCAGTAGTTTGGAGACGGTGTAGTGTTGCCTGAACTCCTGTGGAGACAAAGGAGAGAGAGAGAGAGTGACACATCACCACAGAGGGACAAGGAACACACAGGGGGCAGGGCATCTGTCCGAGACTCTGAGGAACCTCTGTCGTGGAAGATGAAGACTGGAAGAGAACCATGACCCAGAGTTTAGAGGAAAGAATCACTCACAAACCTTTGTTTGTCTTGAGGGCGAGAGAAATCTCGTCGTCGCTGTTCAGAACTCTGGTCTTGTTTTTCCCTGAAATTGGGCACTGCTCTGTGTGTGTGTAGAGTGTGGGCTAGCTCACCTATCTTCTCTCCCCCTACAAATGTCCCATTAGAGCTATAGAGACAGAGAGAAAGAGACTGCAGCGAGACTGTGGAACATGAGGTCCTCACAAACCTTCGGTCCTCCACAAACACCACATACTTCTTGGGATTCAACTTGTCTATCTCCTGCAACACGAAGGAAAAACAATTTCAAAAAAAACACTCACTTGTCATTCACTCACACAGAGTGGCAAGCATTGTATTATAAAGATTGCTATGAGAGGAGACCACTCACTCTGTAGAGCCTAAAATGTATCTTGCTGAATGCAAGGAAGTGAGTGTTGGCCTTCCCGCCGCTCTGTTCAAAGGAATAGTCGCAATCCTCGCCTCGCCCAAAGACATATTCATCCTTCACCAAATCTGGAGGAAGAAGAAGGACACAGGGGTAAGGGTGCATGCTAGCAGGTGACCTGGGTGTAGAGAGGTTGGAGGACACACCCTGTTGAACGAAGCCTTTAGCCACGGGGAATAGACGCCCCCACACATCATTACCAGGCTCCCCGTTCGTCTCTTCCTCCTCCTCCTCCTCGGAGGGAAGCTGCATCGAGTTCAACTCCAAAGTTTGTGCCTCTGACATGCTTGCTTGTCACCACGCGCCTCACTGTGTCTCAGTCTCCGAGGACGCGCGTGGTGGTCATGGTACGGGTCCGGGGGGGTCGGGTGCAAGCAGAATTAGAGCGAGGTTGCCTAAAATGCGCATGCGCAAGGGGCGTGGCTGGTGTGTGCATGCAGGCGGCATGATCGATCGATGGCCGCTGCTGGACGATGCGCAGGTTCTGGGCAGTCCGTAGCGAGGTCCGTAGCCGTGTTCTGTCTGTCCGACTTCGAAAAGTACGCGCGGACGCAGTTGAACGGCAATGCGTGGGGCTACTATTCCTCGGGAGCTGACCAGGAACTGACGCTCAAGGATAACGAAGAGGCCTTTCGCAGGTTATCGACAACCGCGGGCCAACCTTCAAACTTGTGTGTGATATTCATCGCAGGTATCGACTGAGGCCGCGTATGCTGAAGGACGTATCGAAAGTCGACGTAAAGACACGTATATTAGGACAGGATGTGTCTTTCCCTGTTTGTGTTGGTGCCACTGCCATGCAGAGGATGGCGCACACTGACGGAGAAATAGCCACATGCAGAGGTGCACACTAGTATACATAATAGGTACGTATAAAGTTACATAGTTCCCGTTGCTGCAGCTGCTAGGAAGATGGAGACCTGTATGATGTTGAGTTCATGGTCCACCACTAGTCTGGAAGAGGTGGCGGGCGCCAGTGGTGAGAGTGGTCTGAGGTGGTTCCAGCTCTACATCTACAGAGACAGAGACCTCACCAGGAACCTTGTTCTGAGAGCAGAGAGGAGCGGTTACAAGGCAATAGTGGTGACAGTGGATGCACCTGTTGTGGCCAAGAGACTTGCAGATGCTCGCAATAGATTCAGCCTCCCTCCCCATCTCCACCTGGCAAATTTCGACACTCAACTTCCGCAGTCCTCACTGACATCCGACAGTGCTTTAGAAGGATCATCTCTGGAAAGATACACGAGAGATTTGCTGGATGCGAGTCTGACGTGGGAGGGGATAGACTGGATCCGAGGTCTGACTGGACTGCCTGTTCTGGTGAAGGGTATTCTGACAGCAGAGGATGCCGTGGAGGCAGTTAGACATGGGGTCCAGGGAATCATAGTCTCTAACCACGGAGGAAGACAGCTGGACGGAGTCCTTGCTACCGTCAGTTGTCCTCTCTCTCCCTCACACCTGTCTTCAATCTGCACACTGTAGATTGATGCTTTGAGTGAGGTGGTGAAGGCAGTGGAGGGACAAGTGGAGGTGTACATGGACGGAGGAGTGAGGCAGGGAACCGATGTCCTGAAGGCTCTGGCAATGGGGGCCAGGGCAGTCTTCATTGGGAGACCAGTCCTCTGGGGTCTGGCCTACAATGGACAGGAGGGAGTGGAGAGGGTGCTGCAGATACTCAGAGACGAGTTCAAGACTGCCATGATGCTCTCAGGTACAGTCAAACACTGTAGTTTGGCTAATACTATAGCATTACATTCCTGTATAGGTTGTCGGAACTTGGCCGAAATACAGCCAAGTCTGGTGGTCCACCAATCAAAGATCTAAACGGAAGTGATTTTATAGTTTTCATAATGTATGTGCTATGAACTAAAATCATTATCATCATCAGTCATTTGTTTGACTCTCTAAATCCCTGAGGGCTTTAGCACGTCTTCTGCATTGAAGAGAATAAAGAACCACGGTGACAGTGCAGTGACAGGAAGGACTTACTCTTGAAGGTGTCTGAAGGCCCTCTCTTCTTCCTCCTTCTCTTCCCTCGCCTTCATCTCCATCTCCTCGTGAATATCAATAGCAAACTGCCAGTCAGGACTGGTGACTCCGAAGATATGAGCCAGTTTTCCTCCAAGATAGTGTGCCGCTGTAAAGAAAGCGCGCTCTCGTCAGAAAAAAACCTAACATTTACCATTGTAGGTCCCGTGTCCTGCTTTCTTGACAAGGTGCCAGCCGTATCCTAGCCACGACTCGGGCGCTGCCACTTCTTCTCTTTCCTCTTCCCCTTCGCTCGCCATCCGTATCGAATTTCGACCATTGTTTGGGGCGCTCTATTTGGAGTAGTAGCTCAAGATGGAAGAAGGACAGCAGACGGGGACGACGAAAGCTCGTCGTTATGTCAGAATCCCCGAGGAGTGTATCTCTCTGTGTGCAGAGAACCTGGGCATCCAGACGTCTCGAGAGGTCACTCGGGCCTTGGTGGAAGACGTCAGCTTCAGAATCCGCCAAGTCACACAGGTGGGTCTGGACGGTTATCGGTCAGACTGGACCTTCTAGTGGTACTCCACAGCTGGCCATTGAGTTCGTGAAACACTCAAATCGGAAGCGAGTCTGCAAAGAGGACTTTGACAAGGCGCTCAAATGGAGTGGAATTGAGGTATAAAGACATCTGATCCTCAGTATCTCCACCCTTCCTTCTCTCTCAGCCAGTGTATGGGCATTCGGGAGAGCCGCCTCCCTTTATGTACATCCATGAGAATGGTCTGTTCTCTGTGGAAGACCAGGAGGTGCTGCTGCAAGACCTGTCTCTCTCCTGCCCTGTGGCTCCCTCCAACCTCCCACCACCTCCCTCGCTCTCCGGTTGGTATAGCTGATTGGTATAATACACACCGCTGGCTAATTCTTCCCCCTCTCTCCAGCTCGATGGTTGATGGTGGAGGGAGTAACAATCGATACTCAAGGTGTAGGAATAGTGACTCCGTAGTCACATGTTTGTCATGTGACCACTCCTCAACAGGTTCTCCGGATGACCTACCGACATCAGTCCACCTCCAGAAACCACCAGTTGAGGTAGGTATCGTCTGTACTCCATTATGATGTGTAGTCTGTGTGTCTTTCTGTATGCAGGCCCACCAGAAGTACTTGTCTCTACTGATGGAGGGTATCACAGGTGACAGTGAAGAGCTTCGCAGAGTGAGGCTAACACTAACACTTTTCAAAACCGTGGATGTTGGTCAAAGATTTTGCATGTTGGACCACCCCATTTGAAAAAAAATCTTGCTCTGCCAACTATATACCATGTGTCCTCTTCCTTCTCCTGTCCAGATAGCTCTCACAGATCTCCAGACCAATGCAGCAGTGGCAAACATCTTACCTGACCTGATCCACTATCTACTGGAGACTGTGTGTAGTAACCATTCATCTGTCTATTTTCTATTTTAATTGCCCCTCTCTCTATTTTTGCTGCATATATCAGTTGAGTTGCTGGGTACAGTTCAGTCCTGTGCAACTGATGAGGGTGCTCAAAATGGCATACTCTCTCTTCAGAAACAACCACCTTTTCCTCGATCCTTATGTGAGACCTGCACCCTCTCCCGTACCTGTCCATCAATCTCGTCCCTCTCAGGTTGTCGGGTTATTTCCACTGGTGAAGAGTATTCTCGTCACTCCATCCTACCTTGCCTCTGACTCTGTCTCCGACCACTGGAGTGTTAGGAGAGCTTCGGCCATGTGTCTCGCTGAGATCACCGCTCGCTGTGCCACGCCCCTCAACGAGTACATCCCTGACATTAACACCTCGTTCCGGCAGCTTCTGTCTCAGTCGGACATCTCTCTTCAAGTTCTCTACGGTGTGGTGCTCTCCCTCTGCCATCTTGGGGGAAAGGTGATTCTGAAAACACAGTATTGTATGGCACCAAATTAAAATAGGTTTGCAAGAATCTGTTATGATGAATGGTTACCTATACCTACAACACTCGGAGCTCTCTTTCATTGCCTAAGACTTACTGCACAATCCACGAAATTATTTGCCTTGAAATTGGTGCTATTACTAGATACCTTCTCTAGAACCTCTCTTTAGTCCTCAGTCAGACTGTCTGTCTGTCTGTCTGTCTGTCTGTCTGTCTGTCTGTCTGTCTGTCTTGGTGTATCCCAGACCTTGTCAGAGGTGCTGTTCCCTCGACTGGATGTGGTCTGTCAGACTGTTCAGAGACTGTCGAGATCTCGAGACCTGGCAGTGAGGGACTCTTCCCTCAGGGTCCACGAAGCTCTCCTGGTCAGTACATGACACACACCACCTATACACACACCACACCTTACTTTAACATGCAAACTCCTTATGATTATGACTTTCTTTCCACTGTATAATGGTGCAGTAAGGCCTCGATGCTGGTTCTCAGAGTAGTTCTCAGTTTTCTCTTGTTTGTCTAACACACAGCTGTCAGCAGAGATCCTTCTGATGTCTGGTGTGTCAGTGGAAGTCAGACCAGAGCACATCTCTCCCTCCTCTTCCTCCTCACCCTCTCACCTCCGCACCTTCTCCACCCTCTTCCCCGCTGGCGGAGGAGGGGGTGGGGCCCACGACAACAGCTTCCTCTCAAGTTTCGGTCCCGCGGGGGGCAAGTCGCTCATGGACACCAGTGACCTCAATCTGGGGGGAGGCCCCCAGCAAGATATGCCGTCACTGTACGAGTTTCTCGTGGACGTGTTTGGGGAGAGCTTGGTGCTGAGGCTGACATGTCACCTGAAGAATGTAGTTCAGTTGGGAGACAAAAAGATGCCGGGAGTGTCGGTAAAGACAGGAACACCAGGAAGGAGGGGCTCGATAGTGGGAATGGAGGGGAGAGGGCGTGCAGGAGCAGAAGAGCGAATCCTGGCCTTCCTCAAGAGAGAAGGGTTCAGACCATTCAAAGTGCAGCTGCCCATGAAACCGCTGTCGCGCAAGCCGCCGGCCTACCATCCCTGGGGCAGACAGCTCTGGCAGTTTCAGATAACCACGACACTCCTCCCTGTCCAACGCAATGTACTGAATGAGAGGGGTCGCCCATATAATCCTCGCAGGAATTGGAGTAATAATGCTGCTGCAGTGAGAACAGGGAAACACCGCCGGAGAAACTGGACGTTACTACGAGCACACCCACTGATTGATTTAGGCTCATTTTGGTTGTAAGAACTCACCGCATCCGATTCATTTTCGGCATGGCGGTACGCGGTAATCAATTTATGCGCTTCCGTATGACGCAAATACCGGATGTACTCTCGTGCGATATAAAGTTGCCTTCGCCTCGCTGAACGATTATACTTTCTCGCGAACAGCTGAGACCTTGTAAAGAGCGATCCGTAATTATTTTAACCGACAATTGAGCGATCTTCTATTGACGCGACTTGGCACCCCTCAATCTTCAGTGATTTTCAGTTATGGCTCTCACGAACGCCACGGCGGCCTTCATCGGAGCGTCGGTGACCCTGTTCCTGGTGATAGTGTTCATGATCCTCATGGTGATCCTGGTCAAACAGTGTCTGGCCTTCCTGGCCAAGAGGAACGCACTTCGCGCCCAGACGGAGCACCAACTGCAGGCTCGCCGGCAGATCGAGAGACAGCGACGGGGCAGCGTTACGGTGCCGGTCCCCGCCACGTTCGACTGGCATCACTCCATTCGCATCGCCGGCACTCCGCCTCCTTCCTACCAAGAGGCCAAAGGTCTCCCGTCATTCGACGAGACAGTATCTCCGACTAAGAAGAAACGGGGGAGGAGAGGGAGAGGGGGGCAACACACGGACAGTGCTCCTCCTGAAGTGATAGTGACAAAGAACCGCAGTGCTACATTAGTGGTAGGGGAGGGGGAGAGAGAGAACTCGAGTCACAGGAGACACACTTTGCCCAACTTTCTCGGAGGAGGTGGGGAAACGACAGAGCTGCAACAGAATGGTGGGAGTTCATCGACGGAGATTGAACTGGAGAACCAGCGCAACAGCCACCACATGACGTCGGAGGGCCAGAGATCAGAGGAGGTTGCGGTGGATGTGGAAGTGAATGAGAGTGGTGAGATGTTTGAGGTGATATCTGGGGAGGGAGACACGGCGACGGTTGAAGCAAACAGGTCTGCAAGTGCTGAGCACACGACCGCCCTAACTGCGGCATAGCTCACCATCTGTATCTCCGGTGTGTGTGTGTGTTTGTGTCAGTAATGTAAACTGTGTAGCAGGTGTACGCTAGACTGTATACAATGCCTGCTTTTTAGTTGAAACTTTCGAAATCATTCAATGAAGTATTTTCAACAGTAGCGTCTCCCAACTAAGGAAACCCTTACGTTACTATGTGTGCAACCTAGTCTTCAAGTTTGCTCTAGCAGATTTATTGGCTACGTACGATAATTCTATGGCTCTGCAGTTACTCTAGTTGTAAAGTAGCTCCAATAGTGTGGACTGTGAATCGTGGGACTTCTTTGACTTGTACCAATTCTATTTATCATCAAGAGAATCACTATTATAGTGGCACTGAATGTGCCTCATTATATACAGACAGGGAAATCAACACACACACAACCACTATATGGGAGTCCTCAAGGTATATATATACACACTCTGTGTATGGATCCTGCGTGTTGTAGGAGGACCTACAAGAGTACCATCTCTTACACACACAGTGACCGAGAAAGGAAAGACTGCGTGAGTACAATTCCTCCCAAAGCTCACTCCACAGAGTTTAGTTTTGGTAGTGCAGTACTTGTATGGCCCAAGCATAGCAGTTGCTTACTCTGTCTTTATAGACACTTGAATAATGTCGTGGATATAGCTGTAAGATTTGAGTGTTGTCTGGCCAGCTCTATGTTGAAACCCTAGACACCGTTCGTGTTAATCGAGTGTAGATTTACCGATAGTGTGTGTCCACACTCATCCCCTTACTGCTGAGTTAGTGTCCGCCCAATTAGTGTGACGATTTGTATCTTACAAATTACTAGCCTCTCGTGAGGAATTCCATAATATCGATATATTATAAATTGTACGCAATATATAGTAGATGTTAGTGAACATCGAACTGCTTGCGAAGAGGCCAGGCTAGCTACATTATAGGCCTGAAATGTACAATTATGGCCAATTGACGCAGTAGCCCTGCTTGCATTTGAGAGATGAAAGTTTTGGTGGGTGTGTGAGTACAACAATATCATGATTTGTGTAAATATTATAGTTTCATGTAGTAGCAGAGGCTTGGCTGTAAGGATAGGGAGGGTAGTAGCCCTGGTAAAGTTGTCCCTGGGAGGGAGGGAGAGGAAGAGAAAGGTGAGAGGAGGAAGGGAGAAAGTGTGGAGGATATAGTGACACTCAGACCTGCCAGGAAGGTCTGGCATGCCGGTAATAGAGACAAACAGAGGCGGAAAGTTCAGCTGGCTAGTGAGTAATGCCATATCTCTGTTACCATGCATTCCCCATTCACCCCTACACATGTGCATTCTTCACACATGCACTGGATAGAGAGGCTTTGTCAACACAGGTATATATTATTGTGTTGCTACCTGCTGAGGCTGGGCATAGTTGTAACCAGCCCATTGCTGTTGGTATGCCGCCCACTGCTGTTGATCGGGGGTCAACGGTTGAACCATGCCCATTGGGTGTGAAGTAGGCATGGTCACCAGCTGGGGTTGGTCTCCCGTCGTCTTTTTGGCAGGACCACTGCAGAAAGAAGGAACTTTCTCAACTGTTAAGAAGAGGTAGGATCACAACTTGCCCATCGGCCTCGCTGGCCAGTCTTTTTCTTGTTTTCCGCGCTATTTTCTCACACATCTCAGTCACCTCTAGCAGACTGTGTGTTGGGGGGAAAGACGAAAGGTTGGAGCGAGATAGGAGAGGTAGGAGCGAGATAGGGGGAGATAGGAGAGGTGGGAGCGAGATAGGGGGAAAGAAGAATGGTGGGAGCGAGATAGGGGGAAAGAAGAATGGTGGGAGCGAGATAGGGGGAAAGAAGAATGGTGGGAGCGAGATAGGGGGAAAGAAGAATGGTGGGAGCGAGATAGGGGGAAAGAAGAATGGTTGGAGCGAGATAGGGGGAAAGAAGAATGGTTGGAGCGAGATAGGAGAGAGATAGGAGAGGTGGGAGCGAGATAGGGGGAAAGAAGAATGGTGGGAGCGAGATAGGAGAAGTAGGAGCAAGATATGGGGAAAGACTGACTCGGAAAAGTTTCCTCCAAACTCCTCGAGCAGCTGTTGTCTTCTGGTGAGGAATGAGTCCTTGGCTTCCTCAGAGAGATGAGGAGAGCTGGCCACCTTGGCAAAGAGGGCCTCGGCAGCCGGCATGTCTGGAGGGGCGGGGCCAGAGGTGTGCAGGTCCAGTAACTGTAGGTAGAGAGTGGTGTTTGAGGGGTCCATGTCCACTGCTGTCGTCATGACTGAGACTGCCTTCCCATGGTCCCGCATTAGCTGTTAGAGAGGAGAAGAGGATTCAATCTATACTTTTACTGACTGCTCAGCGAGTACAACTTATTATATAACAGTTGTTTCGAGAAAGCCAAATTTCCCCAATCCTCAAAAGTTAGCACCTCAACAGCTCACTAACTGCTCCCACCTTGTCGGTGAAGCGGGCGTATCTCCAGGCGTAGAAGTTCCTGGTCTCCAGGGCCATGGTTGAGCTGAGGGTCTCTTGGTAGAGGGCGTTGGCCTCAGAGTAGCGACCTGCTCGGATCTCTAGTCCGATCCTCCGCACCCTCACCGCCACCTGCCCCGGGACAGCTCTGTCGACGCTGGTCAGGATCTCTCTCGCTGTGTCCACATTACCTGCCACCAACAGAGGGAGAGGGGGGAGAGAGGGCCACTTAGACCAGGAAATTTTTTTGTGGGCTTCAAATTTTGGAAGTTTTTTCTTTGAAACATACGAACATGCACGTCAATGATCAGTTAATAGCAGCTACTTGTGTTGAGATTGACTCCAGACCCACCGTTCTTCTCCTCAAACGCAGCCCAGGCCACGTGGATGTTAGGCTTCTGCTGGAGGTGAATGTTGCAGGCCCGTCTGTAGATTGCGCTGGCCCATTCTCGGATGTGGGTCTCGGCATACTTGCAGTACTGACAGAATGACCAAGATAGAGTGTGAGAGGAAGGAGAGAGAGTGTGAGAGGAAGGAGATAGAGTGTGAGAGGAAGGAGAGAGAGATGAGTATTATACAGTCGCGAACACATCAAGTAGCACACACGGATCAAGTCCATTTCTCTTGCAGCAAGTTTGGGTTCATCAATCAAGTTGTGCATCATGTGGTATAATATACCTCATTACTGTATCGACTTCCTATTGGCAAGTGAGCGTGAGTATAAATATATGGACCACACCCTATGTACACAGTCAATTTGGTCAACTAGGTGGGGCTCGTTTCGCTGACCACTGCAGAGAATGCTCCCTCACTTTGCTCCAGAAGTCTTCGTAGAGGGCGCAGGAGACGACACAGCGCTCAAAGAGAAACTCAATCCTGCGGGGATCCCCCTGCGATATCTCAAAATCGAGGTAGTCCCTCCAGTTCTTGAGTTGGAGTCTCTCCAGTGGCTTCACGTGGAAATATGGTCTCTTTATCTGAGTGGAGAGGGGAGGGGAGGGGGCGGAGGGAGAGAATAAGGAAGTGAAGGAGGGAGACTGAGAGGGAGAGAAGAGGAGAGAGGAGAGGGGTAAGCTCCACCCACCATTAGTTCAAAGTGCTTTCTTTTCTCCAGTTCTGCCATCGTCCTCTCGAACACCGCAGTCCTCTGCTCCAGTGTCACCTTTCTCACATACCCGTCCAACATGGCCTAACACAAACACATGGTGAAAGTTATGAACACAAACAACATCTTGTTATGTCATAAGCTTTTTGTACACACTCATAGAACCCCAGCTGCTACTCTGCTTACAGTGGCTATCCAGTCACTATAGTTCGTTGCAATATCAACAGTGGTTTACTATTCCATGCATACAAGTGCTCCCATAACGTGTGCATGCATACAGTAGCTCTATTAAGAGCCCACCTCTCCCTGGGTGACGTCTCCTGCCTGACTGGTCATGTCTCTATACTCTTCCTCGGAGAGCATCTGAGAGGTGGGCGTGGTCTCGAGAAGCTTCTTAAAACTGGAGGGGAGAGAGGGAGGGAGGGAGCGAATGAGAGAATAAGGGAAAAAGGTGCAGGTTTACAACAAGAAAGTAGAAAGAAGAAGGAAGATGAGAGTTTTGCTGTCTCACTTGTCAAAGTGGGTTGCGAGGTCCTTGGTGGGTGTGGCCAGCAGTCTGTCGTAGAGAGCAGTGACCCTCTCCTGTCGTCCTCCCCCAGACTCCCACCCAATGTACGCCTCCCATATCCCGGTGGAGCGGTAGTCGAGTCCACAGCTATCAACTGCCCTATCATAGACACTGCAGCATGTAGTACATCATGGGAGAAATGAGAGATTGTTTGTTATATTATAGTCACGGAGATGGTACAGTATGAGAGAGTTGAGCAGATTGTGCCAGCAAAAAAAGCCGGCACATTTACCTGACGCGGCTAGGAACACGCACACGCCGCACACAGATAGGCTGTGTGCCGTGTGGCCTGATGGCACACCGATGGGGGCGTGTGCCGCAGTCGGGGGGTGGGGAGAGGAACAAGTAACAATGATTACATAATAATATGGAGATTAGGCTCTTCAGAGCCAGAGCAAGCACTTACACGTACGCAGGTTTCCGAACCTCGATTCCCATGCGGGCTGGGAACAGAAACATGAACATCACTACATGCACACAGACCACTACTCCCCAGCCCTGGTCAATCATTCAATACCTCTTCTATGAAAGCATTATAATGAAAATAAGAGGCAGAATGTGTGACTTGCTGGGAAATGGTAGTTTTCAAAGTGGGAGGAGGATGGGGTGATAGAGGATGAGACCTGCGGATTAGTTGCTCGGCCTTCGGGGAATCCTTGTAGTGAGCGGTGGCAAACGAGGCGTAGTGGAGCCACAGGTCAACGCTGAGTGGAATTGCAGCCACGCCCTCTTCCAGGACCTCCCGGGCCGCCTCCCCGCTGACCAGTCGCCGTACCAGCTCCGCGTACTTCTTCCAGTAGCCGTAGCAGAACGGGTAGAACCTCAGGAACTGGGAGAAGGTCTCTCGAGCAACACTCAGCACACTCAGCACACTCTGCAGGAGGTGCATTTGGAGCAACAGTGATAAATGCTGCTGAGAGCAATACATTAGTATGGCTGCTACCCATCACATAGAACTTTACGTACTGTTTGAAATACCCACATTTCTTGCAAGATTTTAACTCGATGCATGGTTCCATTTCTACTTGCATGTGCACACACACATACTAAGCTGGTTGCTCTTGTTTTATAAATTTTTTTACTCCTCACACTTACATTCTGCTCAGCAAGCTGCAAGAGAGTAGTCCAACTTTTGAAGTCTGACGGATTTGATGAGACAGTGGCCCATAGTTTCTTCTCCTCCTCACTCCTCCCACTCTGTCCTCCTTCCTCTCTGTCTCCACTGCCACCTCTGACACTCTCAGCACCAGGTGTACCAGTTACAGCATCGCTAACCTGCGCGGTCTCGCGGAAGACGGTCTGCGACTCCCCACTCCCCTCACCCACCACCCCGCCCCCGCTGCCAGCGTCTCTTCTATTGTCGTTCCCCTCAGCACCAGCTGCAACTGATGGCGCCTTTACTCCCGTCGTTTCTCCCTGCTCTTCTACTTCCATAGTGCCGCTCTCTACACCGACACGCGGACCGGACTACTCCAATTAGAACACACCACCGATAATTGAACTTTGACCACAGCATGCAGGGCTAGACTATACTACGTCATTTTACGTTGTCGAAAACCGGAAGTTGCGCTCCAGTGTGTGAATAATCATGCTTGCGCGCAAGGTATAACGTTTCCTGCAATTCCGGGGAGATTATATCTAACAACCCTTGTGTGAAGCTAATCATAACACATGCATATGCTCAGACTCTATCATGACCTTCAGCATTCAACTTTCGGGCGACCTCAAAATATGAAGACAGAAGCCTGCGTGGATAACCGTTTTGAAGCACGTTATATTTGGAGTTAACAATAAAAAAAATATTTGCCTCACACACTATTACTATTATCTAGTGCAGTGTTTTATTGATTTAATTGGTGTATTGTTTGTGGTCACAATTAGATGGGGTTTGTCTTCGCTGTGGTAGGATCGCTCTTGCTGCTGGTGATTTTGCTGCTGCCGAAGAAGTAACGAATGATGATAAAAGTGTAGACTCCAGCTAGTACCAGCAACAGTACCATAGCAATCCAGGCGGTGATCTTTATATTGGTAATACATACACAAGTAATAAAACATGATGATGCCAGCTCACCTTTGATGTATTGAGCTCCTCATAGAAGAACATATAATCCTCATCCCCGGTGTCGGAGTTGGAAGAGTAATAGAAAGAGCAGCAACTGTAGGGAGAGAGAAATAATGATCAACGCAGTGTGTAAAGGATTTGCACCAGAAACCTACGGGAATTTATCGAAACCGAAGTCCTCATAGGTATCACGATAGGCCTGACAGGTCTTGTTGAGGCCGGCAGTGATAATGGAGGCCACAATGAGGGCCCACAGTGCACCAGCTGCAGACATCCCCAGCTCTATCAGTGCTGTCAGGCTAAACCTGAATACAGAGAAACCACAGCCCTTATCCACAAACCGCGTGGAGAAAAATGATCTCGGATCATGCGACTAGAACAGCACATGAACTTGCAAAACTCACACACTGATCCCGAAGATCGCCTTCACCACGAGGACGACGGTGAACGCGACGGCCAAAGCTACTAATACCCCGCCTCCCGCCACCGAAAACGCGCACGAATCGCCCTCCTGAAACTTCAGTCGATTGTCTTCACTCTCGGCGTAGAAGATGCAGTTTGCGTCTCCATTTGGCTCGTTTTCCTCGTATTTGTCAAGAAATTCGTTGTTGGTGTGGGCCAGTGTGCTGAGAGAGATGAGGGAGAGGAGGAGGAGAAGGAACCCCGCAGGTAAGATCATCATAAGGTGAAACACCCGTGATCCCTGGTTCTCCGCGAAACTAGCCATTCTCATCTTGTCGATGCTTTTGCTACGGTCTCAGCTGCTCCGTGGAAAGATTGCGCCCCGTGCTGAATACGTAGCTGAGCTGCGCGGCTCGTTTTATTACCGGTCCGCGACGTTGCGGGTAATTACCACACTGCGCTGCTCTCCCCCCCGGCCCCTTGTATAATTGTTTTACGGGTCGTGTGCGCGCGCACAGCGCAGGCTTCTCACTGAGCATGCGCGAATGGCACTAATTAGAACACGTAACACTCGTCGTGGGATGGTGTGTAAAAAATGTGAGTGAGTTGGAGAAGCCTGTGTTCCCTCTTCATACAGTGTGTCTATGGCCACAGGTGAGAGGAAGCTGGGGAGAGTCATCTGCCCAGATCCCTGGAAAAGCGGAGCCAGAAACACAGTCGGTGAGCCCCGCTAGGTGAATAGGCCGGCGGCCACAACAAACCTCGGTCTACTTCCGCGGCCCAGACTCTTCCTGGAACGGAAAGCCTGTAGTATTCAAAGGGGGGAGGGCCACGTCTTCCTGGAAGAAAGAAAATTCAACAATATGTCTAGCTATAAACCAAGGGCTTCAATTTCTCTCCCAACACACTCACTTCCCTGACAATTACGTGTTATCTTATATATCTATCCAAGTGTAGTTACTATCGGGCTCCTTGACACCGACAAGAACAGTATCCATTGCTGAAATTAATGTCTCCCTGCATGAATATTAATATATATAGTAGTGTGGCAGGGACCTGTGACGTAACGCGAACCTAGCTGAACTCACCAGCAGAAACTATTACATGAGAGAAGTGTAGGCTTACTGTGTGTTTCCTGCTGCAGAGAGTGGTGGTAGGGTAGTGGGAGAGAACAAAGCCCTCACGGCGAAAAAGGCTCGCTTCACTCCCTACACCACCTCGTTCAACAAGTGTCGGATATGCAAGCAAGTGGTTCACCAGGCTGGCTCCCACTACTGTCAGGGTATGTGACCTCCCTATATGTGTACTGCTCTCTTCCCCCTGTTTGCTTTCTTCTCCTTTTGCTGTATTTTGGTTGTGAGAGTCTGTTATATAGCTAAACCAACAAACCTAGCTGGTTGGCTTGTTTACTGATACAAATTCCGCCATGAACCATCGTAATTATGTGTCTTATGTGTGCAATAGTAGTGGACAAGTTGAATTGTGTAATTTGTTTGGTGCAATAACTTTAGAAATGCAATAGTGTACTAGTACTAGTAGGGCAGTATATAATATATGAAAGTCATTGTGTGAGAAAAGTATAGTAGTAGGAAATCGCCTGACCACCATGAATCCCTGAATTATCAACTCAATGTGAACGCGTGCACGTGTCATGTGCAGGGCTAATACCATGGATTATACCACATAAACGTTATGTGGATATAATCCAGGCTAACACTCACAGGGGCTCTCTTTACAGACTGTGGCTCTCTTTACAGGGTGTGCCTACAAGAAGGGTATATGTGCCATGTGTGGCAAACAGATCATTGACGTCAAGGACTATAAACAGTCTTCTGTGTAACTGTCTCCATTATTTTATCCACTTCTCCCTGTCATTCCTATTGGTCGTATTACATCTCTTTCTCCTATCCCATTGTTTATATGTCGTTTTTATGATAATCACAAAATTTTGACTGCATATATATATACCTCTATTTATGGCTATATACAAGGGTAGTTGTTTGGAGATAATAATTGTCTGGGATATATCGGCAGGAGAATTATTTGCTATTTTGTCTCTATAATGTTTGTGTTTATAAAGAGAAGAGGAAAGCTTGGGGCTGGTCTGAAAATCAAATGGGGTTAGGCTCCATCTTCTCCTGCAGCTCTACTTCTGGTTGTGCACTAGACTTGGTGGCAGCCTTTCTCCCCCCACAGCAGTAGCGGAGGAGAATGCAGAGATAGACTCCAGACAAGAACATCAGTACTCCCATTGCAAACCATGCCGTGATCTGCACAGACAACCATTCGGAATATGCATGGCAAAGACCTTACATACATATATATATACTTACCCTGGATGTGTTGATCCCCTCATAGAAGTAGACATTGCTCGAATCGTCATCTTCATGTCGATAAAAGAATGAACAACATCTGCATCGAAAGTAGAATGCAATGAAAAAAGAGGCAAAAAGTGGCTGGTTTTCGTACGGGGACGAGCTGTCAATGTCTGGAAAGGTGTCCGTATAGGCTCTGCAGGTCTGCTCCAGGCCGACGGTGATCACTACACTCACGCTAAAGGCCCATAGGGCTCCAATGGTGGACAGTGCTAGCTCTATCACCACACTGCAACTGACTCTGCATTCGTTAGGGGAGCACATCGAAAGGTCTAACAGTGCAGTGTTGCAACTCACACGTGGACGCCGAATAGCGCCTTCACCACGAGTATAATCGTAAAGGCAATTGCAAAACCGCCCATAATCGCTGCTCCCAGCACCCCAAAATTGCAGGTTCCGCCGCCCCGGAATCTCACTGTCCCGTCTCCTTTCTCTGCGTAGAGGATGCACCGAGAGTCTCCGCTTGGTTCCTTTTCCTCGTACTCGTCGAGGAACCGCTCGTTGGTGACGGCCAGCGTGCTGAGGGCGACGAGAGAGAGGACGAGGAGGAGACCCGCCGGCAGGATCATCATCAGGTGAAACACCCGCGACCCTCGGTTCCTCCTAAAAGGCATGTCTTCTAGGCTTTTCTCTGCTCCACAAATCGATATGCTGGTGTCCAGCAAGGCTCTGATTTTTCACCTCTCTTTTTGTTTTTACTGGCGGTTTTCAACACAGTTGTAAACACAAGGCGTGGCTCGTTTTCTGCAGCTTGCGCATGCGCATAAAACTGCTCGTTAATAAAAAGTCTACGATATAGCAAGTTATAAGGATGTTGGCCTATTATACCTAGCTACTTTAAAAAACATTGTCTTGCAAACATGTACGCCGTCAAGCCTTAGTGTCAGTATCATTCTCCAGTTTGGTTGGCTTTGCTTTTCCACTGCCCATGCGGGCACAGCAGGTGGCGCACTTGAGGAGGGACACAAGAGAAAACCAGAGCAGTAGCAGGAACAGCACTGTTGCCTCAATCCAGGTCACAATCTGTGCACCAGAGATTGCACTCATGCAACCACACTATCACATGCACTTTTTGACCCCCACGTACCCTGACAGTATTGAGTGGAGAGTAAAAGCTGATGCCACTGTTTCCGGCATATCTATAGTCCTCACATCTGTGTGGGAACGAGCGACAGAGAGAGAGAGAGGTCAATATGATTGGCTCAATGTGTTTCAACGTACGGCATGTATACTGTATCTTCGTCCAGCTCATTGATGGTCTCAAAGGCCCTGCACGTGTCGTCAAGTCCGACTGTAATGACCACACCCAGTGCCATAGTGAAGATGAAGCCGGCAATCGACAGGAGGAGCTCAATCAGTACAAACCATGAGAAACTGCAGAATCGTCAAAATGTAAAGTTATGCTCATAAAATATCCCTCCTTCGGCTCCATACTTTTGTACAGACTGTTTTGTGGCTCAGCTAAAAACCAACTACTTGAATGTGTGGCTCATTCAACACTCCTTAATATTCACACGGACGCCCTGCATACTCATGCACACTGAAGCAAGCAATACGAGCTGTTGTGTTAGCACAACTGACTCCCACCTCTCAGAATGGTATATAGCTATGCCCATTAAATTCTAGCTTCTCAAATCCGACCAACATGTCCCCACCCAAGAGCTCCTTAGAGGATAGCATTATACATGCTACACTGGACAGAGGCATCTTGTGATCATATCTTGATCCATCCCACGTTCTTTTATGACTGCAAACGTTCTCTCTGCAAATGTGTAACAGCTATCATACTTACACTTTTATTCCGAGAAAGGCCTTTACGAATAAAACTGTAGCCATTGCGACTGCGAGCGAGCCCACGGCGACTTGACCCCAGATGGTGAAGTCGCAGGCATTGTCTGGCTGGTAGTCGACCATCTTGTTCTCGTTATCTGCCGTCGCGAAGAGAATGCAGGTGTTCAGATCGGAGGTGGCGGCACCCGAGCCCTCGTAGTCGCGAATGTCGAGGTGCAGCGGGACGAACGAGCCGAGCGAAATTGCGGCCATTACCGTCAGCACGGCACACGGTACCATGAGGAAGAAATGGAAGGCCCGCGAAAACGGGTTCTTCTTCATGCACAGGTTGAGCAGCCCCATCTTTTTGGTCTCGCTATTTTTGTGGATGGGTGGAGTGGCTAACAGGCGACTGTTCACACTTTAAATGCCCACATACCAGTTGGTTGTCTCCCACGTACGCTAAACCTACAGCAGACCGGAGCGGCGAATCGCGCTGCAGCAGCGCGTAGTGCGCAAATCGCAATCGTGCGCATGCGCAAAAAGTTACGGGCGTATGACGTATATACAATAAAAATCTCATGTACAATAATGCTGCATAAAAGTTTGATTAAAAAAGATTGAGCAATAAAATCTCATAAAGTGGATTTCTCAGGTCTAGTGGCTTTCCTCCAGAATGCTACAGCCATAATGACGTACATAACAAACAGCATCATGAAGGTTCCTGTTACTGCCCATGAGATTGCCTGCATACATACATACACATATATACATAAGGTATATACTTATTGCTGGCTAGTGTTCAAAGTGCTGTTTTACTGTATTATGCATTCTTGGCCAGGAGAGACGGAAGCCCAAAGAAAGGCATGGCAAAATAATAATTATGACAGTGTGTGGCTACTATATGTGGAGCAGCGAAACCTCTGAAAAAGGATCCTCTGAATAAAGGACACCTCTCTTTAAAGGGCAGCAAGGGACACCTCTGAATAGTGGATGTCGCCAGAAGTATTGCACACTATCTTTCTCTCCACAGTTACAGTGTTGCTTGGGTGTGGCATGGGTGTGGCATAGACACACACAGGTTTCTCTCACCTCAGAGATAAGAATGTCGTTAAAGAACTTTATCCCTCCCGGACTCTCGTAATCCTTGCAACTGCTGTGTACGTATAACAGGAATAGTGTCAGCGATTAACAGGCAATACCACAGCATGCAGTGACGGCATTAGATCAGGTAACTAACTGCATACTGCAACTGATTGTCTCTGGGCTCTGTTTACCTTCCCGGGGTGTCCGCATCGGCGTAGGCGCTGCAGGTTAGGGCGAGGCCGAGCGTTGTATTGAGACTGTGTGCCAGGGAAATGGCCATCAGGAAGAACAGCAACGGTATCTCCACCAGCACAAAGCACGACAGACTGTGATCCAATTTCAGCGTGGTGGATGTGTATGGGAAAGGGGAAGGAGGTATATATATACACACGTGGGTATAGCAGTATGTCTTGGTGTATAGAGTTTCCTTACAGTTCGGCTCCAAAGACGCATTTGAGAACGTAGACGAGTATGTAGAGGGTGGTTCCCAGCGCCACTGTGCCGATGCCGTAGATTGCAAAGCGACAGAAGTCTCCGCCACCTATGTCGTCGTCCCTAACCTGATCCTCGTCCACGTACAGGATGCAGTCTCCCTCTGAACCTTCCGGGAGGTTGGACTGTATTTCATTGTGCTTCAGTACGAACACCACGAGGGACGCTAGCGACAAGCAGATGATCAGGAGAAAGGCGGTGATGAAGAAAATGTGTGCGATCCGCGAGACCGGATTTCTGCAACAACCTCCGTCGTCGCCTGCCTTGCAGCAACCTTCGCCGCCTGCCATGTCCGTGTCGTCTGAAATCTACACGTCTTGCACTAGGTGTGTACGGCTAGCTATGCACATTGGAGGTTAGCAGAAACTTTATAAAGATGTCGATCCCTAGCAACGGAGAAACATCACCCGGACAAGAACATTTCAACTATGCGAACTGCACTTGGGGCTTCTTTTTACGCATGCGCACTCTGTATGTGCGACAAAAGGTTATTTATTGACTACCGTCAAAAGTCAAAGTATTACAGGAAAGGGTTGTTGCTGGAGTTTGAAGTGATCTTTGAGCGTGTCTTTCTCTCTTTCTTTTCCTTCTCCTTCTTCTCCTTCCTCTCTCTCCAGTTGTCTTTCTTGCTGGCAGTCTCCGATTGGTCGAGCAGAGCCTGCCCAGCCTCGTCGTCTGAAGTGGTGCATCTCCGCCAGAATACCATGTTCAATCCAATGTACAGCACTACCACCAACAGTAGGGCTCCAGTGATGCACCATGTCATAATCTGTGGAAGGACCAGATTAGCTATATTAACTGGTAACTGTAATTAATGTTTGTTTGTGTGGCAGATTGAAACTGTTTGTTGCACTTACTGCCGAAGCGATCATGTCGTCAAAGAATTTGATGCCTTCTACAGAGTAGTCCTTACAACTGCTCAGCAATGAGAGAACAAAGATATATACAACAATGATGTACCTCACTAACGAAATCATTCTATATACCTCGAGCCAGAACCATGGAAGATGGAGTTGTTCGGTGCGGCATCTTCAAAGGCCTTGCAGGCAAGACTCAGGCCAGTGGCGGTGTTGATAGAGACAGTGAGAGAGGCCAGTAGAAGGAGTAACAAGAGAGGGAGCTCCACACACACCAGACACGATGACCTGGAGATTTAAAATGTTCACAGAGCATATGTGTATTATAACGGTTGAGTGAAGGTAGTGTGTACATGTGTGTATTATGAAGAAATTGAAACCGAAGGGGAGGCCCAGAGGGCAAACAGAGATGGGGAATGAGCTGACGTGTGGCATCCTCTGGGATTAGCAAACCCCAGCAGTCTTGGCAGGCCTCTCACACTACTGGCCCCTGAAGACTGGGGAAGGACCACTAGAAAAGTAATTTGAGGTAATGAAATAGGTTGGCATTTGCAGAGGAGAGGACCTAGGAGAATTTCAATCCCCATTCCCCTATTCTCATTCCAAGGCCCCTCCCACAAGACTGCTGTTGCTTTACCAACTTCAAGAAAACAACGCCTACGGATTATACTGACATGTCCCGTACAAGAAGGCTTACACAGAGCCACCGTAGATAGTCTTGATGATATAACCGAGCATGAAAATCCCCGCACCGCCCGCCACAACTCCAGAGCCCCCTATGGTGAAGCTGCAGCCGACGCCTCCAGACAGCTTATTCTCCTCTTCCAGCTGTTTCTTGGTCGTGTAGAGTACGCAGTCGTCGCCCCCCTCGACCTTTTCAGCGATCTTGTCGTGTTTGGCGGCAAACAGCCCCAGAGCCACGAGGCCTACGACCATCATGACACAAAACAGGATCCCAAGAAGGCCGTGGCACAACCGAGACCCCGGCCGGCGAAACCTAGAGCCTCCTTCAGATCCATACGAGAACCCAGTCCCGTCCTTATCTTTTCCCATCGTCGATCGATCCCGCCCCCGGCCCCTGGTCTGCGCGCACGTGATATAGTGCGCATGCATTATGCTTGATAAAGACATTTAGACAACAAGGAATCAAATTGGTTTAGTTTGTGACTCTTCGAGTCCATCCCTCTTCAGTACTGGTTGAGTGTCGGGGGAGAAATTCTTTGATCTGAGCCGATACACATAGATGAATGACCTGATTCCGTAGACCAGAGTAAGCAGGAGAAGGAGGAAGAAAGTCATCCAAACAGAGGCCTACATTACACAGTGAGAGACAGGTCACCCGGAGCTATTGCTTGTCAAAAAACAACATACAACAATGAATTACAAGGTAGAGGGCTTTGTCTGAGCCAATGGAGGTAAAGTGAAAAAATACCCACCTGAGCTGAGTCTACTGCGTCATAGTACTTGACACCATTATTGTCATCTGGGACTTTTTGGTCACAGCTATAGCAGAAGATTTATACCACAGAGTTTTTAAAATTATGCAGCCTAAAGAATGACTTGGGCTAACTTGTTCTCTTCCTTGTTGATATCGAGAAGTGTGTTGCAGGTCTGAGAGAGACCAATAGTGATGACCAGTCCAAGGCAGAAGGAAAAGACGGCCAAAACTGCGACCACAGCACACTCTAACACCGATGTACACCAGATGCTGAGTGAATATTGATTGAATGCATGTGTTACTGTGTCCTTTTGGCTTCAGAAATCACAGTTCCACTGCTACACAAACAGATAGTTTCCTAGCATAATAGGCAAGGGCTAACTATAACATTCAGGTACCTTATACTCTCATACTAGTTGAGTATCATCCTCACGTTGATGTCACATGATTCCAAATAAAGATGATTCTACTTCTCTATTATTATTATAGCACACTTACTCTGCAGCCACCACGGCCCGTACGACAGACACCACAAGGAACGCCACGAATATTCCGGCCAGGACCGCGAAACTGTTGACCTCGGCGTTGCACGCGTCCGAGTGGCCGTACTCGAAGCGCCCGCTCTCCTGACCGGAGAAAAGGATGCAGACGAGGGCGGAACTGTTCGAGCGATCGGGATAGTCGGCCAACTGCACAGAGGAAACAACAGAGACAAGCAACATATGCAGCATGCACTAGCTATGCTTCGACAAGCTAGCTACGTACCTACGTATGTTGAGACCTACTTTGTTGTGCAGGTTTGCAAGGCTGCCGACCACTACCAGAGAGAGGATCACCAGAATGAAGAAGATGAACGCAAGGGTGACATTGACGCCGCGTCCGGCCGTGACTCCGGCGCGCAACCCGCGCTTTGTCGACGAGGTTTCCAGCACTTTCTTCATCTCCTCAGATCTGCAGAAAACGCCCAGCACTGTCACTGCGCATCTCGTGCCCCGCCCACAATATTCCTGCAAAGCGCACGTGACGACCACGCGATAAAAGTGAAGCGGATAAAGAAAAGCCAAGGGGCGAACCAGAGAAAACCTATTCATCTTTCGTTGTCAAACTGCAACCAATCTTGTGTCTGATTGAGTGATCATCGGCAAAAGAGACTAGTGAGTTACTCATAACCGATCGCACCTCTCTTTCCGTTCTTTCACACCTCCACTGTTCTCTTTCGCCACCCAGTGAGTGTTCCTCGTGTGATCGTCCGCAACTTGGACAGGAGTGGGGTGAGGGAAGGCGACAAGGAAGAGATCAGGGAAAGGTGTCGCGAGTACGGGCCCATCACCAACGTGTGGATGGCTGACGATCCTCCGGGCTTCGCCTACGTATTTTTCGAGTCGTTCAAAGAGGCCATCAAGGCCGTGGAGGAGCTCAACGGTACGCGATTGTGCGGGCGACGCGTGGACGTAGAGCTTTCTCCGAGCGAGGACAAGCGTAAGAACAGGGGTGGATGGGCAAGTAGGGGAGCAGGGGGAGGGTATGGAGGCGGTGGGGGTGACAGGGGGAATGACAGGGGAGGAGGGTTCAGAGATAACTATAGACCGAGAGGCAGAGGGGGAGGAGGAGGGTTTCACTCCTATGACAGAGACTCAAGAGACAATCGTGGTGGAGGAGGAGGTGGTAGTGGTGGAGGTAGTGGGGGTGGGAGAGACTACGACAATCGCGGACAGCGCTTTGACAACCGAGACAACTATGGAGGAGGGGGAGGGGGTTGGAGGGGAGGGAGGGGAGGCGGGTACAACAGCTTCCGAGGAGGGGGCAGAGGGTACAGAGGTCGGGGTGGGTACCAAAACAAGTGGGGTGGAAGAGGAGGCTACAATCGTGATGACGGGGGGTACAGAGGTCGCGGGGGTTTCAACAGAGACAGGAACACGGGAGACGGCTACTCAAACCGAGGCGGCGGAGGTCGGTTCTATCACGGAGGAGGGGGTAGGGGGAGAGGAGGAGGCGGGGGGTACTACGAACGTGATTCGTACGACCGGCACAGCAGGAGAGACGACAACTTCTCAGACGAAGAAGGAGGGTCTCGAACCAAAGACTATGAGTACCGTGAGAGCCGCAGTGGAGGCTACGGCGGAGGAGAGCACAAGTCCCAGGAACACAGCCGGGCAAAGAAATACTCCTCTTCACCCGAGTACGTCAAGGAGGAAGTCCGATCGTCAAAGTATAGGAAACGGAGCGAGGGGGACGAGTACCAGCACCACTCTGGCTCGGAGTACCACCACGGAGCGTCTCACCCGGAGTCCTCCAGCAAGTGGGACTCCTCTCCCTACAGACATCAGGGAGGGTCCCCTGATGGTAGCTACAACCGATCTCGGTCTCGCAGTAGAAGCCCATACACTGCCGCCGCAGACTACTACTCCCCACCACACGACCACTACCGCAGCAGTTCCTCCAGGAAAACACTGGGTAAAAGAAGTGGGAGCTACGAACACCTTGACCAGTACCCCGCGGTGCAAGATACGTATTCTTCCAACCGTCCGTACGAACGTCGGGCAGACTACAGCCCCGAGCCAGCTGAGCCCCAGTACGCAGAGTACCGCGAGAGAGACCGCATGGTAAAGTATGGGGGAATCTGGCCGAGGGTTCCCGCGGTGGGTCTCGCCACTACAAGTCCTCAAAGAGGTCGGGCTCCGAGGAACCGATGGAACACAAAGTCCGCGAGGTCGAGAGCAGCGGCAGCAGTGGAGGTCGCTACATGGCTCTGGATGAGAAAGATGTCCACAGCCGAAGCCGTGATCGGGCCCCCCACCCCCGGGCCTATGCAGTCCCGCGAGAGCCGGGCGAGCGAGAGCACAGGAGGGCTTCCCCGCCGTCTCGGCATGCCAGCTCCCCGCCCTCCCACTCCCACTCCAAGAGGTCAGTCCATTGAGTGTGGTAACCTAATTGGAGCCCAACCCCCTGTCAGAGTGTGATGCGTCGTGAGTAGAGAGCCAAGGGTGAGTGCATGAGGCGTTAGAACAAAAGTATCGCTTTATGAAAGAGTTGAGAAGTAGAATCGTGTGTCAGAATGTGAAAATTGCAAGGACAAGAAAAGAATGTGCAAGTTCTTGTGTGCTTCTCCAAGTGCCAATTTCCACCTGCTACTTGGTAATTGGAAATATGAGCCTCAATATGCCCTAAGCATGCCGCAGCTGACTGACATGCTCAAATTTTAATCCAATGTAGCACGTGCGTTACTTGTGTTCATAGAAGTGACAAATGGTAAGTTTTCTGCCTTACAGTGGAAGATTGAATGAGCAACTTCCAAATAGAGCACATCAACTAAATGCAAAGAGGAAAATGTTGTGTACTACGTGAACTAGTAGAGTAATGCAAAAGGAAAGTTATTCTCAATGAGTGACTTTCAATTCTAGCCCTGCAAATATGCACACACAAGAATATTATCATGGCAGTGTTTGAAGGGTAGTGTCCCTTCCCAAGTGCAAGTGAAGTGTGTGTTAGCCCTTCAATGTGTCGCACTTCTTGTAAAGTGGAAAAACTGTGTGTACATCAAGCAATTTAGCACACAAAGGAAAAACTAAGTCGTCCAAATGAAAGCCAAAAGTGCGTACAAATTTTCAAGCAGGAATGAAGCAAGAGGAGTTGTTGCCCAGTCAGGTATAATCAAATGGGACGAATACCGTAATAGAATGCACCAGCAAAGTCAAAGTGTCTTGAGCAAAGAAATGTCTGTTCGTCTAATTCTCGCCACGAAGCACACCTTGCAACAGCAGGGAAAGAAATGGTGGTATCTTCTCTCCTCTCTATCCATCTTTCTGTCTCTGTTATAGTGTCTCTCTTTTCCCCCTCTCTACCTCTACCACACACGACAGGTCTCAGACTATCTCCCCCTCCCCCTCACCACCTCCTGCCATCATCAGGTCACCCCTACGTAAATGATGAGCACCTACTACCTTGAGGTGAGCCACACACTCTCTCTAGTTTTAGTTTTGCATTTCTACTCCATGACAGATGATGCAGGAGTCCGCTCTGATTGAACTGGTGATTAGCATAGTGAGTATTGATTTCCCCCTTTCTTGTGTTTTTTGCTCAGAGATTTGGTTCTGAGCCCCATTCCCCTGTTATACTGAGCCATTATTCCCATACATTGTTTATATCTACTGTTATTTTTGAAAACATGATGTGGTGTAAACTTGGCGCAGGCACACAGATTGTCCTCAATTAGAAAACTAGACGTTTGCAAGAACAGCTGAGAGAGAGAAGTGGAGAAAGTTACAATAATTCAAGAGGGTAGAGAATGGAGTTAGAAGTCGATCAGTGCAGCTCTCAGCTGGCCGAGGTCGCGGATGTAGTGACCTCCATCGTGGTCTGTAGACGGTTGCAATGGAAACAGCATGCAGCCAGCGCCTCACTGACTGAGGCTGGTTATCACAGCATCACTGGCACCTATCACGTGAATGATGGACGTCAGTAGTAGAGCTCATCGTAGTACTCTGAGTGAGGCGACACTAGAGACTTGAATGCAGCCACCAGAATGACAAATCTGAACTGTAAGGGACTGCGGTTCCCTTGTTTGAGGACCCAGGAGGGGGACAAATTGCCGCACCTGCGATGATCCTAAGTCTCCGTCGTCGAACGGGCCGTGCTCCTCGAAGGCTTTCCGAATAACGCCACCGAAGCCTGGAAGCCCAAGCAGCAACAGTCTGTCCTCTCCAGAGCGTAGTAGTAGCTGCGCGCTGGCGTCTCGAGAACCACCAGCTCTCTCCTGCTCTTCATCAGGACGCGCCAAGTTGACCGGCTCCGCGGATCACGTGAGGCAGCAGAGAGAGAAGAAAAGTCACATGCTTCTCAGAAGCTTATGAGTGCCCAGTTATCGTTCCTGAAGCTCGACCTCGTTCTGCCCTGTAGACCGTGGATAGCACAGAGAACTCGCAAACTTTCCATGGTGGGCACCAAGTCGGAATATTTGATGAGCGTGCAACGGCGGCAAGTCGGCGGAGAGATGCACACTGCGATAAGAGGAAGGCAGGCCGGCCCCAAACTGCCTCTGCAGAGACTACGGAGAGTGCCCTTCAGAAGACAAGGGAGAGACAGTGAAGACGGCAGAAGCAGTCGCAGCGCGAGCAACGCCAGCATGGCCGAGGAGAGAGACAAGCGCGAGAAAACATCGCTCTGTGAGCGCACAAAAGTAGTCAGGTGAGATAGAGCCCCCTCATCACCTGTGCGTGAGTGAGTTATATCAACCTCCGTCGTCCTGCTTCAGGTAACTAACGGCGAAGGAAACCATCCGACTCGCTGGGCACATCATCAGAGTGAGACTCTGCGAGAGATTTCACCATTTGAACCGACGACTCGGGTGAGTCAGACGAGGGAAGCACGAACAAAGAGATGACGTCGAACTCTTGCCAAGCAAACGGACAAGCTACAGAAGCAAGTCCCAGCAAGGCTCAGCTCCCGCAGTCAAGGTTCCAGGGCTCTCGCCACACTGCCAACTCCAGCTACGGTACAGGAACCTTGTCGGCTTCGAGTAAGCCTCGATCTCCACTGACCTGTCCTCCTGTGCACCACCACACCAGATTGGAGGTAGGCGCTGTCGAAGGACTGAGTCCCGAGGACGAGGGGGAGGGAGGTGGGAACGGCTGCAACCCCTCCCTTACTCGCGCTCTGAGGGGTCGTATGACATTCCGCTCAAGAAGAGAAGACCACGAGAAGACCTGGCAGCACGGAGGAGGAAGGTGAGTGGGGAGGTCTCAGGTGTCATGGGGAAGTGGACAAGGAATCAGGATGTGTATTACTTCTTCTGCAGAGCAACACCTGGCCAAGATCGCTGGGGGGAAACGCTCAACGCTCAGTTCAGTGAAACGAAGAGTTTGAACTGGCTGTGGAGTGACCCATACTCCAACAACCGTTCCATGTCTTGCTATTCATGTTTTATCCCACACCCACCTCTTTATGTGTCTATGATAATATTCTTCTACAGAGACTGTGGTATTTTTCCCTATATAATATTGATCAGAAAACCTTATTCTGTCGTCTGTTTTGTGAGCCAATGTATTAACCTGTCAATGTGAATTGTCTTGATGTTGAAATGTACCTCTCAAACTCTGCCCATTCCCTCTGTATGTCACCTCCATGCTGACACCAATCCTCCACCCGACCTCTCCCCTTCCCGCCTTCTGACATCTTCACTCTCTTTGCAAGGTGGGAAGGACTTATGGAGAGTCTGATCACTGTCTGGCTGGAGTTGTTCAAAAGACGTATCTCTTGATTATCTGACACGCGTGGGCAGAGGGCCCAGGATGATGCTAGTCTACATGGTTGCAAAGTGCCCTCCAAGGCTGTGCAGGTAGTCCGTGTAGAGAGATCTGCGAAGAGCTGGGGGAACAGGGGTGAGTGGGAGGTGGTGAGTGATCTGGGGACTTCCAGTGGTATGCCAGCGGGAGGGCCCCGAGGCAGCCTGACTTAACGACACGTCACCACGCGCAGAGTTGCTTGCCTTGGCAGGACTGACTTTGTTTCTTCCTCCAACCAGAAACACAGAGACTGACCAAAAACTGCAAGCAGCAAGTGTACATTTCATAATTATAGAGCCGCTTTCACTGAACTCATGGAAAGCCACACTCAAGTAAGGACATGGCAGCTG